CAATTTGTGGATCGCACAAAGTGTCGTCCCATGTGAGGATCGGACCCACATCACTCAGCGCAGTAGTGAGCGGCGTGGCGACCGCTCAAACCACTACGCCATCCGTGCAGTCAAAATATTTTCTTATAAATTTAAATGGGACCAAACTTGAGTGCCACTAATCATCGAATTTAGTTCACTAATGGCAAAAATATCGTAATCGTATAAATATAATCGTAATATTTATACCTACCCAAAAATATTTAATAATGAGCTTGTTTAAAGAGTGAAAAAGAGGTACATTATTCACCTTCTGCCTTCATCATCAGACCACCGAAAGATGCTCGAGGCTCCAAGGTGATAAATTAAAATATGCATCCGAGTTTCATTTTGATACGATTAATTAGAATTAGGTTAAACCTTCCTTCCCATATTTGTGTACATAATTAGTTAGTTACAAGTAAAACTAAAAGGTTTTTAAATATCATCATCAGCCTATCGCAGTCCACTGCTGGACATAGGCCTCGCCCATTGCACGACACTTAGATTAATTTTCGTCTTTAAATATAAATTAACGTATCGTAAACCCACTTTTTATCTTTTTTCCGTGCGGAAATCCCCTCGGATACCACCTATCTGTGGCATGTCGGACTCGAACCGACTAAAACCGCACGCCGTCTCGGGTACTAATAGCCGGGGAACCAGGTATACCCTAGAAAGGAAGTCCCTGGTGCCCCGACATACCTCGGACCATCTACAGACGAGTAGACGACCCCCCCCCCCCCCCCCCCCCCGTGTGGGAAGCTACGCGCCCGCCGCCACCCCGGCCTGCTTCTGCTAGGGTGACAGATGGCCTCACCTGTCACCCCCAGACCTGCGCTTATGGAGGACGGAGGTCGTTCTGCGATCTCCGGCGCCTGAGTCACCTGCGGTACCTGGCCCGTTCCCGGGCCTGGCGGGCCGGGAGAGTTCTAAACCTCTCCCGGTCCCGCTCCGCCGTCTCCTTCGCGAGCATGACTTGCTCGCAGAAGGAGACGGCAGAGTTCCACGCAATCTCGCTCCGTACGATAGCCGCAATCAGGCTATCGAGCGAGAGAACTCCCACTCCGATGGCCGCCACGAGGTCTCGCCTCTGCTCAACCCACGCCGGGCACTCTGCCAGCGTGTGGAGAGCCGTGTCCACGGTCTGGCCATCGCAGTGGTGGCACTCAGGTGTTGGCTCCTTGCGGATCAGACACAGGTGATCCCCGAAACATCCTTTCCTAGTGATCACCTGCGTCAGTCGGTATGAGAGGGTCCCGTGACGCCTCTCGAGCCAATCCTCCATAACGGGTCTTACCGCCGCGATGACGGCGTGCCTCCACTCCCCTATGATGACCTGATCGTAAACCCACTAAAGATTGTTAATTAAAAAATATCGTGTTAGGTATTCATACAAAATGCAATCAGACATTCTAAAACTATGTTTTTTATGTACACACAAGGCACCATAATACGAAAAAAGAAACAAATCTTTTATAAAAAATATAACGTCAAATGATCATGTTTATGTGGCATTGGCTTTCGAGGCATTTTAGTTGTGTAACATGACAGTGAGTCAATCAAAAGTATTTCAGTACTAAAGGATAAAAATATTTAGATAGAGTTCAACCGTCATCAGTTTGTTTCTATAAATACAATGAATAGATTACAATAATGTCCGCAAATGATAATTTTGATGTACTTGTTTATACTTCGTGTAATTTTGTTCATTTATCTTTATTGTTTATGCTAAAACTTGCCGTTCGTTTCGTATTATTCTTTTAAAACATAGCATAAACAAAACATTTATAATAATATAGTTGGAATTATTAACATTAAATGTAGTTAAATGTACTCGTATTAAAGTTTTAATAGACACGATAGCAAAAAACAATGTGCATTTAAAAACAAAAACATTCTTCTCTCACTGGTTTTAGTTGTTTTTATAAGAAAACTAGAGATCACCTGGCGCTTAAGGCACGATCGTACAATTGTCTTGTTCTGTTTCGTTAACCAGTAAAACTTGAACTGTCGTTGTATAGAGTCTTATACCATTACATACCGAAATATATACTGGATACCTATAGTTTTATGTACCCAGGTCATCATCACATCAACAACCTGTATTAATAATAATGTTTCGGATATCTAACACACAGCGTCATCTAATTTCAAACCAAGCAGAACTTGTATTATGAAAGCTAAATTGACTGATTGAAATACTGATATCCTTTTTTTGTAAGTGTATACATATTATACATAGAAAATACCAATCTCAGAAATAAATATTTGCAGATCTTACAAACATTTGGTCCGACTTGGGAATCTAACCCGAGACGTATGTATGTATATTTCTTTGGCATGGTCTTTAGTCTAAACGAATTGATGGGTTTAGGCTTGAGAGGTGTCGTTAGATTCGTCTGAATTATGAGAGTGACATATATATGAAAAACATAAAAATTTTAATCGCCTTTAGAAATTTGAAGTACCTATACATTTTATGATTTGATCATTTTGAAATCCGTGGCAACATGAATACAAAACATTCTGATGGTTATAAGACTATAAGTAAACTTATACATTATTAACTTGTTTACATAAATAAATAGTACCTGGATGACCAGCTCGGTCATCCTGGACACGGTACTATTATAATACAGTACTCCAACTTCATACAAACGGACGAAACGAGAGCTATACCTACGCGCCTCGATCTCGGGGTGCGCTCGAGGCGCAAACAGTCACGGCTGTACCGCAGTGTCGAACGGACGGTGTGTTGTTTTTTTAACAATAACCGCACGATTTTTTCTCTAAAAATCAGTTAATATGACGAGTAGGAAATATTGTGCTGTTTTTGGATGTCTTCGATGTCTCGGATGAATTCGTCAATAACGCATCCAGACATAAGTTTTTTTAAATTACCTAGAAACTCTGAAAGGTAAGAGTATAAAATAATTTTACTTACTACTAGGTAGGTACGTACATGTGTGTCTTTTTAATGGATAAGTATTTCCTTTTATCTCACGAAAAAAAAGGTGTTTGGATTAATAAATAAAGCGAATAGAGTAACGGAAAGTTATTGAGACGAGTGAAATAGGTAGTTATATGCGGTTCTGAATGAATCATGATACGGTAGGTACCTACCTACTTACGCTTGAGTTTAAACTTCGGTGCATGTGTGTTTGCATAATTCAAAGTAAAGACGTGGTATTTTATTATTAATAATATTTGTTTATTATCTGTGTGTATGAATAATACTAGAAAAAAATTTTTACCGTCTGTGTGTCATTAGATAGTTTTCGAAATTTTCACAAAGTGTTTCTGCTGCTACTATAACAACATATACCACTAAAAACTGGTTTTATTTTCTCGGTATTAACAACAGCTAGACTCATATATAATATTTAGATGTTTGAGGGTTGTGATTTTAAAACATTCGTAGTCAGCTGTTCAGCTTTTTAATAATAAATTAATTTTTTGACCAAAGAATTTTTGTTTTGAGTTGTTGCGAGTTGTAGGTAGGTACCTAATTTATAGAGACGTTAATAAGCTGAAATAAAAAGTTAGTTACTCGTCAGCTGTTTCTTGCATTCTAGTTGAGTAGGTAGGTGTTGGAGTTTCTAAGGATTGGAGTTTTGTAACGCGTAAGGAGAAAGCACATTTTTTTTATTCTATAGAAGGATTTTTAAGCTATTGCATAGCTTTTATCGCGGGCTCTGAGCGCGGCGCGGCGCGGTGACCGAATCAAGAAATTCTCAAAACCTAACGAAAAATACCTGTCACCACGCAGATTTTTTCTTTAAAAAAAAAAAATGTTATGCAATAGCTTTACCGCGGCAGTCTCCGAGAGTGCCACATGTATTTTTTTTTTTCAGACGTCTTCAATGGTTGCAACTGATCCGGCGAGATGATTTGGAAAACAAACCTAACTTTAGTTCCTACCAAGTTTGTGAAAAACATTTTAATTTGGAGGATGTATTACATTCATCAAATAGAAAACTTTTAAAAAAGAATGCCCTACCATTGTTGATGCTGCCAAGCTTAGCTAGTACTGATCCAGGAGTCTCTCTAAAAGAAGATAAACAAACCCAAACTGCTCCGTTGGTAGGAAATGAAAATAGTACACAGACTGAAAATGCAACAAATGAAATTTTTGCTCAATCCTCAACGAGTCTCTCGAGCAACACTCCAAGAAAAAGAAAATTGAAACTTGAACTCCTCCAATGCAGAAAGAAAATAAAATAATTAAATCTACCAATCAAAAAACAACACGCATTTTTATTGAACACTTCCTATTCAATATACAAAGTATTTCATTTATTTATATAAAAAGGATATTTACAATCACAAATCTAAATAGAAACAGAAAGTAGGCAAATATAATTAAAATACTGGCAACGGGCAGCCCTAACGCATGTTTACGTACCGCGCGGCTGTAGGCATTTATTTCTATCATGCGGCCGAGTTACACAGTTGGAGATTTGGAAATTTTCTTAAAATGAAATTCTGGGAAAGTCTCGGATTAGATTCCCAAGTCGAACCAAATGTTTGTAAGATCTGCAAATATTTATTTCTGAGATTGGTATTTTCTATCTATACAAATAAATAAAATTGGAGTGTGTGTTTGTAATATTAAAATAACCGCTTTTTACTAAATGCATGTATGTTTACACGGTACATATGCCAAAATAACATTTTTACAATTTTTGTCTGTCTGTCTGTTTGTTCCGGGTAATCTCTGGAACGGCTGGACCGATTTCGACGGGACTTTCACAGGCAGATAGCTGATGACATAAGGAGTAACTTACTTTTTTTAGACTAGCTTCGCCCCGCGGCGTTGCCCGCGGATATAACAACAAACGCGGGTTACACCGCGGGTCTCGCCTAATATATATATCTATATATATATATATATATAAGAATAGCTTTTTTAAAGGTATTAGATTATTTAGGATTTTCAAGTATTGAAATATTTTAGAATAACAATGTATTTTTTATAGGTAAACCAAGAATTCCGTGACATGCCGGCGAGTTTTGGCGGCGACCTGCCTCCAGAGGGGCTGAGCGGGTTACTCGTGAAGGCTAATCCTTCTAATGGATGCACCACACTTCAAAACCCGCCTACTGTCGAAAACTTTACTGGAAAGTGGATTGTGCTTGTTGCGAGGTGAGGATACCCAAGTAAAAGTTAATGTTCCAATTATGTTAATAGTTAATGATTTAGTTAATGATGATTAAAAGGAGAGTGATTTGTAAGCGCCCATCTGTATACATCTGTACTAGCGTAAAAAAGTGGTTCGGTGGTTTAAGCGTAACAAACAAACAAACTCACTCTGACGTTTGTAATATAAATATCTTCAACAGCCTTTACTAGTCCACTGCTGGACATAGGCCTCTCCTTAGAAAGGAGGTTTTGGCCTACTATACCACGCTGGCCAGACGGGTTGGTATAGGGTTTGTGTCAAGTTTTCCTTCTCTCTGCAGTGCTGTTGTCACCCACGGGATTAATAGGGGTGGTAACATTCCGTATTCTTAATCCGTCACCACACGGAGCACGAATATAAATATGGTAAGGCTATAATCGACCCCTAGTTTAGTTATGGACAGCTTTTCCCGGATCCCTCCTATTTCAGGCGCAGAATGCCACACCGTGTGGTTTAGTCGGTCTGATTCTGACACACCAAATCGCCGCAAACCCCCGTGAGGTGACACACATAAAAAAAAAATATAGACCACTTTGTGTACCAGAGTTCAACTAAGTTGTTTGGTTAACTACAAACTATTAAATATTTGATACGTAATTTATACGTAGTTTTTAAACTTTTTGTTAATGATAAGTTAACTTTCGGGTTGTTGTTAATTTTTCAGATATAACTGCAGCTTCGAGGTGAAGGTGCGCAATGCTCAACTGGCGGGCTACGACTGTGTGATCGTGCACAACGTTGCCTCTGATGAACTAGGTCAGTTAATATTCCTACATCTATCTAAAAGCAGAATAACTCTCAAAATTGAGAAATATTCATAGGTACTTTGACTGCACGGATGGCGTAGTGGTTTAATACTTTAAACTTTAATACTTTTTGAAAAAAAGTGATGTACATGCCATAAATACCAGAAATAAAAATAAACTTGTTGTAGCCGCCTCTAGGCTCCAAAAGATAAACAAGTCTTTTCGAGGTCAATGTGTCCCATTTTATAATAAAATCCCAAATAATATTCAGGAGTTGAGTATTAACTAATTTAAATCCGCAATAAAACGTGGCTTGTGCCAGAGGGCCTACTACTCGATTGTGGATTACATGGAGGACAAGAATGCTTGGGATTAATTAGCGCAGGCTATTTCTTTCTTAAGTAAAAATGTGGTGTGGCTGGTATGTTTTTTATTATTGTTATTTTTTCTATTTTTTATGTTTCACTTCATTTTCTCTTGTATTCGTTTTTTCTTCTTAATCTTGTTTTCTCTTCATTGTCTTTTCACCTTTTAGTCCTTAATAACGGACATACTAGCACACATCAAAACAATGTTGTGGTATATTTAACAGTGCCATTGTATCTACCTGTGAATTGCAAAAGAGTGGACATGAGTTTGTTTGCCCTTTCTTCTCATAAGGCTCAACCCCTTGGAAAGGGGCGGTTGTAGATCGGCACAGGCATATCATAGATTTTGTATGGGTTTGATTTTTGTTAAATTTATTTGGTTACTATTTGACAAAACAGAGATTGTTGCTTTTGTGTGTGTTGATCTATGACTTTAGAGTCTACATGGAAGACGATTTCAAACAATTTTGGAAATTTTATGAAATAAAGAAAGTTTGAGTTTAAGCGGTCACCACGCCGCTTCCTATTACGCCGAGTGTTGTGGGTTCAAACCCCACATGGAATAACACTTCGTGTGATCCACAAATTGTTGTTCTGAGTCTGGATGTAGTTTGTGTCCATTTCATGTATGTTTGTAAAGTCCCCCGCGACACAGGATTTTTTCCTAGTGCGGGAATGGTCTTTTTAAAAAAAAAAAAAATTTGCTCGTTTTTGCACCACTTTCATTGATGCTCGGCTCCTATTGGTGGTGGCGTGATGTTAGCTTGTAGCCCTTCTTGTAAAATGGGCTATCCAATACTAAAAGAATTTTCAATTCGAACGAGTAGCTCCTGCGATCAGTGCGTTCAACCAAACCAACAATCTCGTCAGCTTTATAATATTAATATATATATATATATATCAATTTTGAATAATAGCAACCTTTAGGTGAATATACCTAACGGTGGTTGGCGATGTGCGATCTGAATTGCACTTTATTGTTTTGTAGCTAGAGTTGCTATCTATTTATATAACCTGGCGGACTGGGAGTTCTGTACTGGTATTTTTATGAACTCTATGCCTGAGGAAACCTATAACGTTAATAAGTAAAATAAAATGAATTGACAATTAATGAAAAATAATTAACTTTAATATATTACCTACCTATATCGTGATGATATGTAATAAAGTGTATTCTACGTTCCTAAATTTTTATCCTTGGAGTTGGATTTTTTCTTAAAACAAATAACACCAAACGGAAAGTATATCGATTCAAATAAAAAAAGAATTTTCCAAATCGGTTCCTCAAAGACAAAGTTTTGATGTTACAAACACAAAAAAAAACAGCCTCATTGAGAACCTCCTTTTTTTAAAGTCTGTTAAAAATCTTGACCAACCCTGTCGGGTAAATTGTTCAAGACACACAATTTCGTCAAAAAATAAACGAGGTACTACGATTAACATTAGTAAGTATATTGTAACTACAGTGACTGGCCCCGCTATCTAGCACAATGCATTCGTTTGATAAACCTGATGTCGCACGGTCGGCGCGACACTACTTCGCCCTGTGTTTTGTATAAAAATATATCCACCATGTCTTCCGTTAAAGTAAGTTTTTTGTTATGTTCTTTACTCAGTGTTTCCAATTGAACCATACAAATTCTATAAATCGGTGTGAAGTGACTTGTTAAAGTGGTATTTAACTATGTTTGCCTACGTATTCGCTCGCGTTTACACTTTTCAATCCTCAGTTGATCCGTTGTTTCTGGCTGATATTTTGTATTCTGTTTTGTAGCTCAACAATATTATGTGTACAAAGTTTTATGACTATTGGTATAGCATTTAATCGTGATAAAACTCGCATATATAGTGATAATCTCTGTATAAACTTGTAGTGTGGTTTTAATATTTCAAGTTTAATTGTGTCTCGATGGTTTATCTTTATAAAATTCCCACTTTCTAAAGGGGGCGTTGTTGTGGCAGCTGGGGAACGACCTTTATTATCTTCGGTGTCACTCTATCTCTTGCTTAAATGATTCACTACTTACTGTAAACAATTCTTGATCTCACTTTAGCTTCTCTCGAGAATCATGTAATATTTCATTCAGTGAGTTTTTCGTCTTCAAAAATATCCGTATCGTGGAAATATACTTATAAGATGTATAGCTTATGTATAAATATTAATATATTTTAATGTTTCAAATTACTTTATATTTCAACATTAAGTGCTCTACTAACTTTTAAACTGTCACGCTCCATAATCCATACTAATATTATAAATGCGAAAGTGTGTCTGTCTGTCTGTCTGTTTGTTACCTCTTGACGCTTCAACCGCTGAACCGATTTAGGTAAAATTTGGAGGTAGTTGATTCTTGAGCGAGGAAATAGGCTACTGTTTACCGCGATAACCGACATAGACACGGGTGGAGCAGCGGGCAAAAGCTAGTATACTATAATTATGTTTACGAGAATTAATGCGTTCACGAAAGATATTAATATTGCCGGACGCTTCGACAGTCAGCTTGTAACTACGGCCAGTGCAACCTGGTAGCTGGTAACAGTGGCGGCCTTAGCCATTGCGAGGCCCCACGCGAGTAGGACGGATTGTCCGTGTAGTGACGGATTAAGAATACGGAATGTCACTACCCCAATTCAGCCCGTGGGTCTCGTAAGAGTCGACTAAGGGCGCAAAACAACGCAGGACACCAGCACTGCAAAGAGAAGGAAAACTTGACACAAACCCTATTTCAACCCGTCTGGCCAGCGTGGTATAGTAGCCCAGAACCTCCTTTCTAAGAAGAGGCCTATGTCCAGCAGTGGACTATTAAAGGCTGTTGTGATGATGTGATGTGATGAGGCGGGGTAGGACATCCCGTCTACACTGATATAATAAAGCTAAAAATTATTAAGCTAGTTTGTTTAAACACCCTTAGTCTCAGAAACTAGGTACCAGATACCCAAAAAGTATTGATTGGGATATATATATATAAATAATGACAGATTACGCCTCCACCCCTAGGAGCAGGCTACATGAAATAACTACCGGACATTGCGTTGCCCAAACCGCCCGTCCCCTTCATTCTGGAGCGGTGGGGGGGTGGCAATCCACTTGAGTGATTCTTGGGCCAGGGTGGATTTCCCATACCATTAAAAAAAAAACATAATTACCCTAGTGTAGTTACATCGTTGCTCAAACATAACTACATTATATTAATGTTATTAAAACTAAATAGTAATGGTAGCAATGGAAATATTCTTAAATGTTTTCTTTACGTTCGAGGCAGACCTAACCTTATACCCTTTCATATAGGACTATCTTTATGTCTTTACAATGTACACCGTTCTGTGCATGTTCAAATACACACTTTAATCATCAATAAATGAACTATAACAATGTAATTCGTGACCGGAACCTATTTACCATTATAGCTATTAAAATAATTACTTTTGTGCTCGGGGAAAAACATTTTATCGAGAAACGGTAGGCGGTTGAAGTGGCATCATTTACCATGACTCTAACAAAGTATCGCAGTTGGTACAGGAAAATGGTTGGGCAGCTAATCGTCTATACAAATAAATGAAATTGAAGTGTCTGTTTGTAATGTCAAAATAATAGGTTTTTTTTCATGCTCGCGCCGTTATTTACACGATACATTAAGCTGTATATATAAGGAGTAACTTAGGCTATTTTTCCTCTCAGAAAAACCCTGTAAAATTATGGACCCTTATGGACTGCAGTCGCGTACCGTACTACACCATTAAGGCAGCGAATGAAGTCGCGAATACCAGCTAGTATGTTATAAAAAAATAAAGATCTTTAGGGCTATAGACAATGAAACACCCGTGACAGTTTTTAATATAGTTTGACCTGCATGATTCGATTTCGATCTCATCGCTGAAAGTAATAAGGCGGGGCCAAACATTCCCATAAAATTATTAATTAATTAAATTATTATGCAAAAGTGATTCATTAGCCGTGTATTTATGGCGGCAGAATGCAATTGCTATTCTCGTTACCCCGGCCATTGGCAAGGAGAGGAGAGGCGCCACCGGGATGGTTTTTAGCCGGTAAGAGTCCGGACGGACCCCTTCGCCATCCGCCAATGGGCGAAGGACTTCCATGAGGATCTTCCACCCCGTTAACAAAAACATGTCATATATTTTAGTCAGTTCGACTCGTACAAACTTAAAAGCTTAACGGAACAGAACCCTCCCTTGCCGTGAATCGGGTATATAAATTTCTATGTACGAAGGGCCTGTTGGCCGTGTGGTTGATGATCCTCCCTGCTTAGCTAGAGGCCGTGGGTTCGATTCACACCGAGAACAAATTATTGTGTGATGAACGCGATCATTTTTTCTGTATCTGGGTGTAATTTGTCCATCATATATGTGTATTTAGAATATGTAACTTAGTTACGTCCGTGTGGTGACGGATTCAGTATACAGAGTGTCACCACCCCCATTCATCCTGTGGGTGTCGTAAAAAAAAATTGTGCGCTTACATTGCAAACGCTTTTTTTTATCTGACGACCGAATGGCGTAGTGGTTTGTGTAACGGACTGCTATTCCAAAGGTCGGGGGTTCGATTCCCGCTCAAGTCAAACATTTGTGTGCATGAACATTTAATGTTTGATTTGGTCTGGGTGTTTCTATGTATAATAAGTATGTATTTACAAAAAAAAAAGTATATATGTATTTATATCAGTTGTCTAGTACCCATAGTACAAGCTCTGCTTAGCTTGGGACTAGATGGCGTTGTGTGAATGTGGTACAATATTATATTATTATATTATTATTATATGATATACCTTTCCGTAGTACACTACGGAAAGGTATATCATAAAAAATCTACAAAAATTCCGTAATGGTAAATGCCTATCTCCTGAGGACAACCCTTTTTTTTACGTCTGGAAACCCCCTCGGGCTGTCACCCCACCGGAGTTTGCGGCGGGGTGGTGTGTCGGAATCGGACCGACTAAAACCACACAGTGTGCCACTCTGCGCCTGTAATAGGAGGAATCCGGGAACTGCTGTTATTAAGACATCCAGACCCCTCTTAGGGCCTGCCCGCAATTGTGCGGGCACCACCTTCGGGCACATTCTCTATTTAGGTGATGTCCGGCACACGCGGACGTCACCTCCTCGCGGCTGGCCATTATGGCGGGTGGAAGGGAAAACCCGTCCCGTCCACACGTAGCCACACTCAGGGCGGCATGCGGCGCTGGTAAGCGCGCCTCCGCCGCCCGGTTCGCCGGCGGCGAATTGGGTCCGAGTGGAGGTCATCCTCCCGGGTCCTCTCCGCCGCCTCCTTCTGCGAGATGACGTCTTCACAGAAGGATGCGACCGCGTTAAAACATCTGTCACTACCGGCCATGGAGCGTATGACGGCCGGTAGCGAGAGGTCCCCTCCGATGACTTCTGAGGACAAACCACAGCAACCATTTTTATCTTTTAAATATTAAAAAAGGGTTATTTACGAAGCTATTTCAAACAATAAATTATTATTCCTTATCCAATTAAATATGTTAGCTACGGTGTGCATTTAATGTAGATTGAAATTGCTCTGTGGAGCATATCATCAATATAAATATTTTTGAAGAAATTAGAGGTTTAAAATGCGGGGCCCAACGACCGTCGAGCCGTACGTCCATTCCGGGCGGCAGCGGCCGATCGAAGCGGGCCTATAAATATTGCATTTAAAGATGTCCTGTAGTATAGTCCTATCATAATAATAGTATAATTACTCCACACTGACACCACATTAGTCATATTAGTAGTATCTACATTGCACCTGTGCGAAGCCGAGGCGGATCGCTAGTTATAGATTAAATTACACCTTTTTTTTGTTTTTTTTTTTCCGTGCGGAAATCCCCTCGGATACCACCCATCGGTAGCATGTCGACTAAAACCGCACGCCGTCTCGTCTCGCTTAAGTCGCCTGCGGTACCTGGCCCGTTCCAGGGCCTGGCGGGCCGGGAGAGTTCTAAACCTCTCCCGGTCTCGCTCCGCCGTCTCCTTCGCGAGCATAACTTGCTCGTAGAAGAAGACGGCAGAGTTCCACGCACTCTCGCTCCGAACTCCGCATCGAGCGAGAGAACTCCCACTCCGATGGCCGCCACGAGGTCTCGCCTCTGCTCAACCCACGCCGGGCACTCTGCCAGCGTGTGGAGAGCCGTGTCCACGGTCTGGCCATCGCAGTGGTGGCACTCAAACGTTGGCTCCTTGCGGATCAGACACAGGTGATCCCCGAAACATCCTTTCCCAGTGATCACCTGCGTCAGTCGGTATGAGAGGGTCCCGTGACCCCTCTCGAGCCAATCCTCAATAACGGGTCTTACCGCCGCGATGATGGCGTGCCCGAGATAAATTACACCTAGACACAGATCACATGATCTTACTCATCACACAAGTATTTGTCCTATATAGGTGAGTCAGATAGCTAACAACATGATCAACAGGCCCGTCAGTTATTTATATATAATGTAAAGGTTATTTTGATTCCTTAAAAGTTTTTTTTTATTATAATTTTACTAAGTCTCAGTCTAAATAATTGTTATGAATAAAATGTTGTTTCAGAAACTATGTCGGCCAAAGACTCGACTGGCATTGTAATACCATCGGTCTTCGTCAGCGCCAAGGCGGGACTTATATTGGCAGAGCAATGCCTCTATGATACGGGGTGAGTCCCCATTTTTTATCTAATTTACATTACGTTGTTTACTTTGATTCAGAGATACTTTGATAGCAAAGCTTGTATTATGAAAGATAGATTGACCGACAGAATACTTATATACTTTTTTTTTGTAAATACATACATATTATACATAGAAAACACCCAAACTCCGAAACAAATATTTGCAGGTCATACAAACATTTGGTGCGACCCAAAATTGAACCGCACCGAGGTAGTCAATGAAATAAAGATTTTATGTAAATGTGGCAGTCAATGAAATTGAGACTTCATATTACTGTAAATGTGTAGAACAACAGCAAGGCTGTTTATTTCGGGTGTGTTTGAGATATTTTTTTAAATGTTCAATAATAGTTATAACATGTTTACTAAACAAACGGCACGTTGGTTGTAAACAAGTAAATTGGTTCATTATTACGAATAGATCGCCAAATGTATAAATTAACAATATACAATACAAATTCATAGGTTCAAAAATAAAAGCTAAAAAATCAAAAAAATCTAAATTGATGATTGTATAATGGAAATCGCAACTTAGAATTATTTTAAACAGGTGGCGTTCGTGGCATTCTAAATGTTATCTATACATCATCAGCCTTTAATAGTCCACTGCTGGACATAGGCCTCTCTTTAGAAAAGAGGTTTTGGCCTACTGTACCACTTGTTATCTAAACAAATAAATAAAATTGAAGGTTCGGTTTGTAATATCAAAATAAAAGGTGTTTTCATGCTCAGACGGTTATTTGCACGATACCTATTCCTATAAACCAGTTTAAATATTTTTTGTCGGTCTGTCTGTTTGTGCCGGGTAATCTTCAAAACGGCTTGACCGATTTTAATAAAATTTTACTACCAGGTAGCTATCTATATAAATAGTACTTTGACTATTATTCCTCTCAGAAAAACTGTAAAATTTTGCCGGGTCCGGGAATCGAACCCACTAAGGCAGAGTTTTTCAAATTCCACGCGAACGAAGTCGCGGGTACCAGCTACTTTTTAAATGTACAGAGAGATATTTTGCCTGTCCCTATTAAGAAGGTCGGATATGCAATTTTCTTGATTTTGCTTTTATTTTACTATTGACCTAAACATGCAATGTTTTCAGCAGCATTAACTAAAAGTCAATTATTATCATATATTATATATATATATATTATAGTTTTTGAAATAGCCATAAACGAGCAATTCTTGTATATATCTATATACAGACTGTTATGCATCTTTTAACGAATCTGTACACCACATACTCTGCACTTTATTTCTAGACAATTTGAAAAATATGAACAAAAAATATTCAGTGATTTAGAAACAGGACATTTTTTTTTTGTTTTCGTAATTTGCAACATCATGTGTTGAGTCATAATACATTGACCTCAGGCGGCGATCAGCTGGCGCGGTAATCACACGTTGCCGCTTTTATTACACTCGAATCTAACGACATTTGTTTATTTGCGTCATCAGGATGAAGGACACGCGTTTTTAATTAGTTCATCCAGTAAGGGCAGTCAGTCGGCCCTTGGTCACCGGCTAGTGACCAAGGGCTAGAGTGTTTTGCTATTCTGTGTCCTTGTAGATGCGCTCACGACAAATTACCGTAATAAAAATATTGTTATTGTTCTTGAGATATTTGTTTAGAAAAGTTTTGTTTTGTTAATAATTGTTTAGTCTTATTGCTTTGCTCGCTGCCGTGTACAGTTCACCGACTCATGTTATCAATGGTGTTCTAATTCGGAAATTATTATATTGTATTTAGTTTGTTCTAAATTTGCATTTCTGTATTTTCGTACAATTTTTTTTATTTTTTACTTTAACCGACGTATATTGAACCGTGTTATCTGTTATTTCATTTTTTTGTGATATGTATTACAACACCGTTATATCTATATATATACTCGTATAATCTCAAAAACGGCTGCAACGATTTTCATGAAATTTAGTATGCACTGGGTTTCAGGGGCGATTAATCGATCTAGCTAGGTTTCATTTTTAGGAAACTTACCAAATAAAAATACCGAGCAAAGCTCGCTCATCCAGGTACTATGTATATAAATTAAGCAATTTAAGCTTTGACGCACTCTCCTGTAAAATTGCTGATTAGCAGATCATATATTCTTAATAGGGACGGGCGATTTGTATATTTGTACAATTCAAAAATGACTTGAATGTATGTTGCAGTTCCTATATAATGGTGAACGGGGACCTGCCCTTCGACATCAACACGCACCTGCTGCTACCCTTCGCGATCATCGTGGTGCTATGTCTGCTTGTCATACTCATATTTATGGTAATTTTCCCCATTTTAAAAACTAAAACTATCCCGTAGCCCTCTAACTTGGAATAACTCAACAATCGCATTTCAGTCGTCACTCGTCGAAAAACACCGCTCGAGTCGAAAATTGGCGGTTTAATTTTTAACTGCATTATAAAGAGCTACTTTTGCCGCGCGAATCTTCGTTATTGAATTATGATTACAAAATTTCCAATAAATAAAGCATCTTAAACTAAAAACTAATTTAACTCTTGAAATTAATCATTTAAGCAGTTTTAGCACTTTATTTAATTTCAGTCGAAATGATTTGGGCAGTATCGTTCGATAAACGAGTAAATGGAAAGTTTTAATAAGTAAATTTCAATCTACATCGTACTGACACGACAGAGACGAAGCACAGCGAACACCTCGAAATAACCTTAAACAAATAAATTATATTTCAAAAAACTAAAAAAAAATATGCATGGATAGATCTCAATTGTTGTAAAAATATTTTATTAACAGATATTGGTAATATAGAAAATATTGTACGTATTAGTTCGGCTAATTACAAAAGCGTATTTATAAGTTTTTTAAAACTATAATTATTTTTTCGCCTTTTCAGTCATCAGTAGTGATTATTTTTTTATTAAGACTAAAAAAGTAACAAGTACGTAAGCCATATGCTTCAGCAGACGCCTTTTAGTACGTAAGACATTGGTGCTAACTCTGTTGTTCGAAACTCTCTAAACTAAAATAAAAATCACTAAAAATTAGTCCAGTTAACTACTATGTTTTCAGAATATGAAATGTTTTTTTACAGGACTAAACAAATTTTTAGTGATTTTTAATTTAGTTTAGAAAGTTTTTGAACAACAGAATTAGCACCATTACCGTATTTTTTGGTATGGAAAAAGCCGTTAATCCTGAAGATCCTAATCAGGATAATCGGCCAAATTTATCAACTTATTGTATTGTCATCGGTTCTTGATAAATGCGAAGTTTTTAGTTAATTCGACGTTTTGAAGTAGGTCAAAACAGTAAAAGCCAATAAAAGCGTGTTGAAAATGTTTAATACCTCAAAAACTACATACTTCCTTTCCAAAGGGTGCACAGAGTAATACTGAAGAGTTACTTGTTTGCCACGCTATGTAAATATGTCTCTGGTGTATTACAGATAGTAAAATGTATAAGGGACCGTCGGCAAGCGCGGCGGCACCGCTTGCCGAGCCGCTCGCTCAAGAAGATCCCCACGTGCAAGTTCAGAAAAGGCGACCCCTACGACACTTGCGCCATCTGCCTCGATGACTACCAGGAGGGGGAGAGGCTGCGGGTGCTGCCTTGTGCTCACGGTAACTTACCAAATCATTATCAACAGCCTTTAATAGTCCACTGCTGGACCGCTGAAACTCTGTTTTCTAACGAGGTTTTGGCATACTATACCTCGCTGGCCAAACAAGTTGTTATAGGGTTTGTTCCAAGTTTTCTATCTCTTTGCAGTGCTGTTGTCCTGCATAACTTGCCACTAATATAATCTGTTCATTGTTTCGCGTGTATGTGTGTATGTATGATGTATATTTGTAAAGTCTCCTCCGACACAGGATATATTCCTATTGCGGGAGTTGTTGGAACGAAGTTCCTTATCGCGCGTTGAGAAAGGGGCTAGACGGAAAAAATTCTCACGACGAATTGTAACGACACTTTTTATGTCACTCATTCAGCGCCATCTATCCAATAGATAGGAAATCATTACTTTTCATCTCAGTATTTATTTTGAATTGTCACTTGTCAGTCATTCAGCGCCATCTATCGAATAGATAGGAAATCATTACTTTTCATCTCAGTATTTATTTTGAATTGTCACTTGTCAGTCATTCAGCGCCATCTATCGAATAGATAGGAAATCATTTCTCAAGGAGATTTTACCAATGTATAAATTGTTTTAATTAGAAACCAACTGAAAAATATGTAGGTAATAGCCGCTTTCATAGATGGCGTTGTAATTAAAATCGTGTCGAATCAGTTTTACTAGATAGTCACAACTTCGTTCCTATCGGGTGTCCCACGACTCCACACGGCTTATTTATATCTTTTTAAAAAAGAAAAGGGAAAAGAAATAGATAGATATGAATATAAGGATTTTGAAAATGAAGATTGGAGCGCTTTATATCCATTGCAGCGTACCACGCGCTGTGCATCGACCCGTGGCTGACGCAGAACAAGCGCGTGTGCCCGGTGTGCAAGCGGCGCGTGTTCGTGGCGGGCGAGCGGCGCCACGTGCACCACGACTCCGACTCCAGCGACACAGAGCCGCTGCTCAACGATGACTCCGCCACGCAGGTATCGCTGCCTACTCTACCACACTATAAGCGTGATACTTCGATTACTTGTTTTTTACTACTTGAGAAGGAAAACGCGTACTAAAAATAACGATGTTTAATCTCTTTTATAACAGTTATAACATTACAAATAATCGTTCCCATGTCACACTTTGCTGCTTTGATAGGACGATATTATCGATCGTGATAACACAGTGGAAATGCGCAATAATGAGACCACAAAAACCGGAATATTGTGTGAAAACGCTCCCTTATTTTAACGTTAATGTGGACGACACTTATAAATTAGGTATAGTTTAAGTAACAGGCTGTTTTTCAACGATGTTCCTTGTACAATGTTGACTGGCATGTCGGTCTAGTAATTAAAGAACCTGACTTCTAGCCAGAGGGCGTGGGTTCGATTCCCACTCGGAACAAATAATTATGCAACGAGCATGATCATTTCTTCTGTGTCTGGGTATCATCATGATCAGCCTATCTCAGTCCACTGCTGGACATAGGCCTCTCCCATTGCACGCCACTTAGATCGATTTATCTATGTGTAATATATGTAGGTATGTATTTAAAAAAAATATAATTATGTTTGTCAGAAGTTTGATTACCTAGTACAGGTATTCCTATGTACTATAATTATTATAAATACTATAATTTTACGTTATGTCACAAATGTATCTGTGAGGATGTGAGTAAGAAATTATTCTTAATATACAGGGTGGTACATTCGACGAGCAGCAAGAGAACCCGTTCATGCGCGCCGCCCGGTTCATGACCCGCCTGCGCAGGGACCCGCCGCCCCCCTCGCCGGTACTACCCCTCCTTTATACCTTTATTGTACAACAGAAATATCACAAAAAGTAATGTGTCCTTTTCACACTGTGGTACTCTTTTACAGAACTCATGTATCATGTAAAAAAAGAATTAAATATTAAAAAAGTATCATCGACTTTAATGTAACTGTGATTAACTGTATTCGTCGCTTCTTAATTTTCTAGCCTTAGCGGTGGTATTTTTTTATTGTAATTTGAATGGAACTAAACGAAAAATATTCCCTCGTCAATAAAACAGATTTTAATTCGGTTCATAAACGACATAGTTCTGTAGGAAAAAAAAATACAACTGAATTGAGATTCCTCCTGTTTTGATCAGACGAGTAAGAAGAGCATTTGATCTCATTTTTTGTTAACGGACTTCGAAAATAACAGAAAGTTATAGTTCTATTTTAGGCCCGTTCAAATATAAATTAAAATCATCACCCCAAAAGTTAAAAATTTCAATGAAATGACCTTGAAATCGTCCCTTCCTTTTCTACATCTGATAGGTAATTAATTAATAATTTTAATTTGGTTTTGTTTAGGATCAATCTCCTAGAGAAGACGTCGATCAATCAATTAATTCTAACGAAGACACGTAAGTACACATCGGTTTTAAAATTTCACACTGTTTGGTGTGATGCCTTTGGTGTTAGGCGGACTAAACCGAGAGTGGATTGTATAAATAATGATTTTAAAACACTGATTAAGTACAGGCAGAAATGTATGTAAGGATCGCGAGCGGGTATGTATTTATTCGCGTTGATTAGCTGAGTGCTGCGCGCGCGCATCCCGTCGCGCCCTATGTCCTCTCATTGTTAATCTTATTTAAATCCTCTTGGCGGTTGCCCAATGTGGTGGGGATGATGAATGACTGAAGAAGTTATCGTCCAACTGCAAGCGTTAAGTTAATCTACGAGCCCGCCGGTGTCCGCCTCGTTAGTGACAAAATGCTTCAACTTTAGGTTTATACAATCTTTAGGTAATGTTTTGCTTTACATCATCCTGAAACTCAACATGTAGATTTCTCTGTATTCGACGATAACGTTTGTCACAGAAGGGGTGATGACGATCGCCAGCCCCTGGTGCAGGCGGCCGTGGCTACCGTCAGCGAGCGCCGGCGCAGGCGCCGCGCGCGCTCCGCCAGCGCACGCGCCGCCGCGCGACACCCCGCCCCCGCGCCCGCCCCCGCGGACACGCCGCCGCTACTGCACTCCGACCGACACTCTATCAACTACGAAGGCAGGGGAGAAATAGGTAAGTCGCCCCTTATTGCCGTATCGCACAGGAGTAAGAGCCACGCGAAGCTTTAGACGCGATCGCGTGGCCTCGCTTAAGGCAGGTAAACCATCCCTTGCAGTGTCAAGCGACCGCGCCTGCCGAACGGGATCGACGCTCTATTGCCTACGAGAGAAGAGGGGGGGCAACGGGTAAACTTTTTGTCTTTTTCCATTGCACGCCGACGGGCGATAGGTGGGCCGCCCCTTTCCGGTGTTTAGTGGCCCTACATAAAACTGTTATCACGGTGTTTGAAACCTTTAACGTGTGCCAGGTGTCCCAGCGCTGACGGCCACTCCGCTGGCGACGTCCGCGCCGCATCACGTCAACTTATGAACGCTCGGCTGGGTCCCGCTGTCGCTCTGTCGCACCCGCGACTCTACTGCACGTGGAACATCGCCCCGTACGAGGTGCGCACCCAATATAATTAAACTGACGGGAAAGTCTAGTGTTTGGGAAAAACAAGAATATATTAAAAATTTCCCAAAGTTTTTCACGTAATAAGGACTGTGAAGGTGACAGGCACGTGCATTGACCGCTTTCAACTTAACATCGTGTAGACCTAGAATAGATGACGTACCTTAAAGCCAGGCGATACAATATTTTTGTGAATAACGATAATCAATTATCATACAATTATAGACGAATTGTCTTCAGAACGATTCATAAGCAAGTAAAGTTAGTTAAATTAAAATGCACCAGTATTCTTATACAACGTCAGAGCTAATAAAACATTTTTTTCTTTTTTAGAACGATATGCTAATGTTGTCATTATAACCCGACCTTTATTACCGTTGCCTTTAACTAATTTCAAGATCAAAATATTTCATAAAGTCTAATACAGCGAAGTAACAATAGGAATAGTTATGAAAAGGATTTATTCTCCGACAAAAGTAAGGCAAAACAATGGCTGTAAGTTGTACCTAAGACTGTGAGTTGTACCTACCCCCTTTACTTATAGATAACATCAATCAATGTGTGTTATACTTGTCAAGTCCGATTGTTTATTAGCCAAGTGTGATAGAGATTAATCAATAACATATATATGTCGTGATATAAATATTTTGTATAAATATATATTTCTCTTATTTAAAATTTAATGCCTTATTAATAATTATTGACCCTTTGAAAAGTATGCCTGCTTATTATATATAGTAAGTATTTTAACAAATTTACTAGTCGGACAGGAAAAAAAAATACGACAGATTAAAAAACATATTTAATTGGCGACATTATATAAAAGACACTCTTAATTAGCTCAATATTTAATAATAACAATGCAATGTGAGCCTTGCTTCGATTGTCGTTTCGTCACATGCAGATTTTGAAGTGTACTGTCCCCCTGGCTTATAAAGGAATAATTCTAGAAACATTCAAAGTTCTGAGTCCAAAATTAAATTATATAAATGTGCAATAACGGAGGGAGTATTTGTTTCATATTTATTGGTAACTGTTAATTGAATTAAAAGCACGCAATCACTGTATATAATTTGAAGTCATGACCATGTTAGCAATTTTATATGTTAAACGGTAGCTCATTTTGTCTCAAAATTCTACTGTGCAGTTTGACACCAAATGTTACTATAACCAGTGTTGCCAGAGTTAAGACTTTATTAATCATAAATATGGTTCTAACGCACAATCAGTGATCCAAATTTGATGCCGTTATTACAGTGACTTTAAATAAGAGACATAAAAAGCCAATTTGTGATAATTGTTTTTGTAGATATTATTGCGAGTTGAAACTTCAGTGTTCATGCAAAATGAAAACAAATTGTACTATATCTCTGTAAAAGTAAAAAATCCAGTAACATTTGGTAGATTTTTTAATGAATCGGTTATCGGTTGTGAGACAAGCTGTTTGTATATCTTAATGTAAAAGAAAATCATATAACTAATATAAGTGGTTAAATTTTAGTAATATAATTATATTTAGTAATAAAAATGTTTATATAATATGATAGCAGTTCTCAATTAAACTGTAGTTTGCTTAACGTATATTGAAGTACCTACCATGTAAGTATATATAAATATGTATGTTGATATTTATTTAAAAAATGAAGTGTTGTATTTTATTGATAGATGAACTGTAAAAATGCTATATGTAAGTGAAGTTTATTTTTAAATATAATTGACACTGCGTAAGTGACCCTACATGCTCAACACAACGTCAGTCACTCAATCACTTATGAGTACTAAACTATTATCTATGAGATTTGTTGACACTTCAGCCGGCACACAATGTCTAACATTCAGATAAAAATTGTTATAAAATAGCTGTTCCACATTTGTGTGAAGAACTGTAACAAAATTTGGCTCACCTTCAGGGGAACAGTCATTTCCGTTTCCTGTATAGTAGAAATGTAGATTTAAGGCCTCACAGGCATTCACTGACGATTCATAATCTTCTCTTTGCCCAAATTTATTTCAGGTTGGTGCAATGAGTTTTCTTCTTCCATTCTCCTCTATCACTCGTCAGTTCACTGCTTTCTCCCTCCCTAGCCATATCCTCTCACGCAGTCCATCTAACGTGTCATTGGTCATCTTCTACTCCTTTATTCGTCAATTTCCATACTTAAAACTGTTTTCACTACAGTTTGCTCATCTCTAGGATAACCTACCTTTCCATTCTCAACTTTTTATCCACTTGTGCTACTTTCACTCTTCCTTTAATGTATATATTCCTCACCTTCTCCATTCATCTACACCACATCCATCTTAACATTCGCATTTCAGCTACATGCAGGCAATTATCGAAAATATTATCATTTGTCTATTCAAACAATTAACCACCAGTGACCTACTATTTATAATAAATTGACAACACAAAGCCTTTTTATGAAAAAGAAATTAGCTTTTTATAAAGAGATATAAACACATTATGAAGCTAAGCTAAGTTTAATTGAGAACCGAATAGACTGTTTAATTTTGTATAAAGAAAAAATTATGTACATATATAAGACCAGTTGGGCAACAACACCGACTCTATGCCATAATACTGTGACTAGCACGCACTAACTAATACATACGTTAAATATTTCTTGGGATATGTCACAACTACGCTGTGTTAAACTACCAATAATTTTAATGTTTTTTCATATAGATTAAATGTATAATTTTAAAAATAATTTCAAATAGTTTGCGATTTTAATGTGGCGTAGTTGTTTTATTTTTTAGTTTTTATTTGTTATCAATAAAAATATTTGATTTCAACAAAATATTCAGTGCCCATCAATACCGTTTAAGAATTTTAAGTTCCATGATATATAAATATTACTAATGCAAAATATACCTGTGACCGTGGCCTTTGTAACCTGGTCCAAACGTCAGGCAAATTTTTGTTCAGTAGCAATAGTTATATATGAAAATAACAGGGAATGACTCAAGAGAGAACAGGAAGTAGGTAGATAATTAACTATAGTCCATTCGTGTTAAAATAATAGTGACGCATCGATCAAACCTTGACAAATCAGGTTCCAGCTCCAGCTTTTGTGCGGAACGATAATTTCTTGGTGACAGGTACCAAGAAATTGTCAGTCAAGAGGCGGGGCTTAACCAACGTGTCACTATTTTCTTAGCCCGAATGGACTGTAAATAAGGTTATATTTGCTTCCTTGGCAGCTTCAACTGTATTTTTTCTTTCTATAAGTCTAACGACACTAAACTGTATTTGTTGAAACTGATAGCTTGTATATATATTTTACATCTGTTACATATATGACCGGATATTTAAAAAAACATCCTTTATGGCAAGTTTGGTCTGTAACTACTTACGACGCGACGTAACGTATTTGTATGCTCTAGAATAGATCAAAGTTTAATTTATAAAAAATTGCATAGATGGCGCTACAAGTACCTTTGCTAAACGTGTAAAATACAAGAGCTTCGCGCCTTTTCTATCTATAAATTTTTGAGGTTCAAGTGTCTATGTGGGGTGGTCACTTACTTACCATCACGTGAACCGTCTGCTCCTTAGCCCCCCAATTAAATAAAAAAAATATCTGGTCAGACAAAATGCTTTATTTACTTTGTGATATTCTTCTAATGGACGTTAACTTTGGAAGAGAAAGCACTAAGATGTATGTTATGCAGAATTTGTTGGTGGTCAATAAACCTAATACTGATTCGCAAGTTTAGAAATAAAGCCAAAGGATTATTATTGTCTTTTATTGATTACCCTGATTGATTCACGATTAGTTTGTAACAGTTATTTTTTTGTAGATTTGTTGGTCTTGTTAAAAGCTACATCTATTAGCCGCGTTGCATTGTTTTTAATTTATCTAAGGTAGTTTATAACTACAGTTTTGATCTTCTGTGTTCACTGATGTTAAATGTCAAAGTAAAATGTTGAAGAGGGGTTATTTTCTGGAAGCTTCGTTAACCGAAGATATATAAGTCCGGCTTTCTGCCACGGGAGACACTGCTATCTCGTGCCTTCCGATCTTATATAGTGTTTTGATTGCTGTGTGATTTGATTTTCTTAATATATTATCTGTTCAAAAGTACCCACACTAAAGTGGTGAGTATGTTCTTAATTCTACTTAAACCTATTTGTTTCTGGTACCTGTTTAATTATATGAGTGCTAATCCTTTCGTAGGGTCCCAGATTTCGGGGTCAAGACAGTCAGTCTTAGACGGCGTGCTTGCTCTTTTGTGGCCTTCTGGTACAGACTCAAGTTTCTCGGTACCCTCTGGCAAAGCTGGTGATTGCGCGGCTCACGACGCAAGCGGACAGCCGTACCCAAGAGTTACGTACTTAAACTTATAATTGTAATTTGTTAAACTTTTATCCGTATCTAATATAAATAGCCGACTCGGGCGGAAGAGGAAGTAACCTCCTGGAGGGACGACGAGGAGGCACCGAGCACCATCAGCTCGGCTCTGACGCGCTCCGCTGCGGTTTTTTTTATACCCTCTGATTTTTTTTTATTGTAAATTTAATTTTGTTTTGAAATATACATGTATGTATGACTGAGGTGTAAGTTGTTTTCCTCTAAAGAGTCCCGTAGGTTTCCCACACGCACACACTTCTTTTCTCTTAGAAGGCGCCCTGAGGTAATCTCATAGATCTCTCCACTGGGTCAGCCGGTGAGTAGTCCGCCTGAGAAGAAAAGCGGCTACAAGTTAAGGTCGTTGCTCATACGACATCGCTTATGCACGCCACATAGCCATTCAAATACAAGCTTAAAGTTGTGTTAGTTAGGTACGTTTTACAATGATAACTAATAATTGCCAAGTCGTGAGAGAACTATACCTATTGTATAAGTGAGTTACTACCTTTTTAATCCTGCCAGGCCAGGCCTACTCTGCATCCACACCTAACACTAACGCTAAAGTGGACACGGACTCGTCAATGACGAAGGTCTTCAGTCTCACCATGACGTACTTGGCGTCCCGCGTTGTATAAGCTTAGCTCAACGGTCTACTGGAACCGATGAAGGTGCTCCTCGTCCGGAAGCGCGGGCGGCTGTGAGTACCTTTATGTGTGAAGATACAAGTACTGCCATGAGCCAGCTGGGTCTCACGTTTGTTCGATACCACACGCGCCGCGCAGTGTCGCTTCGTGGTCTCATCGGTCAGTAACAAGGTACAGAGTATCGTATGCCGAATGTCTGCCTTCTTAGATTGAAGTAACTACGTCTGACGTTGTGAGAAAACTGGTGTAGCGAATTGAAGTCTGTACTTGAATTAATAATGAATTAGTAGCTTGTGGACTTAACTAGATCTGATATTTTGTTAATTTTAGGATTTCGAGCGATAGACCAGGAATAGGAGCGTTTTTTCAAAAAAAAGCCGGTCAGATACGAGTCGAACTCGAGCGCCGAGGGTTCCGTACCTACCCAGATTTTACGTAGATTTTCGCGAAAATTTGTAAGTACGAAAATTTATCTTAATTTTCAACTTTTTTTATTTTCTGGATCTATCTATCTCTATCCTTTATTTGTACTGTAAGACGATTCTTTTTGCCAAATTTCGTGATTCTAGGTCAACGAGAACTACCATATAGGTTTTCGACCCAAAACCTATAGGGTACTTCCGGTTGACCTAGAATTGACAATTCTGGTTAAAAGCAAGGTCTTACAGAACAAGTAAAGAGAGAATTCTGAAAAATAAAAGAAGTTGAAAATTAAGGTAAATTTTGGTACTTAAAAGTCCCATATCTTTTTATCGTGTTGACTCAGAACCTTGATTTTTATACACCTTACAGGGAACATAGACCTCAGTATCTGGTATAAATTTCAACTTGCTAGGTCTACCCGATCCTGAGAAAACCGGTGGTGACACACGGACAGACGGACAAGAAAGTGATCTTTAAAGGTTCCTTTTTTACCTTTTGAGGTACGGAACCCTAAAAATGCCAACCGTGATATTTCGACAAAGCTGTACATCTCTTTTTCATTCATGTTATCCCATATGTCCTTAAAAATTAAAAAAATGGCTAAGGATGTGCTTTTATTTTTCTGAAAACCAAATTGGTTGGGATCAAGAACATTGAATCAGTGTAAAACATGTATTATTCTGGAATTAGTTCCTGAGATGAGCGCGTTCAACCAACCATACAAACAAACTCTTCAGCTTGATAATATTAGTAGATATTGAGAGGCCAAATGCGAGCCTTGTAGGATACCTACCAGAAGTTTTTGACGATGATTTGAAACCATTTACTACTGGGGTATGCTGAAACAGCAGCCCGAGCTTTCAATAACACAAAAAGATCGATCCTTAAAATGGGACTGCAACGTCTGCAACCAATAGGTACTACAAGGATACAATAATGTCATATTCCGCAGCAAGTTAATGTAGCAGTATCTTATGAAATATTTTATCAGACCTTCTGAAATCTGTGTATGTCACGTCACACTTTATTAAATAAATAGTAATAAATCAATTTCCTTTCTCGCTCTCGCACTGACTCATGTGATAATTATTGAATATTTGAATAACTATAACGAGCTAAAAATGAGTAATGAATTTCTTTCAAAGTTATAAACAAATAACCATCAGTTGCATAAATTCATTACGTTAGGAGATGATGATGATGATGTCCTTGTGGTGACGGATTAAGATTACGGAGTGTCACCACCCCTACTCATCCCGTGGGTGTCGTAAGAGCCGACTAAGGGAACAAACTACGCAGGACAATAGCACTGCAAAGAGAAGGAAAACTTGAAACAAACCCTATACCAACCGGTCTGGCCAGCGTGGTATAGTAGGCCAAACCCTCCTTTCTAAGGAAAGGCCTATGTCCAGCAGTGGACTGTTATAGGCTGTTGATGATGATGATGATAGGAGAACATGAAATGAAGTATTTTGTTATTGCGAACCTTAATAACAATTGTAATTAACAAATTGTCAATGAAAAGTATGAATAAATGAAATTAGCTAATTAGGTGGTCGTAGGAAGTCGTGAAAAAACTTGTTATTTCACAAATATGTCTAAATTCTTTATTGTGTTTCGATTAGGCGTTTGACAGCATTTGCATTAATAAATAGCTGAACAAGTTTGACCAAAACTAGTGTTGTGAAATTAATTGTTCCATTTTGCAAAAGTTTTTGGTTCTATGTAACTTTTTTAATTTTGCAAATAAAGGGGCAACTCGATAGCAACTTCATTATATATTATAAATTAAAAAAAGTCTAAAATATTGCGTCGTAAAGTCTATTGTCCTATAAATCGCAGGGCCCCAGGTGTTACTTATTTTCTCAACAATCTAATGTATGCGATTAAGTAGTGTAAGTGTCTACTTTAAGTGTATGCGTGCGTACCTCGGGGAGACATTGCAATTAGGTAGAAACAACTTCGAGGACGAGTTGAACAGAATAATTTTAGTTGGGTTGGGCAGCATTTGGGAAGCTACGTCGAGTCTTCGCATCGTCGATCCCACAGTCCCTTAAGACGAAAGTCTTTAATAAGTGCGTGCTACGTATTGAATATCATGTATAAAAATCAAGACTGAGATTATGTTACAAGTAAAGTTACATTATTTGTTTGGATCTTTAACGCGTTATCTTTAAGTTATCGCCGATGGAGTGTCTGGCAGTATTGATTATTAATTTTTAACTAAATTTGCCAAAATTATTAACTAAATTGTAAAAAACTTTACTACTAGTAAATATTAATTGGTATATATTAATTGCAAGCATTGCTAAGCTAGCATACATACGCATACAGTCAAAGTACATACTTACACTAGTTAATCTCATACATTTGGTTTCTGAAAAAAAATAAGTAACATCTGGGGCCTTGGAATCTTGTTCTATATAGGCTTTGACGCAATATTTTAGATTTTTATCTTTCTTTCATAACCCTGACTGCTGCTGTCTTGGGTTCGATTGCCACCCAGGACAAAATTGTGTGATGAGCACGGTCATTTGTTCTATATCTGGGTGTAATTTATCTATAATATGTATATATTTAAAAAAAATGTTATAACAAAAAAAAAGTTGCTATCGAGTTGTTTCACTTTATTTGCAATATAAATTTATAAAAAAATATCTTAATTATGTTATTAACTATTAAATAATAATAATATTTCGGACAACTGACACAACGCCATCTAATTTCACTCTAAGCAGAGCTTATTGTATGAAAGCTAGATTGACTGATAGAATACTTAGATACTTTTTTTTGTCAATACATACATAAAATAAATGTTAGGTATAACCAAAACCTAAATTTTATTGTATACTTATATATAATTTTATTTTTAATTTCAAATCACTCAAAAGTTTTGCTCTAGTTGTTTAGCTATTTTTTAATTCAAAAGCAGACAAACGCCTAAACAATTACAGAATTTAGACTTATTATATATTTATAATTCAACAAAAATGTTTACCACTTCTTTCTTATCAAATTAGCTAATTAGGTGGTCCTAATTAGCTAATAAGATAATATAAGTTTTGCAAATATGTATGCGTATAATATGTTTGTTAGCTTTGTGTTTATTTTATAACCCTTTCGTCGATTACTTGTTTTTTTGTCTGTTCTTTTTTTTCTCGTTTATCATTTTTTCCTCTAAACTACCAATTGTCACAGTAAGTGCAAGTGCAATCTTTGAACTGTAAAAATAATACAAGTTACCTATCATGTGTTACCCTAATATCCGATTTTTTTTTTTTATAAATGTTGTGTTTGCCAATTAATGTTGTACACCCATACTCTATAAAACATGCATGTATTATTTTTAAGAAACTTGTAACAATTGTAGGCAAACCTATGATTAAATAAATAAATAAATTTGGTTTGTTCATACTTTCATTGACAATTTGTTAATGTAATCAATAACTCAATATTTCATTTTAAATACTCATCATCTCCTAACGTAATGGTTTATGCAATTGATGGTCATTTGTTTATAACTATGAAACAAATTCATTACTTTTTTCTAGATTGTTATATTTATTCATGTATTTAAAAATAATAATTAAATACATAAATATATTTATTTAACACATAATATATAAAATATAACAATAATACATTGCACGGAATACACATGTAGTTATTACTTTAGTGCGATACCTACGGGGAATGACCTTTGACAGCTGATTGCATAAAAAGTTTAATTTTCCGGCAGAAAATTCAGACTTCGACAATTCGACTCAGAATCATGGTCTGAATACACTATTTCAGTATTCGTTACGATGTTCATTACACCCTGCATATTGATATAGACAGTCTATTTAACTACTAAAAAAGGAACTCACTGCATATTCAATTTGTAATTACCGTCTGATGAATCATTTCTAGAAATATATTGTGTTCCTTATCTGACCCATTATAAAAGGATTAGGCTAATGGCTACAGGGAAATCTTTAAAGGGACTCCCTAATTTCTTTGCTTACCACTGAAAGTCATTTACTAATTCCAGCAATAATTGGCCTTTAAAATATTCACAATATATTTAACAATAAAAAGTGACAATTAGGTGATCACTCACACCATTCAATTCCTGGTACAGCATGGACTACCTGAACTCTGCAGAGGTAACGAGTTGAGCTCGCACAGGACGAGTTGCAGTCTGAACTTGACTTTCAATTCAGCAATACGTCTTCAGTGTACTAACATTGTCAGTATAAATCTAAGATCGACAGTATTGCCAGTAAGTGAGGGCAGTCATTTCATCATCATCATCAAAAGACTTTATAGTGAATTACAAAAATATTCATTTAGCTATTGAAATGGAAGCAATTTATTTTGTGAATTATGTGTCGCTTGCGCGCCAACAAGCTTCAAGTAAAAATTACATCGCAGCGTTCAACACGTACGTCCATGCAGTTGATATGTTGCCGGCAATCTCGAAGGAAATTGAGAACGAGTTTAGGACAGTTTTCTTAAAAATGAACGAAGAACTTGAATTTGAAAAAAACAAGGAGGTTATTTTTAACAACTTTAAGAGAGTCCTAAGTATATACCCGAGTAACGTCGACCTTCTCAACGATATCGGCAAATACCTATACAAATATAGCTATTACACCGAAGCGCTTTACTCCTTCGAGAGAGCATTAAGCATGGACACAAGTCACGTCAAAGTCGAGAAGAACTTGAACAAAGCGAAAAGTTCCTTGTTTCCGAGAACTTTATTTAGAAGCCTCAATGATAAAGCACGTAATAACGCGTACAGAGCTGCCATCAGGAGTTCCATAAATCCCGCTAAAGATAGTATCATAAACATAGACGCGGGAACAGGACTTTTGGCTTTGTACGCCACCGAATGTAATCCAATAGCGATAACTGCTTGTGAATCTTCAAATATGATTATTCAACTGGCGGATCGCGTGATACAAGAAAACCTCGCTACACAAGTAGTTCTCGTCAACGAACCCTCAGTGCTATTAAAACAAGCTGACATTTGCGGTTTAAAGTCTATATTAATGACCGACATGATTGATGCGGGACTATTTGGCAATGGACTTCTACAATCTCTCTGCCACGCTTGGGATAATTTTTTACACAAACAAAGTACAATAATCCCTGGAAAAGCTGAATTCTTCGTAGCCGGTGTTAATTGCGTTCAACTCAACAATAAATACAAATTGTGTCAACAAACGAAGAACATTCTCAACATCTCACACCAGAACGTACACACGACTTACTCTGCAGAGGCGTACGGCAGCGAAGATATAAATTTGTACGAGGACCTTAAATACACAAGTGAGCCGCACTCCTTGTTTACTATAGATTTCAAAAGCCGCGATGAGGTCATCGAGATGCTTAAGAAACAGAGGCCCTACAACGCTGTATTCAATCCTACGGTGAACGATGAAATCAACATGATTGTCGGTTGGTTTAATCTATATTTGACCGACGATATAATGTTAACCAGCGACCCAAGATCGGAAAATAGGACAAGAGCGTGGCAGCAAGCGGTTTTCTTTGATGTTGTCCCGAGAAGAGTGCGACGGAACGAGAGTTTCAGTATTCCTTTTGTATCCTACGGCGGTAGACTGGCGGCGATACCAGAATCGGGACAGGTCATCCCAAGAGTATCACGTGAAACGTTGGTCTTCTTGAACGATACAGAATACATGAACATGATAACAAAGTCAATTGGGATTGTATGTTTGCACGTAGGACAGACAATGTGTCTAGAAGATGTCGACATTGTGGACTTAAGTCCGTTCCCTCTATTCGGAGTACTTATGATGAAACGGGGTGCCAATTCACTCGTTTGTAAAGTGAAGGGAAGTGAAGACACAGCTTTCCTCAATTCAGTATTGGAGGAAAACGGAATACCAGCAAGCAAAATCACTATTTTGGATTCGGACTATTGGTCTTGTGAACTATACAATAACAAGAAGTTCCATGTAATTTTCACAAACATTTTTGATAATAGTGGAGAGATTGATGTGAAACAACAGTCAATATTACATCATCTTCAGAAGTCACATTTGACTTCTAATGGTATATGTTTACCCGCATCTGTGACTGTCATGGGACAATTGGTATACAGTGATGAACTGGAAATCAGCAATCGGATAATCGACGACAACGTTGGATGCCGCATGGCGAAATACGTGAACTGGTATCAAGTCTCACAGCTCAGCTGCTCAGACATTACACAGTCAAACTTTGTTCCTTTATCTGAACCATTCGAAGTTGCTTCGTGTCAGGATATGTGTTCGAACTTGGTGCAAGTACCTATTGTACAAGACGGTGTGTGTAACGCTATTCTTTGTTGGTACAAAGTGCAACTAATTGACGGTTGGAATGCCACCTGTACGAATAGGAGGAATAGTTTTATTCCAAGTACAGCGTACATGACCAACGCTCTCCGTAAAGTTTTCAAAGACGATGAGGTAAATGTTCTTCTTTGTGTGGACCTACACGGCACTTTCAAGTTAGCATTGGATGTTGAACCTTATTGACACTGTGTAATTTACAGTTTAGTTTTTCAAAGATATGTGTTATGACTAAATATTTGGTGCATCAGTTTAGTCTTTTACATGTACACGTGTTACAAAAATATTCCTAGAGTGAGATAGTGAGTGAGAGCAGTCACTTTAATGAATATATTATAAATTAAAAAAAGTTTTGAAACCATTAAAATAAAAAGAAGTGCATTTTGTGTCACTTGCGCTCCTACAAGCATCTAGTAAAACTTATGTCACGCCGTTGAACACGTACATATAGGCACTTGATAAGCAGACAGAAATCACGAAGGAAATCGAAAACGAGTTTAGGTCAGTTTTCTTGAAATCAAGACCTTGAATTTGGGTATAATCGAGAGGACAATTTTAAGAGCGTCTTGAATTTAATTATACCCAAGCAACGTCGACCTTCTCCACGATATCGACAAATACATATACAAATATAGCTATTCCACCGAAGCGCTTTACTCCTTCAAGAAAACATTAAGTATGGACACAAGTCACGTCAAAGACGAGAAGAACAAAGTGTACATTCTATTAACAATAAAGATTTTGATTTGATTATTATTTGATTTGATTACTTATCCCTTTAGACGATGACAGTGAAAACACTGATGGAAACAGAACATAAGCATAGAGTGAACAAGAGCCCCAATCTTGCAATATAGGCATCGAGAGAGATGGATAATAGATAGATACCTCATCTCTTTCTAGTCGAGCTCTGTGGTTGAGCGGGGAATACGAGGAGTTAATAAGTAGCCAATCGTAGCTTAGCTAAACAGAGACAGAGGAAATTATCACGTATCCATCTCTTTCGTTGCTTCCACTTACCCGGCAGACAGCCGTACCCCGTGTTCTTTTGCTAAATTACGACGTAATACTTATGGGGAGGTAATAAATGTAGATACTTATATACAGAGGTGTCGGTAACCGTAACAGTGTCGCGAGTTCAATGGTTTTTTTCCCATCTCAAAAAATACATTCTTTTGTTTGTTGACCAAAAATGCCCAACGCGCCTCAAAAAGTTTTTACTTAAAAAACAATTACCTCGTATACGTTTACTCGTATGTTTGTAAAGTCCCCTGCGACACAGGATATATTGATGATGCGGAAATTGTCTTTTAAAAAGAAAAGGATAAGAAAGAACGATACTTTTGAAAAAAAAAGGTCTAATAAAGACCCAAGGAACTCTTGTTAAAACAACAAATATTTTATTTTATGTTATTTATTTTATTGTATCATAGCTTAAGTTAGTACAGCATGCCCTACAAAGGTGAGACGACACTTTAATGATGATGTTTCATTTTAAATATTATAAATGCTCAACATACTTAGGTAAAAGGAAAGGTTTTGTGATGTGTGGTGCAACAACAATCTGACAGGCGCTATGACAGCTGACAGACAATCCAATAATAGCATTCAGTTTACTCACTTACTCTGTTATTGTTTTAGCAGTTTTAATACAATATGGTAATCCTTGTTCTCTACGCATAAATACAAACGTATAAAGAATGTGTTTAGAATGTATTTAGATATCAACTTTAACAATAAACGTAGACGAAAAATGCGATAAATAATATGAGTGTTTATAGAGTTGCCAGTAACACCAATTAGAGAAATATTAATTATAAATGGCAACACATGTATATATTTTAAAGGCATATGGTGTAAAAGCAATAACCAAGTGTTGTGGATTAGATTCCTGCTTGGGACAACAACTTGTGTAATCAACATTCAAATAGTGTGCCCGATTCTGGGTGTAAAGAACACTGTCCCACCTTTGTAAAGTTCCCCGCAAAAATAACTCTTAATGTCATGTTTATTTTTGGATTTAAAAAAAGAAAAAAACATTGCATATGTAATCGACAGCTCTTAGTAAACACTGGTCTTATTCATCGAATTTTTGGTCGTACTGAAATTACACTAACATTGTATTGAGACATATCTCATAGTCAATAACAGAAATACAATTTTTTGTGATCAATCATTAAACCCCGTATCGTATTTAACATAACCACTCTCACTGCGGTTACAGCATCACATATCTAAGATCCCTGTACGTCATACGATTATCTAATTACTAACATATCTTTTAGACATTGTATTGGATATTGACATTACTTTAAAACTTGTTGATAAATGTCTGAAGTGCTTTTCATGTAGTCCTTATTTAAATATTGCTTTTGTTAAATATTATCACAAATGTAGACACTTTCTCGTAGAAATGATCACTTTAATTATAGACATTTAATTACTACAGTATTGTATTAACAAATTATTTATAAGCTTTCGCAACTTGTGGCAAACCAATCGGTATGGTTGATGGTAAGTGGCTAACACTGCCCACGGAAAGATGCAACTCAAGGGACCCAAGTGCGTTGTCGTCCAGAATTTAGGGAGGGGGGGTTTCAGTTTTTAATCTCACCCAATCGGTGAAAGGACCGAAGGAACTGCTTAACACAGGTTTTCTATAAGGCTGTGGTGCCACTCCAATCGAGCCGCCCTGTGGGTGCCGAAGCTCTCCCTCGGTTACATCCATACTTATATCATAAATGCGAAAGTGTGTCGGTCTGTCTGTTACCTCTTCACGCTTAAACCGCTGAACCGATCACATTTAGCACAGAGATAGTTTGAGTCCCGGGAAAGAACATAGGATGGTTTTCAGAAATCATCCTTTATGGGGGTGAAAAGGGCGGTTATTAATTCCCTATAGGGAATTAATAACCGCTGAACTGTTTTAGAAACTTGGTATGGATATAGTTAGACTGTTAAGAAAGGTCGCAGGTTTCGGACGGAGCCGCGGGCAAAACCTAGTATAAAAATACAGATTTAATCTCGATTGGAATTACTCCGACAGTGGTCACAATTGGACCTGTGGCTGGTTAACTATGTACATACGGTAATGTCTTTAAGCAACGGTTCATTTGATGTCATCTTTAACGTTGAGTATCACTTCTCAAATATTATTGTTCGTGGGTGTATAAAGGACACTGATTTATTCAATTGCATGTTTATCCAGAACACTGTTTGGAGCAGTTATGTGACTTTTAATGTGTAATTTAACAAATTTTCTATAAACTATTTGTTTTCTAGTAGCGATTTTTCTAAATTTCTCCAAACTTCATTCTGCAGCCTTAGCCGCGGCGATCACTCCTCTCGCTTGCTCCAATCCTTTTCTATAATATTATAATAGTCAATGTTAAATATTACAGTCGCCCATCTGTGTTAACACCAATACTAGGCCTTATTTTTTGTTGACGGGGTGAAAAATGCAGTATGTGGTGATTCCACTAAAAAGCGTCAGGGTGACGGCCAACCTAGGCATCATACTCTGGGAGGACCATGTAATTTCAGGTCCTGCTCGAAACGACACCATGAATAATCAGGCCTTATCCCAGGGACCAATAGTAGGCTTAAGGAGGGACGCAAACGGGCCCTGCATTATGCGTATATTATGTATGAGATATAAAACCGTTTGGGTTTGTACGAATTGGTTTTAAAGCATTCAAGAGATCGATGGTATTTTCTGGTAAACGATGGCAAAAGAAGAATTAGTGTAGTAGCGATGAACGCTAGATGTACTCACAGATGCAGAGGGTTGTCGGTGTCTAGTCGTTGCAGTGCCAACGTGGCGAGCGCGGCCAGTCGCTGCAGCGCTTTAGCACGCAATGCGCCGTGGCGCGGTAGCGTGGCGCTCAGCGCCGCAGCCGCTGCAGCTGCATACGTGCCCGGCGCCGCGCCCGCACCCATACACAGCGTATCTGCGCAACATAACCACTTTAATAAATGGGCTTTGCCTCTGACTTTGGAAATGTTTAAAACCGGCATTTTCATATTTAATGATCTGTGGATTGACGAAAAATTCGAAATTCAAATAAATTTTTGGCACAACGTGAGGGGTGGCGCTACGTACCTATGAGCTTGAGGACGAGCGGGTCGGCGTGCAGCAGTGGCGGCGGGCCGACCGGCGCGCAACGTGAGGGGTGGCGCTACGTACCTATGAGCTTGAGGACGAGCCGGTCGGCGTGCAGCAGTGGCGGCGGGCCGACCGGCGCGCAACGTGAGGGGTGGCGCTACGTACCTATGAGCTTGAGGACGAGCCGGTCGGCGTGCAGCAGCGGCGGCGGGCCGACCGGCGCGCAACGTGAGGGGTGGCGCTACGTACCTATGAGCTTGAGGACGAGCCGGTCGGCGTGCAGCAGTGGCGGCGGGCCGACCGGCGCGCAACGTGAGGGGTGGCGCTACGTACCTATGAGCTTGAGGACGAGCCGGTCGGCGTGCAGCAGTGGCGGCGGGCCGACCGGCGCGCAACGTGAGGGGTGGCGCTACGTACCTATGAGCTTGAGGACGAGCCGGTCGGCGTGCAGCAGTGGCGGCGGGCCGACCGGCGCGCAACGTGAGGGGTGGCGCTACGTACCTATGAGCTTGAGGACGAGCCGGTCGGCGTGCAGCAGTGGCGGCGGGCCGACTGGCGCGCAACGTGAGGGGTGGCGCTACGTACCTATGAGCTTGAGGACGAGCGGGTCGGCGTGCAGCAGTGGCGGCGGGCCGACCGGCGCGCAACGTGAGGGGTGGCGCTACGTACCTATGAGCTTGAGGACGAGCGGGTCGGCGTGCAGCAGCGGCGGCGGGCCGACCGGCGCGCAACGTGAGGGGTGGCGCTACGTACCTATGAGCTTGAGGACGAGCGGGTCGGCGTGCAGCAGCGGCGGCGGGCCGACCGGCGCGCAACGTGAGGGGTGGCGCTACGTACCTATGAGCTTGAGGACGAGCGGGTCGGCGTGCAGCAGCGGCGGCGGGCCGACCGGCGCGCAACGTGAGGGGTGGCGCTACGTACCTATGAGCTTGAGGACGAGCGGGTCGGCGTGCAGCAGCGGCGGCGGGCCGACCGGCGCGCAACGTGAGGGGTGGCGCTACGTACCTATGAGCTTGAGGACGAGCGGGTCGGCGTGCAGCAGCGGCGGCGGGCCGACCGGCGCGCAACGTGAGGGGTGGCGCTACGTACCTATGAGCTTGAGGACGAGCGGGTCGGCGTGCAGCAGCGGCGGCGGGCCGACCGGCGCGCAACGTGAGGGGTGGCGCTACGTACCTATGAGCTTGAGGACGAGCGGGTCGGCGTGCAGCAGCGGCGGCGGGCCGACCGGCGCGCAACGTGAGGGGTGGCGCTACGTACCTATGAGCTTGAGGACGAGCGGGTCGGCGTGCAGCAGCGGCGGCGGGCCGACCGGCGCGCAACGTGAGGGGTGGCGCTACGTACCTATGAGCTTGAGGACGAGCGGGTCGGCGTGCAGCAGCGGCGGCGGGCCGACCGGCGCGCAACGTGAGGGGTGGCGCTACGTACCTATGAGCTTGAGGACGAGCGGGTCGGCGTGCAGCAGCGGCGGCGGGCCGACCGGCGCGCAACGTGAGGGGTGGCGCTACGTACCTATGAGCTTGAGGACGAGCGGGTCGGCGTGCAGCAGCGGCGGCGGGCCGACCGGCGCGCAACGTGAGGGGTGGCGCTACGTACCTATGAGCTTGAGGACGAGCGGGTCGGCGTGCAGCAGCGGCGGCGGGCCGACCGGCGCGCAACGTGAGGGGTGGCGCTACGTACCTATGAGCTTGAGGACGAGCGGGTCGGCGTGCAGCAGCGGCGGCGGGCCGACCAGCGCCAGCGCGGCGCGCAGCAGACGCACGCCTGCGCCGACGCAGCGCCGCCAGAACGCGCCGCCAGCGCCCTCCATCGCTCTGCAACGGCATCAACGCTCGGTTCATTGTGTCTTTCTCGCATTTATGCAAAAACTATCAAACTCTTAAGGACTGTATTTTTTCTGAACGTGTGTAGTGAATTTTAGGATAGTTAGTAATGTATGTAAATAAAATAAAAGTGCGAATAACAAAACTAGTTTTCTGCATAAGATTTGAGTGTTAAGACTATTCTAGGTTTATATTAAAAGAGAAACCGAACATAGATTTAAATAAATCAGTCAGTATGTAGTAGTTTTTAGAGTAGGGCACGGACATAGAGAGTGCTGTGGATTGAGTAGGTAAGGGCACGGACATCGTCGAAAGCGAAATCGGTTTTCTTTATTCAAGTTAAATTTCATAAAACTATACCACAACATGGGAAACTTTATCAACGTAACCCTCGGTTAAACGATAAGAGATACCGAGGGCATCTTAACTTTTGAAGTGAGAAAACGAGAATCGGTTCGTTAGAGGCGCGGGTGGCGTGACTCACTGCGGCGTCAAGGCGGGCAGGAAGACGTCGGCGGCGAGCGTGGCGGCCAGGCGCGCCCTGGCGGCGGCCCCGAGGCGGCGCAGCGCGGCGCGGCTCGCCGGCAGCGCCGCCACCCGCACCGCCAGCTGCCGCACGCGCACGCACGCGCGCACGCACAGCGGGTCCCACGCGCACTCCACCAGCTCTGCCGACGGACACGCCGATTATTCACTTGCCGATCGATCGATTTAATACTACACCGGGATCCTAGCACTTAACGGGCGCCGTAATGAATACACGAAGTATTTTTACAGAATAAATGTTTGCCGTTTTATAAACATGAATTCTGTCCGCCTATCGTCTACAATAGGGTAGATTCCTAGGTTTAAAATAAATTATTTAGCCTGCATCATTAAATGTAACATCTCAAAGTAGAGGCTGAATTGTCCTCAATTGTCAATTTAATCTTTTTATTGATTTGATATCTTGAAATCAACGTTAAATATAAAGGTTTTGACAATAACTAGGTATGACGAAATAGGTCACGAATTAGTATCTCATACAAAAATGTACCGCGTCTAGCGTTTTGACGTTTAAAAAAAGACACTGATTTGACTTGACAGTCATCTACCCTATTATATTTTATGTGCATACATAAACAGAAAAGATTTTATGGAGTACCACAGTAAAGACTCCTTAAGAATCGACTTTCAAATAAGACGCCCGGTATGAAAAAATATAAAGAGTAAAATTTAGTGATCGAATGACCTCATTACGTTTTTTGTACGTTTTTCACATGTGTGTGTAACTTGTATCCTTGTGTACAACTGAATCGTTCTTAAGAAGTAAACTCCAGTCGAGCGTCGGAGGTAACACACACACTTTTTTTATCAAAATTATTTATGTTAATCAAGTTTACGACATCAGTACTGACACTAAATTGATATTATAACTATATTCTTTTTCGTTTTATACGCTTGCAGGATAAAGAGTATTGTGCGACCATATTTTACCTGTCAACTTCGGAAGCACGACTTTGCTCATTAAAGTCGGTATAAGGAGTAAGTCAGGATCGTCCCTGACGGCCTCCTCGGTGACCGCCATGGGTTCGGGTTCACCTTCCGACCCAGACTCCGACGAGTCGCCCGACCTCTCGCTACGAACACCATACATCAGCAGAGATCTGAAATGTTTCACACATTAGTAACCTAGTATTTTAGGTGTTTGTTTGTCAGTTTGACAATTACATTCTTCAGCTAATTGTCAAATCTTGTACGCATTCCATCCCATTCACTCCCAATATCTACATCCATGAAAAAAGACGATAAGTTTCTATTACACAAGTGAACACACATTCTTTTCTCTTTTACTGCTCGAATATGAGCGAGTGACACATCCTGTCACAATGAATAAAATTATAAATGAACAACGTTAAGAATTCTGTTTGCGATACTTAAAAACATAACGTATTCTGCTTCGTATCTTCGAACGTGCTACGACTTATGAAAAGACCCCTGACCTTCACAAAACTCCAAGTACGTTTTGTTCAATCATACTTGCTTTTCATTATCATAATTCTATCAAAAATGTGTGTCGGTTATGTTATTAAAACGTAACAAGTGTTAAGCCAGGTATAATATTTTTATTATTAATTAAATGATTGAAGTTGTATCAAATACATTAAGAATTAAAGTTTTAGTATAGCTCACTTGTACCAATCCATTTTCTCGTAGTCTTCATTGTTCTCATCGGCCAGTGGATTCCATAGTATCAACTGTAACAATAAACAAATATTAATATCATGTTATAAAGACAGTTGAGCCCGCAAGCATTTTATTGAAATTTCTAAATATATTCATTATTATGCTAGCACGTAACTACTTTTTCTCATTCTCGCACTCCTTTTGATCTACTATGTCCTCGCGGAATTTGTGATTTGAAAAACTATCTGCACACCAAAATATAATTATGCTGTATGTCACGTCAACACATCAAAAGCCTTTAATAGTCCACTGCTGGACACAGGCCTATCCTCAGAAAGGAGGTTTCGGCCTACCATACCACGCTGGCCAGGCGGGTCGGTATAGTGTTTGTGTCAAGTTTTCCTTCTCTTTGCAGTGCTGGTTGTCCTGCGTTAGCTCCCTTAGCCGGCTAGAATAGGGGTGGTGACAATCCGTATTCTTAATCCGTCATCACACGGAACGGTATGTCTCGTGTCGGGTGTCGAGTGGGGGGTGTCGAGTGGGGTGTGTCGAGTGGGGTGTGTCGAGTGGGGAGTGTCGAGTGGGGTGTGTCGAGTGGGGGGTGTCGAGTGGGGTATGTCGAGTGTGACGTGGAGTGTCGTGTGACGTGGATAGTGTCGTATGACGCACCTGGTGGCGGACGTAGGGCGCGAGCAGGCGCGGCAGGCAGTCGGCCACGTAGGCGTCGGCGTAGAGCTGCGCGGCGCGGGCCCGCCAGCGCGCCATGCGCCGGCACACGCCCGCCACCGAGCGCCACGCCGGCAGCGCGTCCGCGAACAGCCCGTCCGCTGCCGTCCGGATCGCGTCTGATAACATATATACAGTTTTTTTTAATAAGGTCGAGAACTGAACATATTTATAAACTAGAATAGTGAAAAAAATTGCATGCAACAAGTTTGCATTATTGCCTCAGATGCAATGGTGTGGCCCCTAATTTGTTAGGTTAAAGATCCAAAAATCAGAACCTTAGAGTTAAAACATTTTTGATGCGAATCATACAAGTCCGGTCGTTGATGGGGCGATGCGTCGTCACGCCATGTGATAGTAATGTGACATGTTATACGATGTGGCGATACGTCACCACATTCAAGTAAATCTGGGACTCTCTCGAGTTGATTTATCAAAGTGATTTTAAACTCATTATTTCAACAAAATAATTACAATGCTTGACATTTGGTAAAAGTCCCACAACTGTCCATTTGTTTTTAGATTTTACATACGACCATTGTTCATTTAGCAACAGACCATCGAAATTGTCAAAAATTTGGTTTTCCTGCTAACCGAGAAGTAGACGTTTGAAAGGCCATTTGATCGACGAAAATACGCAGTCGTATAATTAAATCTATACACATTCAAAACTGCAGATTTTTCTGTCTTATGTGATATGGAACGCTTTCAAGCGTCGTTATATCGTCACGATCGTAGAATAATGTCGGTTTTAAAAGAAATACGAAATTCAGTTTTTTCGATATTTGGATACTACATTGTCTAAATATTATTATTACATTCAGTAAACTGACGGATTCGATAGACGTTCAAAGTAAAATGAAGCATGTGATTTTTCTAGAAAATTGTGTAATTGTTAGTCGTTATTTTTATTGCATTTTAAAACAAATTCTATTTTTCACTCGTATGCCAATTTTCATAATTACAGATTTAGAATTAAATTGTCAAAAAACTTAAATTAAATTATTTGAAACGGCTGCCTACGGGGCCTACAAGTCCAATAAATGTCGGATCCGACACCATCTTACGAGTAGACATAGAAAGGAGATGGTCACCTCTCTCGTTGGCGTAGTGGTGCAGCTCGGCGGGCGGCAGGTCGTCGTCGGAGGAGTCCCCCTCGCGGTGCGGCAGCGCGGCCCCGGCGGCGGCGGCGGCCGACTCGCGCTGCAGGCGCCGCGCGCGCCGCCGCCCCTCGCGCTCCGCCGCGCGCCGCGTCTTCTCCTCGCACTCCGCCGCCTTCGCGCTCCCCCCTCGACCTGGGGGGGACCCTACTTTATACACGCTAATTGTTCAACGAATTTGAGAACTCGGAGTGAGACGAACGTAGACTTCGATTTGTTGCACGCGATGAAAAGCAAGAATTTAACGATCTAACTTTAGTGCTACATAAAGTATTTTCAAAAAGATTATATATACTATAGTCTATACGCGTTAAGAAAATAGTGACGCGTCGATCGAGCCCCGATTCCAAAAATCTTCGTTTCGTACGTAAGTTATTCAATTTAATTTATCATCAAATACATATTATTCTGCTGTTTTTTTTCTATTATTATATTATTAATCTCAACTGCGAAAAAAAAATTATAAGATCTTCTGACACAAGTTTGTCCATACTTGAAAGGCCTCAGCAATTTTAATGAACACGTAGAAAAATATACGTTACCAGTTGCCAATACGTCCTGGGCCTGATCTCGTAGATCTGCCCTCCGTCGTTCTACGAGAAACTCGCACCGGCGCTTGTGCAGCGCAAGCGCACGCGCTTCTAGCGCTTCTAGTTGTGGCATCTGTGAAAATTTCAGTCCAATGTACTATTATAAATAAGAAAAGAAAAGAATTGAACATTTACCATTGAACATTTAACATGTGCACTAATGCACTCTCAAAAAATATGAAAAATAGTCAAAAACACAAAAATCAATTTGATATATTTAGATAAATAATATAAGGAAGAGGAACGATTATTTGTTTGTTTTCAACTAACTCTAGCTACAAAGTTAAAATATATATAATGTTTTTTTTACTATAAGTATAACTCAACTTTGTTATATTAAATAACGTAATACAAGTTTTTACTAGTACACAAAAAAATCAAGTGTTAAATTTAGTTCAACAAAGCTAGTTAAGGTTTACCTTTTCGTCTAAACACTCGATAAGGTCAGTGAGGTAGCCGCGTATTGCCTGCGCGCGCCGATACGCGGCGTCTAACTCCGCGCAGCGCGCAGATCGACTCTCGCGCATTCTTGCGGCGGCAAGAAGTCGATCGCGCAGGTCTGTATGGGTTTGTTCGGTTTTGTAATGCTCCATGCGTAGTTCTTCCAGTCTACAAAATAAAATTATATTAAAGTCACTTCCATAAAGAGAGAGAGTATCTTTTTTTTGATTAATCAGAAGTACCAGTTCCTTTTGACAACCTTTTATTAACTAAGTAACAACGTAAACAAGTTTTCTGTCCAGTGAGATACAGGAAGCAAATGAGGATACAATTTCAAGATCAGCTTAGTGCAAGTTTATTTCATATCTACTCGATCATCACGGTGAGCACATCCGACGTTGCGATTGGCCCGCGCTGAACTCTACACCAATCACAAAGCCAAACGCGGTCACCGTGACGATCAAGTAGCTGTGAAATAAACTCGCACTTGGGGCTATCCAAAACATTGCCTGCCTTCGAAGTTAGAGTATATTTCAGGCGACAATTTCTTCCACAGATTGAGTGTCTCGCAGAAAACCGGTTTTTAGCAAGTTTTTGATTGCTTTCCAACGAGTGAGGTTAACGGAGCTCAAACACAAGTCTGGACAGCGTAGTATAGTAAGCCAAAACCTCCTTTCTAAGGAGAGGCCTATGTCCAGCAGTGGACTGTTAAAGACTGTCACTGTGACGTGATGTGTGATGTATAATACAAGTGAAAAAAAAAACAAGATACCGTTTGTGAAGTGCAGTGACGAGTTCCTCGGCGGAGGTGGGCGGGGCGGTGTTGTCGGTGGTGAGGGGCCTGAGGTGCGCCGCCACGGCCAGTTGCGGGCCCGCCGCAGGCAGAGAGAACGGGTTTACTTCTATAGCGCCGTCACCTGCAACATTACGTTGATTACTAACAATCTCATCAAACCTTTTTTACATATATATATATCTATGAAAGAAGGAACTGACTGACTGGTCGATCAACGTACAGCTAAAACCACTAGGTCTAAAAGCATGACATTTTGAACAAATGTTCCTTAGGTGACGTACGTTTGCACTAAGAAAGGATTTTTAAAAATTTCAATTCCAAATTTAAAAAAAATGCCAAATTTATTGACGAAATTGATATTTACGCGAGCGAAGCCGTGGGCAAAAGCTACTGTTATATACATGGTCAGGAGAACAGACTATCTAGTCCTTTTATCTAATAAGCTCATTATTAAAAAAAATTAAAATAAACGACTGCATAAAATGTTTAATTTAAAATTTACAAACCGGCAATTTTAATTTTTATATAATACGATGCTAACCGCGACTCTCGTAAAAGGCCTGGACCGCTTTGACAAATTTTATGTCTTATATGTTTATTATAATTGGAATAAGGTTTTCAGGTGAAGAAAATTTATAAATGTTGCTCCGTACATGTGGAATTTGGATTTGGACAAGATTTGTGGGACCGCTAGTATCTGATAACAAAATGGTATATGATAAATTTAATGATAAAATGTTCAAATGTGCAAAAGTTAGTACTTCATTTAAAATTTTATTTTCCACATTTAAAAAAAATCGTTAACTGTTCCCTTAAAATAAAATACTACTGCGAAAAAAAGGAAAGGTTTTGTTTGTACTGAATTCTTATTTCTGAAGCTATGTTTGTAAGTCTCTTAAAAATACAACAAAAGAAAGAATCATTATTTAAATAAAAGTTAATGTATTATATTACCTTTAAAAAAACAATTAAACGTTTATATTTTTATCACATAAAAAGATTATTGTTAAATTGTTTCAATATATTTATGTGTACTGATATACTGCTTACAATAAATTGGAAAAAAATCCAATAAAGGGTTTTTTAAACCAAATTTTAAAAGACCTAAATTTTGCTGTCGTCTAAATTTATTGAATCAAGGCAAAAGTATGACCGTTTTGGAAAATTCCCAAATACAAATATTCAGAAGTACAGATCCATACCTGTTAAATTCAAATTGTATTTATATTGCTAATTATTGTTAAATATGAATGAGTTAAAATCACACAAACAAGTAATGTATTCATCAGACCAGTGATGTCGATTATGGCGGGCCGTGCTTTCTGTAACTGCTGTGAGGCCCACTCTTCGGTTTCGCTATCTAATTCCTCTTCTGATACAGCCGCTGTGCCACCTGCATCATACAAATTATTTTTAAAGCCCTGTTTTGATCATCCTTTAGACGACGACTGCGACTATGGTGTCCCTCGACTTTCGCCCGATACTTTGTGTTCCATCTTAACGACAACTGGGCAATGTGGACAAAGCAACTGTCAAGGGACAATGGCAGTCGCAGACGACATGTTTCCCAGTGAATTTATGGCTTTATTAAATCAACAAACCTAAGTGCTGTCAACTCATACTATTATAATGCACTAAAGACTGCACGGGTGGCGTAGTGGTTCAATTGGTCGCCACGCCGCTCCCTAGTGCGCTGAGTGTTGTGGGATCGATCTCCATATGGAACAACACTTTGTGTTATCTATGTGACTCCTGCGATACAGGGTATCCTCCTAAAGTACGAGTTGTATTTAAAAAAAAAAAAGAGAGAATAGCGTGTATTAGGGAGATCGATCGAATAAGCTCTAAAATAGCATAAAGTTGAGATTACAATGAGAGATGAATTTTGCGAGCTGTGACAATAAAACATGTCCTCATTCAGTTTACGAAAAATACATCTTAAAAACCACACGAATTGAAATTGTGATTATCAAGTCTTAAAACTTTATTGCAAAACATAAGGACTTTTGCTTTACCAAAATAGGGCTAAAATTATGTGTCTAATATACTAACAAAAATGGACGACTTACGTTTAGGCTTATCATCAGGCATCTCCAACCCTCTGACGAGTATTCTGCCCTCTTCCTCGTCCTCATCACCGGAGCCATCGTCCCGAACCAGCCTGGAGCCAGGAGCAGAGTCGGACTTCAACGGTAAATAATCACCGAGTTCGCGAGCCTACGAGAAATGGAATGCTATTGGATTATCAAGCTTTCATAGAACTGCAGCGCTGTGGGTAAGGCTAATCACAATTACTGAACTTTATATCCGGCTCGAAGGACCATAAATGTACAGGCCGCATGTACACTTTAGGATAGTAGTTGAGTAGTTAGCAGTCTATTGAGTAATCAGGAAAAAACCGGCAAACGTAATAAGTATATTTAAGTAAAATGTATAGAGTAGCGATTCTTTCCTTGATTGTGCTTTGTCAGTCTAATGGTTTGTGGCGTACTCACTCATAAAGTATTAATTAATGTATTTATAACAATAATAACGCTCAGCTAAAAGTAGGCCGCAGCGTGTCCACAAAATTATCTATATGTAAAAAGTAAAACCTATTTGTGATCGTACATAGGTACTAACTTAGGTTGTAAAAGCTTTATCACACGTATTGCAGCACGTATTTGAATAATACAGAATAATATAAAGCGTAAACAACTATTTATGAAGAATTTATTGTTGAATTTTTAATCTAAGTGATTAGCCTTTTGACACATGCTCTGCAACATAGAATAATCAAAAAATTATCATAACAAACCTGAATGTATAACAAAACAAAACATTGAAGACTATAAGTAACCCATTTTGTATGGCAATATTTTAAGCACCTTAATTTGATCCTGATGACAAGACTCGGTGTGCGCGAACCTTACCTGCCTTAACCTTACCTATTTACAATTTTAAGAGACATGACCCCATAAGATATTTCATGTAAAATATTGCATGAAACAACATGCAAAACATTGCTGTAGTATGATAATTTGCGAAATTTTGACAATAAATTGTTTGAAATTTTTTGGTATTTCTTCAAGCTTTATCTGAACTGAGAAATATACAGTAATGTAAGAAAGGAGGCAACAATTATGTAACAAAAAGGGTCCTGTTTATAAGATCATTGTCTAACAAAAAAGACAAAAGATTTTCGAAAAGTAAACAAACAAATAGTAATTTTTCCACGACGAATGACTCCTTTCTAAGCTCCTACGCAAGATCCAAACTGGAGACAACGACGCAGCCACGGCGACGGCCATTAGTCCCTCACCTCTCATACCTGCTGTCTGGTCTTGCGAGCTGCGTGGATGAGTGCCGCGTCAGGTATTCCGGGCTTGGCAAGTGCGGCCCGGACGGTTTCTGCGCGATACTTGTGGAACCCTCGCGAATCTTCTTCCTCGTCATCCTCCCCCCCACTGGTCACGTCACCTTCGCCGTCTGCAGCAAGCGCCTCTCGACCAGAAAGTATAAGACCTTCCAAGGTAATCTTCTTCTTTGTCTTCCGCTGTGTTATCTCTGTGTCGTCGTTCTTTTCCTATATTTAGAGTGGCATTATAGTAAAATCACATGATAATCTAATATTAGTGATGTGCCGAATATCTATGTCCGCATCCGCGAATGCCGAGGGAAAAACGTTTATATGTATGCTTATACCCATACGTATGTTTATACTTAAACATTATTATATCACGTTTATGAAATTCTGATCTTTTGTGACTATAATAGGTAATTTTTGCATTTTTTTAATGTTTTGTTTAGTAAAATTAAATATACGTAAGATTAACGCGTGCAGAGCTAGTCGATACATGCAGTGTTATTAATCTTTAATGTCATCCTGTTCTCGTTTCAAGCTCACACATATTGACATAAACTAAAAACATATTTGAAAACCTTATTCACGGATCTGGACACATACAATCTGTATTTGTATCCGCAGAAATAGATTTTTAAATATCCAACACATCACTATCTAATATGTATATGACTAGAACTAAAGAACTTACCAAGAACTCCTGTCTTAAGTTACGTTGTCTATGCCTAGACTTACAATCAGTTCACTAATGTCATAGAAAGCTGATCACTTAATAAACATCATGTGCTATGTGACGTATCAATTACCTAAGTAAACATTTATCTATTTTATAACAAAAAGGACCCATTGTTGTTTAAGAATTTTTACATAATAATAATAATTTGTCACTTCTCACTGATTAAAATCAATGAAAATTATTTTTATCAAAGATATAACCTTTTCTTTTTTTTTTACTTTTTGCAAGTCTTGTGCTAGCATAATAATTAAGTAGCAGTGGTTTTGTAAATCAGTCACAGGGGTGATGACATGATTTATCACATGTGATTATGATTTTATTCCAACCCTACTGGTCAAGCTCCCCCATGTGTGCCCAAGTGTGAGCATAGCTTTCCTACTCTTTGATAAATCTTAATTAGTAGCAGAAAATTAACTCCTGACTACATTTAAACAAAAAGTTAGGCTACACCTAATTAGACGTATTTAGGTAAACAATGCTATTCACCCGGATAATGTACAGTCCACCTTACCTCATATCCGTTATTGTCATATTTGATATCATCACCATCAGTTCTATCATCACGCTTCTGTTTTTCTCTTTCCTTTTCACGTCGTTTTGCTAATCTCTTACTTTGAGAAGACTTCTTTACCTTGAAAACTTCACCTTCTTCCTCTAAAAATGAAGGCAACAGTCAGATTAGAAAGACCATTGAATCATAAGCACATTTACAATCTTGCAGAGGTTCATTTTGTACAGAACTCATTTTCAGAAAAAGCTTCCAGAACTATTACATTCTAATGAAACTAGACGTAAATCAATACAAATATCACATATTAACATGAACTCACTTCATTCAGTTATTCAGTTAGTATTTTTTTTTTCTTTAAAAAAGACAACTCCCACATATATACTGTGTCGAAGGGGACTTTACAAATATACATGAAACGGACACAAAGAACACCCAGACTCAGAACAACAATTTGTGGATCATACAAAGTGTCGTCCCATGTGGGGTTTGAACCCACAACACTCGGCGCAGTAGGAAGCGGCGTGGCGACCGCTTAAACTACTACGCCATCCGTACAGTTGTTGTAGATTGTTCTTTGTAAATTAGTATTAAAAAAAAAAAATTGTCAAGAAAAAAATGAGACATTACGAGTTTTAGACCTAGTTTGTCAATATCCTCTTTAAAGTTTACTTTTACACTATTTAAAACAATTTAGTCGGCCCATGTAATCCTAGAGTGTGAGAGTACACACAATAGGCTAGTAGCCTGGGAATGCCCCAGGAGGCTTATGTGCTTCTGGAAGAGGTTTGATTCTAGACTACCTTTTCTCCACAAATAAAAGACATATTTTTTGTCTAAATCTGGAGACTAGGCTCTAGTCTCCTCCTTACACCAATACTTGTTTACAGTTTTCAATACATATATAGCAGATAAAACACTTCTTTGAGATTTCTTTGAAAAATATTATCTATTAAACATTTTAACTGTTGAGAAAACTTAGTCAATCTAAAAAATCATTAAAATATTTATACTTCAAAATTGAAAATACCATTTATGTAATTTTGTACTAAAAGAACAAAAACACAAAAGCTCAATCACCATAAAAATGATGACTTTATGTGTAGTACTATATACTAAATAATGTACTGCTTTCATTTAGAACTGATCAATAATTTAAGAATCCTAGGTCTAAAAAGTAAGTCCTTTTAATTGTACTTGTGTTTGAGGACCACAAATTCCTTAAATTTGGGAACCCACAATAACATTTATTATAAATTACAATCAGCATATTTACAGTATATTTAAACACAATATTAATGTTATAAGATATATTAAGTATGTATTTTGAAACTAAATACATAGAAGGCATTACAAATACTTCCTTGCAGTATAAAGTTTATTACAACATAAACGATTCGATACGAACTTTATGATAGACTTTAATGTAAACTATGATTACTACATTATACAGTAGAATGCCTGCCTTCCATCAAGACAATACGGTATAATTACCTTCGTCGGCGAAGCTCAATGATGGGGTGCTTTTAGCAACCTTGGGTTCCTTCCTTTCATAGCTAATAACAGGGGGCGGCGGAGGCTCCGGATCTCCATCCTCGTCGTCATCAGCGCAAAACATACGGCGCTGAATCTTCTTGGGTTTTCGAAACATAGACATATCAACTATTACTGGTTTATGCACAGAATTTAGTCAATGTTAAGCTCTTTGAGTAATTGAGCCAAATGTACAAACAGTTGCATAAACGTCAATCGCTTAAGTTATAGGAAAAAAAAATTACTTATTAACTAGATTTTAGGTTTGACAAGATACAATTCACAAAATAGAAAACTTCCTTCTTAATTTACTTTCGCTATAATCTTTCGTGACATTAATGCCTTCAACAGCCTTCAACTACAATCATGTACTCTGTGACTACAATACTCCAATCCAAATGGACAATCACAGATAATAAAATACTAGTCACAACTCAAAGATAGACAAAAATGAAGGTTAGGCTGGCAAAAAAAATCTTATAAATCAATTTTTCCGTCTTAAATATCGTTACAATCAAATATTTTTTGTTTTGATATTTCAAATTTTCTTTTAAATGCCGTATTTATATCAATCGTCACATGTTTTGAATGCTGCTCTTATTACATGTACAAATTCTTATGGCCGATTTATCTTAAAATACCCCGTTGTCAGCAGGGCCGCCGGGTACCGGTGAAATTTTCAAGCCCGATGGAAACTTTGGTTTGAAACAGCATGCCAAATCCCACCCACTCCATAGGGCTAGCTGTTTCTACTGAAGATGAAGAGAGACAAACAAAAGGCTCGAGCGAAAAAGTGATCTCACAGAAACAGAAAATCGGTTCTAAACACTTCGTTGGTTGCTTTTCTCTGTGTGGGTAAGTTAATGGAGCTTACTCACCTACTCGGTATATTACACACCTCTTAATAAATCTAGTTGTTAAAAACAAGCTTTAACTTAAACATTAAAACTTACATAATCTTTTTCTCTGAATCTTGTTCTTGTAAAACTTACCAAGTTTTTAATTGAGTTAAATCTCATACGTATACATAGTTTTTATTATTTTCTGGTAAAGCCTGTAGAATTTACTTTTAAAACTATGCGTTGAAGTGGTAAGTGGTAGAAATGGTTTTTAGTAGAAACCTTGCCAAGAGTACGTGGCCCCACTATACTATACACTAGTAAATACTAGAGATGGGCTTAAATGTTAAAAAATAATAGCACTGCTAAATGCTAATGCTAACAATAATTAACGCTTAAAATTAGCAGTTATTTTTAGCAACTGTTAAATTTTATCACAGACAGATTGTTAACCTAATTAATTCTCATTCCTTCATACTTTTCACAGGCTTAGGACTGTCAACTTTTTCTGTTGGCGTATTTAATATGAGAATCAATTTACATATTTACAACGATTTCTTTTTTTTAATGCGTAATTTTTTTTTTTAATTTTTTTTTTCTTTTTTTTCTTATATCTACATAACACTTGGTAACATTACTTTTCTTAAAATTTTATAAATTTTTTATTGCCATTTAAAAATGTTAATTGTTTGACTTTTCGGACTCCAAGTCGAGTTCTTCGTTGCGAAATTATGTAACCAGTTCGAGAAAAAAGTCTTTCGCAAGAAACAGAAGTACAAAGTACATTGCATTTGCTTCGAACCAACTTAGCCAAATGTGGAAAAATGCCTTGGTTCTGCTTCCACCAGCTCAATGGTGAATTACTGCGACTAATCACTTTTTCATTTAAATATTTGTCGATTTCTATTATTGCTCGTGCAGTTGGAGACTCAATTGATTGCGGTACAGCCTCCCTAGCATCCCAGTCGTAAAATATTGAGGTGGGATCGAGAGAACTTTTGGTGCTAACTTCAATATTTTCGCATGGTCCTTCTCGATTTATTTCTTGGGCGACAAGTTTGATCATGCTCTCCCTTAAAGTTGCTTGCTTTGCAGATGTAAAGAACTGTAATTTAAAGCGGGGATCTAAAAAAGTTGCTACCCCAATCGTGTTACTATTTTCTATATTTTCGAATCGACTATGGGTCAAATCTAACAAAGCTCGAACAAAATCATAAGTTATTGGCAGATAGTGATAACCTGAAGAATCCGAGGTTAAAATATCGCCGAGAACTCTCTTTATGCCTTTTATTATTATTAATAGTTGACTGGCCGTCAAATACTTTTCACCACTCAGGTAATTTGATGCTTCTTCAAAACATTTCAGGGCTTTACAAGTTTCGTTGCAAAGTAACCAGTCTTCCGGCGTAATATTTGGCAAGCTTGTAACACCCAAAATGGCAATGGATGACTTGACGGCATCTTGAATTTCTATTATCCTTTCGAGCATGTAATATGTGGAATTCCACCTCGTCGGGACTTCTTGAAGTAGTCGTTTGGGCTGTGTTGCTCCATTCTGCTTTTGAAACTCATCAAGTTTTTGAGCGGCTTTAGTGCTTCGCTTGAAATAAGCGACGATGAGCTTTACACGTTCAATTACAGATTTGATGGGTACAGATTTTTCAGTGGCTTCTTGCACTATCAAATTTATTGTGTGTGCTACACATCCGAAATGTTTCCACCCCAGCTCCTGTGATATAGCTTTCTTAATGTAAGCCGCGTTATCAGAAACAGCTAAATTGATTTTATCTGAAATACCCCAAGAATCGGTAATACTTTTCAACTGACATGCTGTATTTTCACTATTGGAAGGTCCCGAAATTACTTCGCAATCCAAAACAATCGATTCAAAATCGAAATTTCTATTAATAAAATGCCCAGTAACAGCCATGAAACTATCATTTCTCGCCGAAGTCCAATTGTCAGTCGTAATGCAGATTGTTTCAAGTTCTTTATTTATGACTTCTTGCACCTCTGTTCTACACTGTTCGTACATTGTTGGTAAAAGTGTATTGGAAAGATATTTTCGAGATGGAAGCGTATAAGAGGGATTTAAAGCATGTGAGTACTGAGTAAAGCCAACGTCTTCTACAATCGAAAATGGTTGAAAATCAAGTATGAAAAGCTGCATTAAATAATAATTGAGCCTTTGTTTCTCTTTTAGAGTAATTTTTTTTACAGTGTAGGTTGATACACTTTGTTGAATTTTTCTCTGCTTTGTTGGTGGGGGCAAAAACTCAGTATTAGTACACGAAGAACTTGAAGTACTGGGAGCATTTTCAGAAATAGGAACAGGCTGTTGAGAACTAACAGAACACTCAGTTATTGTACAAGCACTTTGTTGTTGTGCCTGTTCAATATTAATCGTCGGATGCTTAAACTTCATGTGGGATTTTAAATTTGAAACTGAGCTCTTGTATGAAATATTTTTTTTACACAAATTACACGTTCCAATTTTTTTTACGGTATCGCTATCCGTAAAAAAATTCCATATTTCACTTTTTTTTTGCCGTTGAAAATCCATTTTACTTTTTTATTGCAATTTGAAAGTACTTATTCTTTTTCAAACTTAAACAACACTACACAGTCAAACAATTTAAATTTTCACTCACAACACTAATTACTAATAACATATATTATTTAGCGGTAAAACTTCGTAATGAAGATCAGTCTTTAACGAATATCACTAGTTAAATTTAACTTTTCCGAATGTAGCAGTTAAATTAATGAACTCTAATAGATAGCAATCTGTCTGACTGAACACTGAACACCAAATTAGACGTGGGCGTTATTTCACGTCACTTGTTACAATAACTATAGTCCATCAACGTCGTGCGCGACCGTCCTGCGGGGTGACAGACGGTGGCGGGGACGAGGTACTCAAGATGTCAGCGGGTAGCGGGTGGTGTAGCGAGGAGGGGAAACGCTTCTCTTCGTGTGTGGCCGTGTGCTGGAATGACGCGCTACCTCGCCCCCGCCACTGTCTGTCACCCCGCGGGACGGTCGCGCAAGAGATTGCCGGGTTATAGTGAACGCGGCAAGTAACCGAATCACTAGTTTCGTGTCAACTTAGAACTAGTAATTTTTGTAAATACGTTAATATTGTTAACTGTGACTGTCGGGTGTGATTAGCAATCTACACGTGCAAGCAACCATAATTTGTAAACAAAAGAACGAATTTCTTAGAAAGTTCGTTATGGATGGTACCGATAGTCGAGTTTATTACGGTCTAAGAAAATAAAGCGAGAAAAGAAAGTACACAGCTGCACAATTTTTACTAATTTTAGCATCTTAAAAGGTAATTACTTAATTGTTCATTAGTGTTTGTGAGTTGTGACTGCTAAATTTAGCAACTATCTCAGAATTTATTTAACAGGTGTTGACACTAAAAAAAAATTAGCAGCTAAATTTAGCAGCTTATTAATTTTAGACCCATCTCTAGTAAATACGTTCGTTCATTCGTTCATTTTAGTCCCGCACAGATTGTCGTGCGTTTGGTTTTGGTAAGTTATTATTTAAATCCGTAAATATTTGCACAATCATGTATTTTTCTTATGATTTAAAGTGTATTTATTAACGTTAAAATGTAGTGGTTTCGATTACTTCAATATTTCATTGAAAGATACTTAGATCTTGTGCTGATAATGGATTGAATATGTATTCGTTTCCAGTCCTTAAATTTCTACGAAGTCCCTATTCCACACGTCGAGATGGGTAGGGAGGACAAGGCTACTTGGAAGACCAACTACTTCACCAAGATCATCGTGAGTAAAAATATTTTTTGTTTACTTGTAACGTGTTTAACCTCAAAAGTAGCAATGATCTGCAATCAGTAGAAATGATGACTGTTGTCCATTTAAAGCTTCATTAGATTCGTTTCTACATCCACATTTTTCTAGTAATATTTGTGATATTTCAACAATCTTAAGGGAAACTGCTAGTAGCCGTAAGAGGGGTCGGTTACATTACAGCTTTCTGAGTAACCGCTTGATTTACGTTCTCGAGCTATCAATAAGTCGATTTTGTATAATTTGGGCTCTTAAAGTTTAGCGTTGTCCGACTAATCCCTATTGAAAAAACAAAGTTTCAGTTTGTAGTGCACAGCTATACTTTATCAATATTTTAATCAACTACAGTGACTTATTGAACACAGTATTTACAGTGTGATCAAATTGAAACTTGGTAAACTTGTCTGTTTCTTAAGTTTGTCATCTTTAAAATATAAAGAATTACAAAATAGAATCCTGTAATTAAATGATCATAACGTCGTTACTTAAATAAGTGAAAGGCCTGAGCAGGCACTGCCACACTATTTCAGCTATCAATCAGTCGATTAGTCGGTGCCAAAGATTGTTAGAGATTATAGATTCTATTATGATTATGGCTACGTACAATAGTTAAAAGCTTCATTGTTTACATCCACAGCAATTGTTAGACGAGTACCCAAAATGTTTCATCGTGGGTGCAGACAACGTGGGCTCGACCCAGATGCAGCAGATCCGTATCTCCTTGCGAGGGCATTCCATAGTGCTCATGGGCAAGAACACCATGATGCGAAAGGCCATCAGAGACCACATGGACAACAACCCAGCACTTGAGAAACTCTTGCCTCACATTAAGGGCAATGTTGGTTTTGTTTTTACACGTGGAGACCTTGTAGATGTAAGTATTGAAGATATTTATAATAATTATTTAATGATGAGAATTTTTTTAATAAATTCTGTCTGTTCTAATACCAAAGAGCCATCTATAAGCTCCTTGGCTTCGCTTTCAGACAAAAGAAAATTCTTCAAATTTATCCTAGTGTGATTGGTTTTTTTAATAAATATTGCACTGGCATTTTGAAGACACAAACTTGATCAATGGCTAATTCATGTCAATACTGATATTGAAGTCAAATACACATTTATTAAGTAACTGTAATTCTAATGTAGTTATCTAAATGATTTCAGGTCCGTGACAAACTATTGGAGAACAAGGTCCGTGCTCCAGCTCGTCCTGGTGCCATTGCCCCTCTGTCGGTCGTTATCCCAGCTCACAACACTGGTCTGGGTCCTGAAAAGACCTCCTTCTTCCAGGCTCTTTCCATCCCCACCAAGATTTCCAAGGGTAAGAGTTACTGACTTAACAGTTTCAAGAAAAACATATTTATGTTCAAAGATTTATTTTGAATTTGTCTATGTTTATGAAGCAATTTTATTATTTTCATTGTAGAATAGAATAATCTTTATTGTATACTAGTTCAGTATACTATGCATACAATAGTATTCCAAGTTAATGACCATGTACAAATGATGGCCTTATCGCCAAAAAGCAATCTATTACAGGCAACCTTTGGATGGACATTGTATAATGGAAAAACAAAATCTTCATTATTATTTTATTTATTATAAATGTAAATACGATTATGAATTGAACAAAAATTTACTTACCCTGAACTTAAAAAAAAAATTGTCCATCCCCTTTTCAATCAGTCATATTACCAAACATCCTACATCTCATAAAATACATACATACATACCCCAGTTACACAGACACCCATACAAACACCCACCCACACACACACAAACACAAACACTGACCCACACACACATATTGTTACTATTATCTTCTTTAATATTATAACACGAATTACATACACCACAATAGGTATCAAGAAACAAAAATATATTGACAGTCACTTACACTCTATTTTAGGAAATCAGACAATCTTTGGGCTGAACACTGTTTCGTAAGATACAGGCTTCTCACGGCCTAGTTTAATAGACAGGGTTGCATTAAATCTAAATTATAACTGAATTTCAGCCCCCTCAATTTATGCTTGTATTTATTTATCACCAAAAAAATTTAACATGTTTTTGGAGTTCCTGTTTTTTTGTGTAATAAATAAATTATTATTATTGTCTGTTCTAATACCAAAGAGCCATCTATAAGCTCCTTGGCTTCGCTTTCAGACAAAAGAGAACTCTTCAAATTTATCCTAGTGTTATCATTCTAGCTATGAATATCACACTGGCATTTTGAAGATACAAAAACTTATTTATCACAACATCACATTACTAAGAAATGTACAATATTATAGCATATTTTTTTTATCACAGGTACTATTGAAATCATCAACGATGTACACATCCTTAAGCCTGGTGACAAGGTTGGAGCTTCTGAGGCCACCCTTCTTAACATGTTAAACATCTCTCCCTTCTCATATGGATTAGTTGTCAAACAGGTTTGTAAACTCATTAAATTGAAGACCATTCTAACTTTCAAAAAGGACTTCAGCAGTAATAATAGTGAACAAGCTTTTTTCTTGGTACATTTTGCATCATGACGTTTTGTCTCTTGTTACATCACTTGTAACATAACTGACCGAACAGGGAAACAACTGACAGTAAAATTATTATATGCCACTAGCAACCACGACTGCACGGATGGCGTAGTGGTTTAAGCGGTAGTTATATCACATCAGTAAGATTGCCAGTCAGTATGATGTTTGCCATGATCTTTTAAATCAATCCATTGGTGAAACCGTATGGAAATCAACTCTGTATGGAGTTTTTATATTCAGATGTGACTTGTAATGTGTAGTGATTACTAATACTTCAGTAAACTCACATTTATCCAAAGTGTTGAGTACAGTTTGCATATGTAGTGCCTACTGATAATTTACCTTTGGTAAATTATATGCTTTGTAAATTTGGTATCTTGTGACTTGTTGCATGGTACACAATTACACTGCATACATTCTATTATACATACTGTTATTACATTAGGTACTAATAAGTTACTGATTAATATTTACTAAATGTGATTATTTACTTTATTATATGATATGATTATTTACTCCTAAGGTGTATGACTCTGGTACCATCTTTGCCCCCGCCATCCTTGATATCAAACCTGAAGACCTTCGTGAGAAATTCATGGCTGGTGTTGCCAATGTAGCAGCTCTTTCGCTGGCTATCGGCTACCCCACTGTGGCTTCTGCTCCTCACTCTATCGCCAATGGATTCAAGAACTTGTTGGCTATTGCTGCCGTCACTGATATTGAATTCAAGGAGGCTACACAAATCAAAGAGTTTATCAAGGTAATTAAATAACCTAAGTTATATGTATTTAGCTGTCAAGATTATATTGGAGTAAAGAAATTGTGCCTGTTCTAAACATTAATACTCTCACCCATTGACAATATAGAATACATATAGTTTTTTTGTGTTCTTAACTTTTTAAATTGTGTTTAGGACCCCAGCAAGTTTGCTGCGGTGGTCGCTACCGCAGTCCCCGCTGCTGCTGCCGCTCCCGCAGCTGCGGCTGAGGAGAAGAAAGAAGAGAAGGAGGAGTCGGAGAGTGACGACGACATGGGCTTCGGTCTCTTCGACTAAGCCTGTACTGGTTGAGTCCGATAAAGGCTGGACGCGACCGATAGGCGTGTAGGACGTGTTTGACCTGCGTCGGACTTAAGCCCCGTGGCTCTGCATCTCGTTCGTGTAGATAAGTCAGCACCGCCGGGATGGACACCCATATGGCGGTCGGCTTGTCTCACGTATGTTTGTAATAAAAGCCGCACATGGAACACTTTGTTTAATTATTCTCTGTCCCTTAATGTTAAACGCATACCTATCCAATTTCACCTATGCAATACTCGTAGAGCCATAGAAAGTGAATATTTAGTGGGTGGGCGCGCATGGGCGACTTGTCACGGTAACGAAAAAGTTCAGTCGCGTCACGTTTCTTAAGTGGAGAGCACACACGAAGTGACAATGACAACACTTTTTAAAATTTAAATTAAAATATAATTAAAATAAAAATTTTGATAGAGGAGAAAAGTCATTAGATTCCACGTGAGTGGTAGTGTTGGATAAATTGGTCTTAACACGTATTTAATTGTGAATTCTTAATTAGCAGTTGGCAAATTAATCATCATCATCAGCCTATCGCAGTCCACTGCTGGACATAGGCCTCTCCCATTGCACGCCACTTAGATCGATTTTGGGCAAATTAATTGTAGTCGTAAATTTAATGAACGTTCATTAAATTTGAATTAATACGTAGGTACACGAAGTTTCGCGGGTGTGCGTTACCCCAGCAAAATAATGTCGAAAATGGTCATTTAAACGTTATAGATAATTAGTTGCTCCCCTTCTGTAATTGTTAAGCACATTTTTAAATTTGTTTCACTTAAACTTTTTTAGTTATTTCAAAAAAACATTTCCTGCTGGGGTAACGTTTGAAACGTTACCGCAGCCAGACATTTTCTTTTTTAATTGTAATATTGAAATAAATTTTAGCTAAATAATTAGTTATCTGGACTAGGTAAATGTTACAACTTATTTGGTATTTGTATTTTCTTCGGCTGCGAAGTTATTCGAAATCCTGCTGGAGTAACGTTTGTGGGTTTGCTGGATCTCTGAAACGGGTAAGCGGATTGTAACCATCTTTTGTACATAACTTCTAAAGGATTAGTTTTAATTTGTTCGACAATAAAATAACAAAAATAATGGACCGTTTAAAAATTATTTAGGTAAGTATGAAAACACTTCAATACGTCCTAACACATTAAATAAGACCTCTAAAAACTTACTTGAAACGTTATTCTATTGCTTGTAACTACCTTCAAATGTATACGAATTTTCGTAAGAATACTGTAAGTGACTAAAAAGTTATGATGAAATGTAGCTCTCCACGTCCACGATCACAATGTGTGCGGCCTTTTTTGGCCACCGATAAACCTGTGTGTGGATATATAAACTGAATATTATGCCAATAATTAGTTGTTTAGTTCAGTTGTCTACCTGTAGAATTTCAGCGTCGTACATATAATAATTTACGAGATAATTAAATAAAAGTCATTAGAAGGTGCAAGTCCGTGGTAATCCGACCATGTTTAGGTGGTTACAAAAAAGCGATCACCCAGTACATTGCGCTGTCTTTTAAAATGTTTAGTGTAATACACCTTACGATTTCGGTACAGTTGCGTACAGTGTTAAATACTTTCAATATTTATTCATTATTATTACCTTGATTGATCTTAAGCACTAGTTTCTTTACTTAAAATTTATTTAGTCTGTTACTACCGGAGCTACAATCAACAGAAAATCTGCACTGGTCCGCTAAAATTATAAATATGTAGATACATGTATGAACGATTCACCTGACTGCAATAAAACGAAAATTTAAACCAATAACAAATCGTTTCATTTCTTTGATTTTTTTTTTTGTAAAGAAATAACACTAAAGTAATTGTATTTTATTTTGGGGTGTATAGAGCTTAGACTTCAATGCATCAAAATATTAAAAGCAAGTCATCTACAATAAGTTAAAATAGACCGAATAGTAGAAGAATACAGTTGTAAATTAGAATGCATCCACATTGCATCGCCCAACAGTCGTATATCCGTAAGAGTAGGTAATATTGTTCTGTGGTCTATACCTAGAACCGAGAATTATCTATACCTATGTACCTTTTTTTTTTCCGTGAATACCTATGTACCTACCGTTAAGCGTTGAGCCCGTGACTGTTGATTTCTGTTAAAAACCAACAGTTGTTGAATGATATTTTGATATAATAACGGTAATTTAATTTATCGAGTGAAAGTGATACATTTTTATAGATAAAATTATTAGTCAGATAATATTTGTCAATCAAGAATCGCTGATAATACATCCTTCGCTAGAACGCGGGAGGCGAGGGGCGAAGGGATACTTCATTGTTTGCAATTTGCATCTAGTGCACTTTTTTTTTTTTTTTTTTTTTTTTTTTTTTTTTTTTTTTTTCCGTGCGGAAATCCCCTCGGATACCACCTGTCGGTGGCATGTCGGACTCGAACCGACTAAAACCGCACGCCTTCGCCGGGTACTAATAGCCGGGGAACCAGGTATACCCTAGAAAGGAAGGCCCTGGTGCCCCGACATACCTCGGGTCATCTACAGACGAGTAGACGACCCCCGCCCCGTGTGGGAACCCCATGTTCCCTGTGCTCCCTGGAAGCGAGCGCGCTTCGCAACGCGCTCGCCGCCACCCCGGCCTGCTTCTGCTAGGGTGACAGATGGCCTCACCTGTCACCCCCAGGCCTGCGCTTATGGAGGACGGAGGTCGTTCTGCGACCTCCGGCGCCTGAGTCGCCTGCGCTGCCTGGCCCGTGCCCGGGCCTGGCGGGCCGGGAGAGTTCTAAACCTCTCCCGCTCCCGCTCCGCCGTCTCCTTCGCGAGCATAACTTGCTCGCAGAAGGAGACGGCAGAGTTCCACGCACTCTCGCTCCGCACGATAGCCGCAATCAGGCTATCGAGCGAGAGAACTCCCACTCCGATGGCCGCCACGAGGTCTCGCCTCTGCTCAACCCACGCCGGGCACTCTGCCAGCGTGTGGAGAGCCGTGTCCACGGTCTGGCCATCGCAGTGGTGGCACTCAGGCGTTGGCTCCTTGCGGATCAGACACAGGTGATCTCCGAAACATCCCTTCCCAGTGATCACCTGCGTCAATCGGTATGAGAGGGTCCCGTGACGCCTCTCGAGCCAATCCTCCATAACGGGTCTTACCGCCGTAATGACGGCGTGCCCGGCGCTCGGTTGCCCGAGTCGTTCCCTCCACTCCCCTATGATGACCTGGCGGAGTTGGGATTTCCGGTCATCGATTTCTCGAATCTCGGGGTATCGACCCAACTCCTGCGCCTCCTTGCGCCACTGATACAGTGCTGCAAGGGCTCTCGCCTCCAGGTCCCACGGTGGAGTTCCGGCCAGGAGACTCGCCGCCTCGAAGGAGATCGTGCGGTACCCCCTTATGATCCTGATGGCCAGCATTCGCTGCGGTCGCCGCAGTATCGCGACGTTGCTGGCCTTCAGGGCCCCCGCCCATACTGGGCACCCGTAAAGGGCCATGGACCGCACAACCCCCGAGTAGAGTCTCCGGCAGGAGTCATCGGGTCCCTTCATGTTGGGCAGCAGCCGCGCCAACGCACGCGCTGCCCCAACCAACTTGGGGACCAGACCTCGGAAATGATATCCGAAGTCCCATCGGCCATCGAGTACGAGCCCCAGATACCTGATCGAGGGCTCGATGCCGATGCGAGTGCCTCCTACCGTGAGGCTAGATCCCTCAGGCGGCTTCCTCCGAAGCCCGTGAAAGAACAGGGCCTCGGACTTGTGCAGAGCCACCTCGAGACCCAGCCGCCGGATACGCTCAACGACTTGGGCAACCCCGGCCGTGGCCCTCAGGGTTGCCTCGTGGTGCGTCTTGCCGCGCGCCGTCACGAGTGTGTCGTCCGCGTAGCACACGACGGCGACACCATCCAAGAAGGCACCACGAAGCACCCAGTCGTAGCCGATGTTCCACAAGAGTGGCCCTAACACCGACCCCTGCGGAACACCGCACGACATTTCACGCCTACCGAGACCGGTCCTACTGGGGTAGACGACGGCTCTCTCCGACAAATATGCCCCGACTATGCGGCGGAGGTAGAGAGGCACTTCGTGATACACGAGCGCCTCCCTGATGCAGCTCCAGGGCATAGTGTTGAACGCGTTGGCGATGTCCAAGGACACCGCCAACACCACTTCGCCCCGGGAGACTGCTTCCTCCGCCAGAGCCTTCACGCGCATGATCGCATCCACGGTGGAGCGCCCCTGACGGAAACCGTACTGGTTGTCCGCCAGATCCGGCCCAACCATCACGAGATGCTTGACGAGGCGCCTTGCAATCACTCTTTCAAAGAGCTTGCACACCTCGTCAAGCAACACTATGGGCCGGTAGGCGGACGGTGGATCCGCCGGGCGCCCCTCCTTTCGGATGAGGACCAGTTTCCCCGTCCTCCACAATTTCGGAAACTGGCCCCGCTCGAGGCATGCGCTGAAGAACCCTCGCAGTCGGGGCTCGAGAGCCTCGTCGACTAAGGCCAGGACCCACGCTCGGCCTGCATCTAGTGCACTAAACTTGACCCTTAGGCAGATAATATACGTGTTGTAAAGTACGTGTGCGCTTCCGCTTTCTATTTTTGCAAATATTTAACGTATTCTTGAGAGTTCTTCAATATGTGTGTACCTAATTACTAATAATAGGCATTAATGATAATTCGATTCAATTTAAGTAATTGTCAATTCTTGTCTTAGGATATTAATTACTAATGCTAATATTGAAATTTCGTTCAGGGTGAACAAATTAAAAACGATCATAACTTTTAGGTAAATATATCACTTATTACTAATTTTACATAAATAATTTATTTTATTATAATTTAACTCACCGCGATTTTGTGATCAAATATTTTATTTTTCTCCAACATTATTACAGAAATAATGCAATACAGAGTTTGTTCGCGATATGCTAGCCTAAGTCGATTCATCACTTAAAAAAATCCCCATCTATTCACAAAATACCTATTTACAACGCATACGTTACACTCTTCAAAACTTATCATTTCATTTCATTTCATTTCATATTTCTTAAATTACCTATACCTACCCTAAAATTAAACTTCAATTAACAAATACTACGCAGGTACCAATTCTATGAACAACTATAAACAATACACCTAAACATTACGAGAAAACAAAAGCATTCAAAACAATTATGCAATAAACAATCCTAAATAAAAAATATTTAAAAAACATGTAGTTTTTTGTAACACTTATGTACATATCCGTAGTAAACTTGCAAATAATATCCTACATATTTTAAAAGCCAGCACAATGTACTGGGTGATCGCTTTTTTGTAACCACCTAAACATGGTCGGGTTACCACGGTCTTGCACCTTCTAATGACTTTTATTTAATTATCTCGTAAATTATTATATGTACTACGGCTGAAATTTTACAGGTAGACAACTGAACTAAACAACTAATTATTGGCATAACATTCAGTTTATATATCCACACACAGGTTTATCAGTGGCCAAAAAAGGCCGCACACATTGTGATCGTGAACATGGAGAGCTACATTTCATCATAACTTTTTAGTCACTTACAGTATTCTTACGAAAATTCGTATACATTTGAAGGTAGTTACAAGCAATAGAATAACGTTTCAAGTAAGTCTTTAGAGGTCTTATTTAATGTGTTACGACGTATTGAAGTGTTTTCATACTTACCTAAATAATTTTTAAACGGTCCATTATTTTTGTTATTTTATTGTCGAACAAATTAAAACTAATCCTTAAGAAGTTATGTACAAAAGATGGTTACAATCCGCTTACCCGTTTCAGAGATCCAGCAAACCCACAAACGTTACTCCAGCAGGATTTCGAATAACTTCGCAGCCGAAGAAAATACAAATACCAAATAAGTTGTAACATTTACCTAGTCCAGATAACTAATTATTTAGCTAAAATTTATTTCAATATTACAATTAAAAAAGAAAATGTCTGGCTGCGGTAACGTTTCAAACGTTACTCCAGCAGGAAATGTTTTTTTGAAATAACTAAAAAAGTTTAAGTGAAACAAATTTAAAAATGTGCTTAACAATTACAGAAGGGGAGCAACTAATTATCTATAAAGTTTAAATGACCGTTTTCGACATTATTTTGCTGGGGTAACGCACACGTTTCGCGGGTGCTTTCTCATTAGCATCAACGAGACGACTAAATTTAATTTAATAATTCGTGCTAAAATATTCACACCTGCAAAATTGAAATATAAGCAATTATAGGCCGACCGTTTATCTGAGTCCTCGCCTGCGCGGTAACATGGGTGCGGGGGTATGACGACAAAGGGGACTGAGACAGGTAAAAAGATTAAAGACAGTGGCCACAAAGGGCCTTTGTAAATAAGAAACAAAAATAATGAAAGAATTATAACAATCAATTGTGCAAAAAATTGTAAATCAGTAGCAGTTAAAATTTAAATGGTAAGGAGGTGCGTCAACAATCACACAGTGTTCAATATATGAGTGCGAACATGTTTTTTAAATTTACCCAGACTATTAGAAAAGATGTCTATGTCCTCCGAAGCAACTGAAATGTTGTCATATTCGCGAGTCATCCTAGCAATTGGTGGTTGCTTCCCTAAATTCGTCCGGGCTCGTGGGACCTTAGCGGGCGAGGGTAACGTGGGATTCTAGTTGGAATACCTATACCGACTTTACTGAGGAGGTCTGGACAGTCAATGTAGTTATGGAACAGTTTGTATAAGAATACTAGATCAAAGATAGTACGACGGTCCCTAAGAGATAAGGTTGAAGTGCGTTAGTTTATCCTCATAAGTCCTTAAGTTCCTAACCCAAAAACCCCAAACTTTTGGATTTGTTCTATTTTATTGATGTGAACTTGGTACATTGGTTTCCATACCGTGCTGCAATATTCCAAATGACTTCGTACATAGCTATTGTATAAAATGATCATGGTGGATGGCTTTTTAAATTCTTTCGAGGAACGTAGTATAAAACCCAAGGCTCGATATGCTGAGTTAGTTACGTTTTATGTATGCATTTTTAATAAATTAAGAATTCCATTAGGCATTAGAAATATATCCATACAGGAAAGTGACATAAAGAACACCCAGACTCAGAACAACAATTTGTGGATTACACAAACTATCGTCCCATGTGGGGATAAAACCCACAACACTCAGCGTAGTAGTAAGCGGCGTGGCGACCGCCTAAACCACTACGCCATCCGTGCAGCCAATCTTTGACGATAAGAACGTGAAACAGAATAACAAATGATCAATTATGGACTAAATGAAATAACTAATTTTGGTTGTGTCAAACTAAATATATGTAGTTAGTCCTACGTTTTCAAAATTCGAAACTGTTTGACACGACTAAATTTATTTTTGTGATTTTTAGTTTAGTTTATAGAGTTTTCGAATAACAGAATTAGCACTAATGTCAATCAAAACACTCGTAAACATGATAACGCATTCAAAGCATAAAAAAATACAATGTCTGCTCATTTGACCCCTCTTCCATGTAAAAACCAACAATTTCGATCTGACGTGACTGCCATGGAATATAACTAATAAAATATAGTACTTAAGTAATAAGTGAGCTTAGAATAAAGTAAAAATAAAGGCTTTGGTTCTCTGAATAGCTTTTATTGATCTAATCAATCATACTATGTACACCTAGCAACAAAACTAGAAATGACTAGATAATATTATATAATTTGATAATGTTGAGCCGCCTAAGAGTGGTTTCAGACTAGCGATTTATATGCGCGTATAAGCTCGATTTTCGGAAGCATATGTAGGCGGGTATAGACGCGCATCTCGTGCGTGCGCTGCTCTGACGCGCTTAAAAGCGTGGTTCTGGTGCCGATCGAGCGAACACTTCGGATTATTGTACCGGACTCGGGCACATGAGGAAACGAAACGACCGTATAGCCGCAAAAATAACGATAGTCTGAAACCAATATAAAATTGGACAGTACCTTTATAAAAATATATTTTAGATCCAATATTTTTTATTAGTGTAAAATTTAATATTGAACTTAAACTTAGTCTAAATAATATTATTATTATTAATTTATGACTTACATCAATATAAATACTTGTAATATCGCTGGTTTATAACTGCGTTTAGTCCTATTAAAATACGTCCTCGGTCTCCACCCGGGACTTCTACTTCACTTGGATTACCAAACAATATAGGTATGCAAACAATGTTTGTTTATTTGAAACAACAACGTAAATTTCTTTACTTCTTACTTGATTAGTTTAGATTATTTGCATATGTTATTACCTTGACATTAAGACATGACTAAACTACACGAGCCAAATCGGTTTTATTATTAAATAGAAAAAATCCTATAAACAGATTGACAGTTACATTTAAAACTAAGATGCTTCACAGCACTTTACATCATTATGTGTACAAAAATAACATTGGATACATAATATTTATTTATAATATTAAATCTAACACATTTAATGTGACAAATACCTGAATTAATGAATATTAACTACACAGTACCTGCCTTAGTACATATACCTAACGTATGCAGTGTTTTTTTTTAAATTTATGTCTATCAATGAGTCAATGAAAATCGTCTTAAGTCTAAAGGGTACGTATACTAATTAATGTCAATAAACACCTTGTACAGATTGATGTCGGTTAACGGTTGTGTTTCATTTTAATATCGTACAAATCAATACGGTTTTATATACACACATAAATTGACACACGGCTTCGCCACCCTGTTTCACATCCTTGTAATTACGCCATGGTCCTGATGAACATGAATAGTTCCACATCTAAGACATGATATATCTGTTTGCTATTTTTGGGCAAAACTTACGAAACACAGTTTAGTCAAGGTAGAATTTAAGAGTGTTGTCCATTCATAGGATGACGAGAAAGCAGTTATGAACATTTAATATATTTGTAACATGCATGCAAGTAAATAAATTTGTTATTCAAAATTCAAAGGATGCCAATGTTTGTGGGCACACAAAGTGTAAAAAGTATTTTCACAGTTTGTACTTTGTGTGTGCAGTGTTAATTCAATTTTAAAGTATTATTTTTAATTCTAATGCATACATCACAGCAGTATATGTCAAAATACCTTTAGGCCTTCATATATTTATCAAAAGAACGTTTAATTGTAAATAGAACCAAGAACACTAGTTAAAGAACAGAAAAATAGAACAGAGAAAAGAATAGATAAATTAACAATATAAAGGCTGGGGCAGACAGCGAGCGGGGCCTGATTGTGAAGAGTATATTATTACTTAACTCATCAGTGTTTATTAATATTTGTTGAGTTGGTCCTATTTACCCTTTTTGTTCATATGAAAACGATAGCATGGTGAGGCAAAAAGGGCTGGCCAAGTTTAAACCTGCCATAGACTGTATGCAAAAATTCAATATCCATTAATTTAAACAAAACATTACATAATAACAAATAAACATAATGAGATCAAATATGATAAAGTTAAATAACACCTAAAATTTAAAATTTACAAACAATATTGGTAACTCCCTCCTAAACTAGTGTTGTTTTTGTAATGAGGAAGTCCCCTGTTATTAAAATGATACATAATGAATTCTAAAATCGTTTCATATTATTACAACCAGCATGTAAATCTGTGGTTTAGCAATATCTCTAAAATGCAAAGCTGCATACCATATTCATGTTTGCAGCCCTAGAGATCACTGAACTCAATATAAAAGTACATTTTTAAAAGTTATCCGTTTTCATTACTTTAAAACATCCAATTATATCAAAACAACATGATAAGTTGGTCACTGTACCCCTGCGTAGTGGCATGATAGAATTTGTCAGAAATGCTACACCACTTATAAAGCTAGACTTTCTGTTTGTTGATATTTCATTACAATTGTCCATTAATTCTATGACATACCAGCATAAAATGGCACTTGTTTGCCCGTCTCTTATTACTGGTACGCTTATAATATCCGTCCGATCGAAGGTACTGAAAGAACCAAGTACACAAGGTTCTGATAGAGGAGTATATTCTAGATGACTGAAGTCAATATAATAGTTTTGTGTAACTTGAAACTTGTTCAAATATTCAGCTATCCTGTAGTTGCTCACATTCTCATCATAGATTTTGTTGTTAATATCTAGCCAATGACTGTTCACAATCTGGCCCATCAACTTGATATTTGCAGGCATGAAAAGACCACCTTGATGAAGGTGTCTATTTTTCAATTTTTGAGCTATTTCTCTTGCACGCAAATCAATTTCTCCACATTGCTCAAATATATTACAAAATATGGCATGATACTTCTCATCTTTGAAAACGTCTTGCAACCAATCATCTCCAACCAGAATTGTGATTTTTGATAAGGGAATATCATTGGCTTTAAAGACTTTCTTGAAAAACCGTCTATCACATTCTGTTTTAGCAGTGCATATTAACGACTGAATGCCACGCTTTAGAAGTTGTAGCCCAAACATGGGAAAAGGGCACAAATCAATAACATTTATTTGTGACATTTCAGCCATCTGCCCCAAGTATACGCAGGCCATACCAATGCATCCTGATATCATATTCATAAACTCAACATCATTTAAGAATCTCAAAATATTTGATGAGATTCTAGATATACTGTAATTGTATTCCTTTAACATTTTCAATTTGCCTCCATTCATTAAAAATTCAGCATCAATAATATCATTTTCTTCAACTTGCTTTGTTATGTTATCAAAAAATATGGCCTGCTGCCAGGCATTCGCTCTCATGTTAGACCTGGGATCAGTGGTTACAGTAATCGTGTCAGTCAAATATAAATTAAAATAACCAATATAGATATTAATCTCACCATTCTCTATGGCTTTTAATTCAATTTCATACGGTTCTCTTCTATTTATCGCATCTTGTATTTCATGGGCATTGTTGAAGTCAATTTTCACAAGTGACGTTGGCTCAGTCATGTACTTTATGTCATCCCCATACAAATGCACATCCTCACAATCATAGGTCTCCCCATGTGTTATTACATGAACATTCAAAGTGGAAATGTTTAAAAGTGTTTTTATAGAAGAGCTCAACTGATATTTGTGATGCAGAAAATCACATTTAGCACCAATAACAAAGAATTCTGCTTTATTAGGTATCACTCTGCCAGCACTGCTTATCAAATACTCCCAAGCATGTGACAGACTCTGAAGAACATGCTCTCCAAATAACGCTGCATCAAACATCTCTGTAATGAGCAATGACCGCTTACCACCAACATCCCTGTAATTCATTGTTGTTGATAATTTGTTTACAACTATAATGTCATCATAGCCATTGTCTTGTGTTATGGCTTCTGCCATCTTAGTCATAACTTCTGAGCCATCACAGGCTGTTATAGCCATAGGTTTACACTCGTTAGCATACATTGCTAATAGGCCTGTACCTGTCCCGAGATCCAAAACACAATCTTTTAATGGGACCAAAGTCTGGTGTATTGCAGCTCGATAAGCCTCATTACGAATTTTATCATTCAACATTCTGAAGTGCCATCGTTCTACTAATAAATTCTTAATTGAATTCAGATTTTTTTCAGCATTTACAAAATCAGAGTCCAAATTTAAAGCTTTTTGGAAGTGAAACATAGCTTCATTATAGAACTTATAATGATAGAGATATTTTCCAATGTCGTTTATGAAATAAACATGGTTCGGAAAAAAGTCCAGCGTTCGTTTAAAATTGTTAAAAATTGCATCCATGTTGTTAGCTGAAGCTAAAGTATTATTCAAAGCGGTCAATACAAACCCAAATTCGGGTTCAAGAACATTTTTCAAAGTGGTATCTTTTTCGAAAGCCATCAAGTAAAATTCAAAAGCTTTACTGAAGGATCCGCTAGCCGATAATTGACGAGCGAACGAAACATATTCGCGAGCAAGATGTTCCATTTTTGTGTTGATTTGTTTATGTAGTAAATATCAACAATTATGTGTCGCACATGCTTTAGAAAAACAATCCAAAGAAAATATGCAACTGACAACTAGGAATGGACAAAATCACAGTGAACTGTGAAAGACCGGTGATTTATCGTTTATTTTTTTTCGGTTACTGCTTACTCACGCGCTGTTGCCATTAAGCTGTAAAGACCCTATTTCGCATATTTAACAGTAAATCTAGTAATTATTTTATTATATATAGCTACCATTCCCTACATAATGATTTAAAAAAATTCTAGATTAGATTAAATAGGGTCTAACCTACCTACATCCGGACCCGTCGTAGCGCCTGGCGGCAATGGCGCGGGCATTATCTTCGGGTACATTCTCCATTTAGGCTACGTTTAGGCTCCTCGCGGCTGGCCGTTATGGCGGGTGTAGGGAAAAACCCGTCCCGCCCGGTTCCGAATTGGGTTCGAGTGGAGATCATCCTCCCGGACCCTCTCAGCCGCCTCCTTCTGCCAGGTGACGTCTTCGTAGAAGGATGCGACCGTGGTATACCGACTGTCACTACCGGCCATAGAGCGTATGACGGCCGGTAGCGAGAGATCCTTTCGACGAGCGGCCTCATGCCACTCGCGTACTTCTCTCTCATCTCAGTCTCAGGATCTCAGTCGTCCGCCGATATACTTCGGCGAGCACTTCCGCCTACAAGTGCCAAGGGGGAGTTCTAGCCAACGCACACGCCGCCTCCGTCGGCACGGTGCGGTATACGCGTATGACTCTAAACGCCAACATTATCTGAGGGCGCCAGAGACGCGCTCCATTCTGGGCGGTCAGAGCCTCCGCCCACACCGGTGCACCGTACAGTGCCATTGACCGGACAACCGCCGTGTACAGCCATCTCGTTGCGACTCTGGGTCCCACAGATTAGGCAAAAGTCGCCCTAGGGCAGAAGTAGCTTTGGAGCAAGCTGTCGGAAGTGCTCGTCGAAGAGCCACCTCCTGTCAAGGATCAAGCCAGATATTTCATTTGGATCGAGTTGACAATGATTAAGGCGCCAGGGGGAAGACCACTACGGGGCCCATGGAATAAGAGGGCTTCCGTCCGATCCAGGGCCGCCTCTTGAAAGTTCGCCCCGGTCTAATCTGAATATATATTATATATATATTATATTATATATATATTTTATTTATTATTAGAAATTGAACAGCTTCTTTGTTTTGTTTTGGTAAGTACCACAGAAATCGTAATATTAAGAGTGTCTTATTATTACGATTTCTATGGTTTGTACTTTGGTTTTTTGGAGCATTTAAACAAAAACTTGTTTAAACAAAATTATATACCTTCTTGTATTTAGGTTGATAATACCCTACTTTCCTCTTTTCAAAGAAATGTTCTTTTGGGCATCTGTCGTCTCTTACCTGGTGTAAGTGTGTGGTACGAGGTACTCTGTGTATGTATCGAAGATTTATATGTCATAATATTTTCTTAGTAAAACACTACTCATAAAATTTCTAAATATTGTGCAAAAGAAAGTGGTCCCGCTATTTTGAAAGAAAATTCCGGGACCACTATTTCAGTTAATGAAGATCACATGGCATGATTTTAAACTGAACACAACAAATTTTAATACGATATAGTATGACTACGTTTGAATCGTTATTTTACTTTTGAAATAGAAATTTCAATAGTGTTTATTATGTTTACGTCAGAAAAGGGCCTAAAGAAAATTAATTTTAAGCCAAGTGTCATTTTATGGCTCTCACAATTTGTTTAGGCGTAAAAAAAGTTTGGAACGAACAGAATTTCTTTTACACTTCCTCAATACTTCTTGAATTTAAAACAATTAAGTGACAGTTAATTTAATGAATAGTGGTCCCGCCATTTTGATACAGGGAAGCCACTTCCTTAGTAGTATATTTAGAAAATTTACGGGGATTTTTATTTTACTATGAACGATGGTGTCCTCAGGTACAGCCACGGCTCGCGTACGTTTGCTTTGCTCACAAGAATAGATACTGTGGCCATCATAGGGATATAACCTAGAGGGAACAAGAGCTCCAGTCTTGCAATAAAGGCAACGAGAGAGATTGATCGTTTTTTTTTTTATTAAAGACAAACAGTTAGTCCCTTCTATCTCCTTTTAGCCGAGCTCTGTGGTTAGTTAGGGAATATGAAGGGTTAATAATTAGACAATCGCAGCTTAGCTAAATAGAGACAGAGGGAAGTATCGGGCATCCATCTCTCTCGTTGCCTGTATCGCTTCCACTAACAGGCAGTTGTACCCCGTGTTGTCTCTATGGTGGCTATCAAGGGGCACATACGAGAGCTGGTCATCCTAGCTGCTAATATTAGTAGCAGTCATAGACTAAATCGGACGGGGACAGAGATATCTTAATATTTCGTTTTAAGTCAAAACCTTATGTCCGTATGGACTGAGAAGCCATTTCAGATTTTACACAGATCACTCCTTATTTAGTAGGTGAGCAAATAATTTTGTAGGGCAAATCCTGAAATTTCTAGAAAGGTATTTCCAAAGTTATATTAATGTAAAAGTGGCTTCTCAATCTAAACATGTGAATTGAGGAGCCACCTGAAACACGGATGTTTTTAATATTTTTGAAAATGTTGTATCATTTACAGGTAACTATGTATAGTGCCTACTAAACATATGAATCCATTACTGCTGATATTCAAGAATATACAATATTTTTAATGTGGCTCCTCAATCTATATTTGAGAGCGTGAATTGATATGAAATTAATAGGTCAAAATTTATATTCCAGGCCAGACACGTAAGTAGTTACGGACGTACTTATAAAACATATCTAGATAATATTTGTAAACTACAAGTTAAAATTCTAAAAACCAGTCTCGTCAAAAATAAACTCAATACGTAGGTACGGCGAGCGGACTACCGCCTATATTGTCTCTCTACTTATTAATGACTTACCTCCAGATTTATGTAATAGGTAACCACATTAATTTGCAGTTACCTCCATTAATTAGAAAAAAATACCTTTTACCAATAAAAGTTTTTCATGGACAAAAAATTGTTGGGAAATTAAAGAATAGCTAATAATAAGAGTCAAATCTATTTACCGAAGCATCTTAACTGAGGAGCCAGTTAAAATGTTCCATTTCTCCCAATTCACTCATTTTTAATTACTGACTCTTCACACTACAAATTTAATATACTTATGAAGAAATTACGCATCAATTGAAAGACTGCTTCTTTGAAAAATGATAGTCGTATATATGGTCGGAGGAGCAACATATAAAATGTATAGTAACCTTTAAAATTTTAACATTACCGAGTTTACATTTTGTCTACTAACTACTCTCAAACTACTACTACAAAATCATACAAATTGCTGATAAATGTACATCCGTTATGTTCCTAGTTCCGACGTGGCTCCTCAATTCAAACATTTAGATTGAGGCGCCACCTTTATGTTCATATAACTTTAAAAGTATTTTACTACAAAGTCGAGGATTGAGGCCCTCAATCGTCGACTTTGTAGTAAAATACAACTAGGTCATGGTGATGTTAGCAAAAAAAATTGTACCCTCAATTTGAGGGTACAATTTTTTTAATTTAGTTCTGAACAATAATTGTATATTAATTATTAATATACAATTATTATTATTTATTATTAACACTAAATGTTAATTTCATTAATATGTAAAGTGGCTCATCAATCTAAACGGACATAAAACCTTTGGGTGTACTTTTCAATAACCTAAAATCTTAGGCGATAAGCAAGGTCTCAGCGCATTACGAGCAAAAAAGTACTTATTTGTCTTTCTCAATGTGTCCAAATTCCTCATTTTTAGCTTGTCACCAACAGTGTGGTGTTTGATACCAGATGACATACATGAAAGTCGTAGTATGCGACGGCCCGGCATGTTGTTATAGGTAGAGAAGGTGGGATATGAGAGACTGAGGCAAGGCTGAGAATGAGTTCCGAACATACTAAAAACGAAGTTGATTTAAAAAAATAACAGTCTCATTTATAAATATATATTTTAAATTCCTTGAGTTTTTAAATTTGTACTTGGTTTACGCTTTTCTGTTCCCAAATGTCCCTGTCATTGATTGAGTCATTGGTAGCGCTACAAGTAGGGAACATTTGGATAATTGAATTAGGCAGCGAGTGTGAGTGCTGGCCCCAGGCAGCCTTAGTGAGCTTAAAAAAAAACTAAATAAAAAAATTAAATTATGATTACTTGTCGCAAATGTAAAAAATTCAATACAAATGGTTGAGAAGTTATTCACATTTTGTCTTAAGCTTTATTTAAATGGAGTATAATACTATCTATGCTGTAAAATTAATATTAATTTTACATTTCTATGTATCAGAACTATCAGATACTATCACTGTTGTCCATGGTCCACACAATAGAATAGACCTGTTGTTGCAATAAAAAGCCACTTTGAAACACCTGCTTGATTGACATTGGTCTTGTGAAAACCCTAACTGACCATATTTGTTACAACCAGTAGTCCATACAGTATTGTTTTCAAGTAATATGGCTGAATGTCTGGAACCACATGCAATGTCTTTTACATTCAATGTAAGCTCATCCCCATTTGCATCAAAGAAGTCAACTAACGTAGGCACTGAGTAACTCTGACAGTCTTCTATAGAATTTGAAATACCCAGTTGGCCCATATCATTCCAGCCCCAGGCATATAGGTCACCAAATTCACTGAGAGCTAATGAGTGCCAACCACCACAACTGATTTTGACTATTTTTATTCCAGCCAATGCTTCAACTTCCGTGGGAACCTCAAGATTGCTAACATCACCATGACCTAGTTGTAACCGCCTGAAAAAAAGTGACATCATATTTTAGTTAAAAACCTACACCATACTCTGGATTTTTAATAACATAAATCAGCTAGCACATAGCTTTCTTTTTACATAGGTTGTTTTAAAAAAAAAGATTATATTTTAGTAAATAGAGATTGTAACTTATTAAGTACATATCCTATATAATAACCTTCCATTTCCCCAAGTGTAGACAGTCCCAGTGGTCGTCAACATTACGTAATGTTCATAGCCACATTGAATATCGAACACTCCTCCATTACAGTGCTTAGTATCAACATAACTAGGTAAAATCCCACAGTACACATTACCCGCTGATGTCAAATACAAACAAGAATCATTTACCAAAACTACTTTTGAAATTTTTGTTTTTTGTTCTGTTGTAATATTTACTTCCGGTTCTTCAATGTTCATATGAATCTTCTTTACCTCCTTTTCCATTTTTAAATCCAGTACCATAACGACATTGGTACTTATGCTGGCTAATAAAATATAATAGTCATTTCCAGTCACTATGAGTTCCTTAGGAGAACTAATATAATTAGCTGACAAAGGTATTTCAACCAATTGTTTTATCTTCCCATCCCAAGCACCTGAGAGATAGAATTTATCTTCTATTAAAAATATATTGTACGCCCAATTAATGTCTATTATTTTTGGCTGACTTTTAAAATTATTTTGAGGGATAGCACGAAATTCACGTATCACAAGATCGTCAGAAGGCCATTGCCCGAATATGTTTGAACCACTCACGTAGTACACCATGATAACATTTAATATAGGTATTTATGACTTTTTAATCAATTTAACTCAGTTTAAAATATATAAAAGTGCAACACAACAACCACAATTTCGCCAGGCTCAAAGCGAAACAGAAAACATCGATAACAAAAGATATTGTCGGATACCCAAAATGTTTTTGGTAATATCTATAAAAAAGAACCACATTTCTAAATAATTTAACCTAATTAAAATAGACATATTCGCAAGAATAACTCAAAGAATCTTATCATTCCTTTATTTATTTACTACGCTATGCTAAGACCCAGTGTTGCCACCAGTTAAATTAACTCTCCACCAGATTCAACATCTACAACCACCAGAAAACCAATAACAAAAAACGACCCTACTCTGATAGGCACTAAATTTTCCAATAAACATTTTTTTTTAGTAATTCCGAAAGAAAATCATAAGTATATTAATAACTAGTTTCCTTTATTATTTAGTTTCGTTTTTGTCAGCACCATCATGGTCGGTTTTAGATTAATACGATTCTTTGGTAACGATTTGTTTTACAACATTTATTGGGATTTCATATTTGTTGCAGCATTCTCCTTCCAACTTCAAACCACAGCCTATTCTTAACATAGCAGATAAAAGATTTAACTTCATTCTATTCTGTTTATACCAATAGTCCCTCAACTCAACATCGGCATTGAAATGAAGCAGTATTAAGAGAGTAATTCCAAAGATCGCTCATTCCCCAAATGTCGAAGTCCCTTGCCCCCCTTTTTTTACACACATTGCTTCATCTTTTACCCCGCCGACCTGCGCTTATGGAGGACGACTTCAACGATTTTTGCTAAACTTGGCCCGGGCGTGGAGAGGTCTAAATCTCCCTCCTTTCCGCCATCTCCTTCGCAAGCATAACTTGCTCGCAGAAAGAGACGGCGGAGTTAAACGTACTCGCACACGCTCCATACTTCCCGGTCAGGAATCATATTTTCCTTGGCCCCTTAGGCATCTTCAAAGAGCAATACCTCTATGTGTATGTGTATGTGGAAATTCCTTAACAAGTTGGGCAATGGTAGAAAACAACGGACCGCGGCTCATTGGTTTGAATAATACCAATCTTCATTTCTCTTTTACCATCATTAAACATAGGATATAGGACATAGGATCATTAAACATAGAGTGGGACCTTGAATTATATCGTTATTCTGACTATACCCAATATTTTCAACTTTCAATTTTCTCCTGTACCTTCTGGGGACATTAGAAAGATCATCCTGTCTGACTGTTGTAACGCAATGGTTTGTAAGCCATAGGAATGATAGTTAAGATCCTGGATTACGTCCAAGCCGACATTATTGACTTCTTTTTCGACTCCGAAAACTTTTCCTCTCTCTAGCACAAAGCCTACGAGTACATCATCCAATTGCCTAAAATTAATAATCCTTTTCTTCCTGACCATTTTTATCCAAATTCTAACCTTCTGTGGCGACTCCCACATACAAACAAATAGCGCCATAGAAGGATAGGATTTGGATATGGTCTTGGCCAGCCAGCCAAGAACCTCGACCTGGTTACCATACGGCCTCATCAGCGTCTAGGCGCAGCACACTGCACCTACAGTTCACATAAGAAGAGCATTTCTCTACCGCCTACGTAGCAGCCAGCCACTACGCGGCAACCACCCACCAGCGCCGCGCACCGCACGCCATCCCGACTCACTGGGATCAGCGGACTTCAGCCCCGACTCACTGGGACTAGCAGCACTCAGTTCCGACTCACTGGAACTAGCGGCACTCAGTTCCAACTCACTGGAACTACGCACTACTGGTACTGGCACGCTCCACAACAGGACATAGACAGCTGACTCGGCCAGATATCGACCTCCGGTCTTGGAAAAACCCGTTCCTCCACACTTCCTTCCCTATCAAACGTTCTTGAGGTATTCTAGGAGAAAACTGTGTGTGTACGCAAGTACAGGGATGTTGCGGATATGCGTGTAAATATATGTATAGCTTTGATATGATACGCGATTTTTCCTTGTGTTAATTTGTGTTCTTTTTCTTTGCGACTTGTTAAAAGTTTCACAAAAAACTCAACAATATATTTTGGTGAGTCTTGTGTACAGATAAGTAACAAACTGACTGAAAAGATATAAAGAATCGGGCTTTGATTATACTGCATGTACTCGACACGTTTTTGTTTACTTTTGCGATCTTAATAGCCATTGACAATTATACTAAGCCCCGGATATGAACACTGTTACCTATTCATATTGTTCAAATCCAGCTGGTCGTTCTAGCAGATATAATTCTCAGATATTAGTTGAATGTAGTCGCTTAATGAGGTATGTCGTAATAAGCAGTGTCGTAAAAGCAATGTTTTTAATAAGGCCGTCATGTAGTATTCAGCCGGGACCTTTGATTTTGGTCTTTATAACCGGTATGTTGTTCTAAATACATTATTTAGAACAACATACCGGTTATAAAGACCATCATAAACGGTTTGAACTGTACATAATTTATGTAAATTTCAACTAAATAGGTATCGATAATGGCTCATGACATATAGCCCGCTGACAGACAGACGGACCCATCCGTCTGTCTGTCAGACGAACAGAAAACAGAGGCTAACGATGTCTAAGAGGATTAAGACAGGGAGGACGATTTTTTTTAACGAGTATGATAAAATATACCTGTGTCAGTTTTTATCTTCTGTAATTGCTTTTCATTACTCGAACTTTCATAAAAGCTACTCTTCTTTGTAAATCGATTTTGATTTGATGATGATGTGATTGAAATGAGATGATTTTTCAAAGACGTGGGACGACCCTTGCGTGTGTAAGTTTATTGCATATTTTACAATCAGCCTTATCCTGGTTTTGTTCATTTGGTTTAAAATAATTCCAAATATCACTTTTCGTTGGTGGTGTAATTACAATGTTTTTCAATTCACCTTCAAATGATGAGTGTATATTCACAACTTCAAAATAACACTCAATTTGACAGCAAATATGAAAAGCGCAACTAGCTTAACACTATGACTGATTTACGAGAAACAAATGAAACATGTACAACAAAGAATATATCTACTCTCTTACTGTACAATAACAAACGCGTCGAATCTTGTCACCGAACGAAATTTTCGTTTCAAAATTCTCGCATTCTCAGACTCTTATCAAAAACAATCGGCTGTCACTACGGACCTCACAGATAACAAGTAAAATAACGCATTAACAATTTCTCACACACACACAAGCGAAACACAAAATATGCACGAGCGACATGGATGTTTTTATGATTTATCGATATCTAACTATTTACAAACCGGTAACAACACTATCGATCGGTGATAGCGATTAGCACTACACACGACACGACACTATTGTAAGAGAGCGAGTGGCCTGTGTTGGTAAACAAATCCAAAACAATACAACTGTTATTTTCGTAACTTTTAAGTTTAAAATTTAGTAAATAGTAATAATTTGATTAAAGCGATATTTTACCGCGCGTTTTATTTCTCAAAATTCTGTGGCACAGGATCTGTATAGGGCTATACACAGTGGCAGAAAAAAAATCGCGCGAAAAAATCTGTGATTTGATACAAAATGAACGCGTGGTGAAATATTGCTGTGCGGACGGGGCCTTACCTATAAAAGTTAACGCCATCTTTTTGTAAACTTGACGTTGCAGATCGCTTTTAAGCAAAAAACTGAACAATTCGGCATTTTTGTAGGACCACTGTAGTCGTCCACTCAGCAGCGCAACTAGATTTACTCTAGTGAGCGGTCCGGCCGCAACTAGTTTTATTGTATGTATATGACCGTGTAGACTTATACTTTAGCAGAAGGAAACGCCTGCGTATGGCTACTCCCTACCTCTATGGTTGTTACAGGTGTTAAGAATAATTTGATTGACAGTTCGATTTTAAACATTGGCAATACCGCAGTTATGTTTGCTTTTGAATGTGTGTGTATCAAAGAGTAAATCGTTTGAATTGGTGTGTATGGTTATCTTAATGTTACGTGTGGAGTATGCCGGTTTTGGAAGGATTTAAACTGTCATAGAAAGTCCCAGGTATCTTTAGAAACTGATCCCGTAAGTATTTAACAGTCAAAACTAGTTATGGTGCCGATCTTTTGTCTAAGTTTGTTCATTAGTTGTTTTCTTCCACAGATGTGAGGTTTTAGTGACATGAAGTCGGGAACAAATCAATATGGCCCTCAAACTTGGAAAATGCAGGCTATGCCTCAAACTTGGGGACTTTTATTCCATCTTTACGGTGGACAATTCTCTACAGCTTGCAGAGATGGCAATGGAATGCGCTCGAATAAAAGTAAGTCTCTTTCGCATGGCGACCGAAATATGATTCTTAAATACAGATCTAATTACAAACGACTATTATAATTCGAAAAATGCGTTGAGTCGATTGTTACTTATCTTTGTGTATAGAAAGTGCTTCTTGGAATTTAACACTGTTTTGTTTTACTAGAGATGTGAGAGCCTATAATACCTTTTGATAACTTTAAGAACCTATTGATGTATTCAAATTGTTTGCACCAAATACACATTGACAAAATCACATACACATCAAACTAGAATACATTTGATGCACAGATGATGTACCTATGTAAATAACATGCTGTATGGCTAAGCACAAAGAAGGATATTATGTCTTAATTTTAAACCTAGGCTATATTGATTCCCCTTAGAATATTGGATCTTGTTTTATCATTACCAGCAGTATTAGAAATCAGGGCCTTAATTGTATCTGCCTGTATGATTGCTGTTCATGTACAGTTTTAGTACCCCCCAATAAATGCACCTTCCTTATTCTTTCTCAGCATCACCCAATCAGTTGACAGGGAGCGAATGCCTTAGGCATTAAGTCCTCCAATGCATGTACTTGTGCAAAAAGTTATAAAATAATAATAAATAATATCATGAAAATGAATATTTTAGAAGATATTAAAGGTTTAAAATGCCGTGTGTCAGCGGGCCTATAGATATTGCATTTAAAATGTCCTGTAGTATAGTCCTATCATAAGAATAGTATAATTAATTACTCCATATTGACACCACATTAGTAGTATCTACATTTCACCCGTGCGAAGCCGGGGCGAAACGCTAGTCTATATTTATTAAATTTATAAGTGTGTTTGCGTATGCTTCAAAACTCTCAAAGTATTGTTCCAATTTTTAAATATGAACCCACATCCCACATCAAAGATTGTTGTAATTTAAGAAGACTTAAAAAAAAACTACTGGATAATAACATTAGTCTTATTGCCACATTCTCCTAAGTTAAGACCTGTAGACACATTGTTGGCAACTAGCTTCCATTAAAGCTTACCATAATTAAACCAATTGCATGAATAGTTGTGGTAAAAAGTAAATAATACATGTAAAGTACTTTATACAATTTTGAATTATGTTTTTGAATATTGTTTTAACTAATGTGGAACTATTTTTGTAACAGAAAATGTTTGTATCTAAAATTACTTAAAATCATTTATCTTCTGTTACATCATGTTGTCATAAAGGAAAGGTTCCTTTGTTGCTAGACAACTAGACAAATGATTGGAATTTAATATACTATAATATTATTATGTAGTTCAAACTTTACTTCAATAAAAGAAAAACTCTAGTTGTCGCTCGTAACCCAGTTTTTACTCTGCGTAAAGTACTAAAAGAATTTTCAATTCTGGTTTTAACTGGATTATCCTTTTTATTTTTTTGATAATTTGACCAAAATTTTTAGACTGGCTGATTTGGCTCTATCACACTCTGAGAGCTTTAACAATATCAGCACTGTACTGCCAAAAACCTTGCAAGTGATTTAAAAAACAGTGGATTATAAAATTAAATTATTAGTGTTGCACTGGGATTTAACATATTCAAACACTTCCAAAGGGTGATCATGGTAATAATGGCAGTACTGAACACAGTGACCCAACTGTGGCTTGAGGTTTATCTTTTGTAATGCAGAATATAAAGATATTCTACATTACAAAAGATAAACCTCGCTTCCCGATAGCTTGCTGCCAATGCAGCATAACAGCCATGTCGGGAAACACATAAATTTTGACAATATAACTTAAAGCTGCAAGTTTCCAGTCACAGGGATACTTTAATGGTTCCCAGGCTGGAAATTAAAAGAGCCGTGAACGTCTCGGTTTTTTTAACACTAAGTAAAACTTAATTATTATTGATTTTGTTTTAGTTGTAAAGAGTGTCTCAGTAAGAGTGCACTTTTTCATTTTAAAATAAAAACACGTATTTTATGAAATAGTTTGTGATATTTTTATTGGATTGTAATGAAGACATGTTCTGATTAAGTATGGAATAAAATAACCGGTAAATGCCTCCCACGGCTTTGATGACAGGCCATTTCGCTTTTCATGAAATTTTCCATGACTTTTACACAGAGATGTGGCTGTATCGCACTGATGACGCGTTGGATCTCTGATTTGAGCTCAGGAATTGTTTTTGGTTTATTCGCATAAACCCGTGATTTCACAAAATCCCAAAGAAAAAATCGCGCTGCATTAAATCGCACGATCTTGGTGGCTGACATCAGATTTTCGTGAGATAATGTGTTCTGGAAATCGATGCTGCAATTAGTCGATTGTTTCATGCGTGGTTACGCCGTCCTGCTGAAACCACATGTTGTCCAGATCCATGCCGTCCAGTTAAGGCCACAAGAACTCCGTTATCATATTCCTGTAACGAATGCCGTTCACATTCACTGCAATTTCGGCCTCATCTTCAAAACATTAAGGCCCAATCACGCCGCCTGACCAAAATCCGCACCAGACAGTTGCTCGTTGTGGGTGCATTTGTTTCTCTTGGATTGCATGAGGATTTTCTGAGCCTCAAATTCGACAATTTTGTGTATTCACGTAACCATTCAGATGGGAATGCGCTTCATCGGTGAAGATGACTACAACTTTGCATTACCCATTGAACGAATTGTCGGCGCTTTCCATGGTCTGGTTGGCTGGTTTGAGCTCAAGAGTTAGCTGAATCTTGTACGTATGAAGCTGGAAGTCTTTTGTCAAAATTCGCTGCGTAGTGAATGCGGAATTGATGTTTTCGGGTTTTCGTCGACACTCGTTTACAGCAGCAATGTTTTCAAGAGACCGACCGGCACGTTGACGCAAAGGAATCTTAGTATCCATAATCGAACCAGTTTCTTCAAATTTTTTGACCACTTTTGGAATGGTTGACACATTAAGTACAATTTCTCGACTGAAAATTTTGGCGAAGTTTGCGAGCGGTTCGAGCACTTAACTTTCCCCATTTTTGTAATGAGCTTTCACAATTATAACGCGTTGTTCTTTCGAAAAGCGCTCCATTTTTAATAATCGGAATAAACATAGGTAACAGCTCTCAAATTTCAAAGTTGCCACTTTCACAAATAAAAAATGTTTGCAAATTTAAAAAATGCACTTACTGACACCCTTTGACACCCTTTATTAGCATTCCTGAATTGCTTTTTTTACTCGCTGAAACCCCTCCGAGCCGGCCCCTTCAATGGAACATTTGTGATAGTACTACAATCACGTAATTATAAAACTTCACATAAATGTTATTTTTCACAATTTTAGAAAGTTATCCAAACGAGCATTTAAGGTCTAGAGGAACAAAAAGCAGACCCTAGTAAAAATGACTTAATGATCTCAAGTATTGCTAAATGAGGGACTGGTCATTATGAACAAAGGACTTATTGCGTCCCTAAAATGGATATGGTATCCATATTAGGAACGCTGAACGCCGAAAAAAGCGATCGCCAAGGATCCACGAAAGCAATAAAACAGAGCACATCTGCGAAACAGCAAACGAATAAGTGTGAGAATAGGCCCTTACATAGAGGCCCTTTAGAAACGATAATGAAATTATGTACTTGATATATTAGGACGTAACCTCTGAGCACCTACCTTACAAGATTTCTACACCACCCAAAGGTTGACTGGAAGAGAATGCCATGGGCATTAAGTCCGCCGATGGTAAATAAAGTATAAAACATACGACGCTGACTGTAATGTGATTATATTTTATTGTAACTAAATCTGTAATCTGCTATCCTTAGTAACCTTACTTTACTATTTTACTACGAAAATACCTTTTATGACAGCTGAAAGTTGTGAGATCGAAAGTTGATCGGAACTGAATTGAGACCGAACTTTTATTACGAGAATTGGCCCTTAGGGCAGTGGCAGTTGTTCTTGTGGGCAGGACAGGGCAGTAGGTTTTAGGCAGGGCAAGAGCTAAGAGACGGAGGTCGATCGTCAAAGCTGAATGTGCTCGGTCATATTGCAGGTAGTTTGAGTAAGTTAAATATATAGAACGTAGAGGACAGCAGTCTTTATTGTTCATTATGTTTGTAGGATTACTATATAATACGTATTTATATTCCGGCGAGTAAGGTAGTAATAGTTGAGTAATAAGACGTAAAAAATGCTAAATTTTAAATATGCTTACACTTGTAAATTTACTTATGCATTTGGTATTGGTTAAGATACCTTTGAATGTGATAGAATGACAAATGACCCTTTATAACTCTCTTCAGTGTGGTGAATCGATTTATAGCTGAGGCCACCCAGGGTTGTCACTCAGGTCGCTGTCATTGTCATACGGTTATTCTTCGGTGACCCGTTATTGTGGAGTATTTATGATGTGGTGTATACATGTCGTGAGCTTGAGTGAAGGGCGTTTTAATGGGCGGATCCTGTGGTCGGCCTACGGGAAAGCGCTGATGCTGCTGATGCTCTGGTGGAGATCGAGCAGTGTTGTTTATTCGAACGTTAAATAGCCAGTATAAAGATGTCCAATCAGGGTCGATCTTATACTCTGACGCAGAATCTGGAGGGGCGTTAGTACTCCCCAACAGGGAGGGGAGCTGGCTACGTGTTTAATAGCTGAAAACTGCTTTACTCAGGCAAGAATATATTAAAAAAAATAAACTTGAGAATATATTAATACAGAAGTGCTATTATAGTGTAATCAATTTTCTTGAGGGTAAGACATTGTGAATACTAAAAACAATAAGTACCTGTGGTGAATGATGATAACCTTTATTGAGAACTGTAAATTATATTGTTTCTGGTTGTGAAAGTAATGTTGACATGTAAAGGATTTGTGTATATTCTTTTATTGAATTATTTTTGTAGAATTTATGTTTTATTGTTATTTTAATTACTTGACTTTTTTTTATTGATATATTAATTAATTTGATTGATAACTATTTTTGTATTTGATGATTGATGATCTTCTTTTATCATATTTGTACACCTTTTATGGTTGAACATATTGATTCTAAAAATTTGTTATTAAGATCTGTATATTTCTGAGTATGTAATGTTGTACACACACATGTTCTGCAAATAAATATCTTTATCTTTAGGGTTATTGAGTTACCATCACACATTGTTGTGGATGAACTCATCACACAGCTCAAGATTCGTTACAGTAGGCTATACAGACGAACTGAAGTCCTTATTAGTAGTTTCTTTGAGAGTGTATGCAATCAAATGTGATCCACACTGAGGATCGTTAAACAGTGGTGTGTAACGCACAACTTGACAGTGAGCTCGTCGAACACGAAGATGATCATGTAACAAACGTAGTTTAGGAAATCTCAGACTTCTCAAGTTGTTTGGAACGCAACTAGCTCTTACCAAAGAGGTCAAATACCTAGGAGTTATACTGGATAGTAAACTTCTGTGGAATAAACACCTCGATGAAAAAACACTTGAAACACTTCCGTAATCATTTTAAACTCTTACCAAAGAAGTCAAATACCTAGTAGTAATACTAGACAGTAAACTCTAATATTTTTATCATATGTATAGAAATATAAAGAGGTGTCCTATATCTTTTTCAGTAAAAAGGAATGCTATGAATAAAGCACTAAACTCTGAAATTTTAAAAAAGTGTAAAATTTATTTAAAACTAGGGTTATTTCGATGTCTGTTTCATAGCAGTCATTTTTTTACAGATATATGATGGAGATGGATTACCAGACAAAGTATGTTCAGAATGCATACAGAAGCTAAGCAGTGCTTATATATTCAAACAACAATGTGAGCGAGCCGACCAAGAGTTGCGGCGGAACTATGTGCCACCACCAGGTAGAATATCTGTAAAACTATTAAAAGCATTATAATAAATACAACTGGAGCTAGGGCCACAAGTAAAACTATTTATTGCTACCATCCATTATCTTAATTTTATTTAAAATACACTTATTTCACTATTATATAGATGATTATGGCAAGCCTAGACTAGACATTTATATTTTCACCCTTTTACACAACAATGGCCTTAAGAAACCATGTTATTATGCTGTGATTCACTATGCTAATTTGCGTTTTTTTTAACTAGAGGGATAAAATGAAGCAATAGCAGCTTGTGTATCATTCTCACCAAACAGTAGAAAATCGCATTATCATCTAAGTAAATTGTGTTGTTCTACTTGAGACCTTTGATTTTAGGGTTCAGTATCAGTCCACCGCCACCTAACAGACAGAGTAGTGACTCTGCCTTCTCAAATCACACTGACAGCTCTAATCTTACAAAACCCTCATCTTCCTTTGAAGAAAAGATATCTCCAGCAACCAGAACGCGTAAACGTAGTATAGAGAGCGATGGAAATGTCTCAATGGGTGGTCAATCCGGTGATTTCAGACCAACAAGTTCAAAACGGATCGAGGAACTTAGAAATTCTCAAAAAAAGAGGCCCCGCTTACAATCTGAAAACGCTTCACAGCCAGATTCTGATTACGAGGACAACAGCGGATCATACTTACCCGAAACTGACTCAGATGAACCTCTTATTAAGAACACATTCAAGTGCAAGTCATGTCCTAAACAGTTTACTACCTTCAGAAGTTTGGCTAATCACACTAGAATTCACACCAAAAGCAATACTAAGGCACGAGACGTAGATGCCGTTGTAGACCAACCAAAGAACAGTAACGAGGATGCTGCAGATGTCGAAGATAAGTTGAGCTGTGAGAAGTGTGGAAAAACTTTCAAACTGAAGATAATGCTGAAACGACACGCTGATGTGTGTTCGAAAACGCCTGTAAAATCACCGCAGAAGGAGCTACTCATATCCCTAGCGCCCATAGACGTCAAAGCAAATGCACCACAACAGACTGTAACAACTTTACCATGTGAATATTGTGTTGCTGTGTTTAAAACTCGGGATAACTTAGCGAAACATATGAAAGTGGTTCATGCGGCTGTTTTGAAGAGAGAAGCTGAAGCAAATAGAAAGGTGCCAGTTCCTTGCTTGTATTGCAACATAATGTTCGAAGACTATCACCAACATAATGCGCACTTTGTGGAATGTCCAAAGTTGGATGACTCGAAGCCATTCGTATGCCCTGTATGTGACAAATGGACATCTAGGAGGACGTCATACTACCAACACCTTAGGAACATGCACTTTGAACCTCGTGTTTCGTATGTGGAGCAGGAACTCGAAATGCAAGAATACCACGAGTGTCGTGTGTGTTCGAAGAAGTTAGCGACTAAGGAACAACTTATCAAGCACTTGTCGGCTCATGTGTCTAATATCCAGGATGAAGGCGCACTTGACAATGACTCAAGGTAACAGTGTCGTCTACTTGTTTTTTAGTATTTTCATTTCCAAATAAACGTTATTTATATTTTTCACGACTGTAATAGTCTGAATTCACGATGGCTTTTTTAGACAGTCCCATTTTATATATCTGTTTTTGATGTCTGAAGGTTATTAACTGTTTGATTAACAATAACTTTTTATTCTTAAACGCCTCGCCAAAAGCTAGCTCATAATCTCAGTGGTGTGAAATCGAGGTGTTTCCACATAAAGAAAAACAGCTCTCCATTTTAATACATCTTTTTATTTTACAATTTTCAGGGATGATGCCGATTCTATCAAATCAGTACAAAGCAACACGTATCCGGCTGGGGGCCCGTTGAAATGTGATGTTTGTGATAAAGAATTTAAGTATAAAAAAGCTTTGTTAACGCATCAGCAAAAATATCACACAGACAGACCAGTTGAAGTCAAAGTCGAAGCACCCGATAAAGCTTCCACTAGTCTTTTGAGCGAGAAGCAATATCGCTCAGAGTCAGAATCTAGTCAAGAAGAAGACAATACCTGCGATATTTGCGAGAAACATTTCTCCTACAGACGTCTCTTGATCCACCACAAGAGGACAAAGCATAACATGGGTTCAGGCCATAAACGCGCCAAAATCTACCTCAAGGACTGCTCCGTCCGCTGTCTCATCTGCGATCTGCAAATGAAAGTCGGCGACATAAATGAGCACAATCAAACGCACATTGCAAAGAATATAAAACCTAGAAATCTATACACGTGCGCGGAATGCGAAGCCACATTTAAAGCGTGCAGTGCACTTGCAACTCATATAAAACTAGTTCATAGATTAAAACAGAAAGTAGAAGTCAACACAGTAAATCCGTCGGATTTTTGTGAGGTCGTTGTGACAAAGTCGGAACCGCTGGACTGGATCCAGAGTCACAACGACTTTGGAGAGGTTCCGATTGAGCAGGACGGCAAGCCACTGGTAGACCTGAGCGGCTTTACGTGTCCCATCTGTGGGAAGAAGATGCCCACACTCATATCTCTGAAGAGACACGTGAATTGGCATACTAACGTTGGCAAGAGCTTAGAAAAGAAATACGAGTGCTTTGTCTGTAAAGAGGTAAGTTTGTTGTCTGTATGGCAGTTGAGTTGTTTTATGAAGAAATCTCTTCACACACCTACACACTGCAAAATTTGATAATCCAATCTGGACTCTCCCTCTGTTTAGTTTACTGATATCCAATGATATCTTTTTAAATATCATCATTTATTGCCACATGGTTATTGCAAGTAGTTGATTGCTTTAAAAGTCCTATTACTTACTTCAGTCATACATCTGATTCTTCGGAAGGTATTAGTTGACCACTAACTTGACCACTAACTTGTTACATACATATACCTAAACTTTACTCGTCTGGGATAGACAAAACAACCTCAATTTGCTTGCAAACTATAGACAGATAGAATACTCATATTAAAGCTTGAACAGTTTTAGTATTTTAACCTGTCTATTGTTTATTTTTATTTATTCGTCATACATCATTATTGTTATAAGTACAACTTGAATTCTATTGAACACACTGCAATAAATCTGTGTTTCTTGCAGGCTTTTAGATTCCAATGTCACTACAAGCTACACATGCGCGAGCACTACACGGACACCACTCTGGATCCAAGACACCTTACGTGCACCATCTGTGGACGCAAGAGCAAACACCTACGCGCCGCCCAAGCGCATATGAACTTCCACAAACAGACCCGCTTTAAGAATAAAGACTACCAATGCTCCATCTGCGAAAGAGTATTCCAGCATAGGAAAGTGTACCTCTCTCACATGGCCATACACTACAAGAGAGGGGATAGCGTGCAAAACACTATCGTAGGTCACGCCTTACCTAACAATGTCGACAAGAACACTTTCGACGGGACGCACACCTGCGTGCACTGCGGTAAGGTCTGCGACTCTGAGAGTTCTCTAAAACATCATCTCATTTGGCACACATCCAAGACCTTCTTATATGGCGCTCGGCACGAATGCCAGATTTGCAAAATCAAATTCACTAACAAAAGACGACTCGAAATCCACACAAGAACGCACTACGAGGACGACAATGGCCCCTACAAATGCAACATTTGTGGTAAAGGATACACAGACGAAGGCTACTTCAAAAAACATGTCAAGGGCCACAATTTTGATCATCAATCGCATAAAAAGAGAATAGAGAACATCAGAAAGGATAAAGTGAAGTGTCCAATATGTTCGCGGTATTACAAGGACCTCGTCAAACTCATCCGGCACCTCAGAAGGACGCATCCCGAGAGTAAGATGATCAAGTCAGACCCGGATGCGCCCGCACAACCTTACTTTTCATGCAAACTATGCGCTAAAGTGTTCTTGGACGAGAGAAGGCTTCAAGCGCACGAAGAAGCTCATTTAAGAAAGCCAGAGTTCTTTAAATGTAAATTCTGCGGCAAGAAGACAATATCATTAAAAAATCACAGAGTCCACATAAAGGGTCACTTGACACAGAAGTATTTAGACAACCCTCTGAAATGTCCGCACTGTGAAGAGACGTTCGGTCGAGGTTACGATCTGCACTACCACGTGCGAGACGTGCACGGCATCGAGGAGACGTGGATCGCAGACCGCACCGAACAGCGCCTGGCCGGACCGCTCAAGGACCTGCAGTGCTCCATCTGTATGAAGGTCCTCGCCAGCAAAGGAAACTTTGAGCGCCACCTCGACTATCATAATTCTTTAAGATGCAACTACTGTTTTGATTATTTCAGCTCCCTCAGGTTCTTAGAGGGTCATCTGACGTTTTCATGTGATAAAAAGAAACTTTTAGGCGACACGGAGGTTTATCCAAAGAAAATAAAATGTCACAAATGTTACAAACCCTTCCACGTTCAAGTCAAACTAGATTGCCACCTGCGCACTCAGCACGGTATCAAAGTGTGCAGGGAAGCTTCAACAGGCAAAAAAGAAATTGTTTGTGATTATTGCTTTAAAGTATTCGAAAATGATTATGCTCTGTCTACACACAAAGTTTATCATCGCACTGTTGGATTCTATGGGTGCATTTATTGCAAGCGAAAGTTTAACACGATGACGGTATATCGAAAACATAAGAATCACCATTTCTCACAGCTGAATGTAGACGAACCGACTAAGTGCGAACATTGTGATGAAACATTTGTAGCGTTCAGAGACATGATTTATCACATGAGAGACGTCCATGGCGATGATAAAGACTGGGTGACGATGCCCAAGGAATCAATCGAGGAAACTTGCAAAATTTGTAATAAAACATTCTACAATTTGCAAAGACATCTCATGTACCACGAGGAAAATAGGTGCAAAAAATGCGGCGAGTATTTCTTTTCCACCGCTGATTTCGATAACCATTTGTGCTCTATAGAAAGCGATGACGACGACAACGCTAACGGTGTGGACAGCACTTTCGAAAAACCTAAGTATGAGGAGTGCAGCTTCTGCTTTAAACCCACCACCAGAAAAAGCTCTAAAGCGATGCACGAACACATCCACAAGGGATCCGGTTCAATATCGTGTAGGTTCTGTGTACTCAAGTTCAAAACCATGGACGCTTTCAACATCCATGCCTTCTCACACCGAAGCAGAAAGTATAACAAGAAGCCAATAAAATGCAAGAAATGTGGCGAAAAATTCGTTAAGTATGGGCTTTTTATAAAGCACATGAAACTCGTGCATAAGTCGTTGAAAAAGATGCATTATAGAGCCATAGTGAAGCCAGAGCCTTGTGTGGTGTGCGGCGAAGACTTTCCCAACTTGCATAACCACTACCGCGCCCACCTCCTCAACCAGTGCCAGTCTTGTCACAAATACTTTACATCCTCTAAATTATTCTCTTTGCACGAATGTGACAAAGAAGACTCTGATCCTTCTAAAGTATTCATCTGTGATGTAAGTTTGAACGAGTTGATAAACTCGTACGTTCCTAAAGATTTGAAGGATGATGAGAAGTACTATGGCAATACTGACGACGAAGAAGAGGAAGAAGATACGGTTTCTCAAGTGTGTGGTGAAGATGTAGAGAGTCAAGACGGCAGGCACATTGATATCAAAGACATTGATATTGATGAAAATAATATAACTAGTCAACCATTGTCTATCCAATCACCGATTATATCTGATGTGTTGTCACTCTACCAGAAGGAAATGAATCCCGAAGTCGTGGCCGATATTGTAAACTTAACCGATGATGATTCTGACGTGGACCATGTAGTCCAGAATCATGCTGACACTATAGTTATTGATGATGATGATTGAAGTGATATGTATAAGTGTTTCAATTGAGTTGCAACTATGAGGTTTCTTCAAGCTTCTTCATTAAATTAGTTAAAATTTGAATAATCCTAAATCTGGTGTTGCTAGTTATAGCTTTCTACCATTGTTGGTAGAAATATGATTTTTATTGGCTTGTGATTTTTTAATTCTTTAACATATGGTTTGTAAGAATATAACTTAGATGTCGTAGACAAGTGTCTCTTTAATTATATCTTCTGCATTGTTAATAGCAATATAACTAATTAAAATATATAGTAGTTCATTTATATAATTAAGTAAAAGTATTTTTAAGACTGCTACTGGAACTGTGTTCCAAAAATTTTGAATCCAAAGCATGCAGCTATTGGTACCATAGCATCCCAAATTATATTGATATACTTGTAATTGAAAATGGTGTAACACTATTAATATCGAAATTATGCATTTAAAGTTATTGTTTAAGTTCAATTCAATTTAGGATGTTTCAACTTAACAGAATTTATCTTGAAATTAACTCCACCGTTAGTTTAGTTTCTTAAAAGAAATACTGTATTGATTTAAAATGTATACAATTTAAGATATTCAATGGTTCAATAATACTAATGATTAATATACGAGCGAAGCAATACAAACTTATGAAAAATAATGCGTATTAATTCTTTGCGTGAATCTCAAGCATAACCTGTCAAGCTGAAGATACCTAAATTACTATACTACAATTTATCTAACAAAAAACTGTCAACAAAAACGGGTCTTACAAGAGTTTCGTGTGTGTCATGTTATGTATCATATTACTTATATAGTGAACGTTTAGCTTTTATGTGCACTCGTGATCCATAACTTTCGATCTTATGTAAATATATACTGATCCTTAAACTAAGTAAATTGTATTTATAATCGTCGTTAAACCTATTGGTGGTTAATCTAATTTCTGTAAGCTTCTTGATTTAGTACATGTTTTCATATTTCTTTCAACTTGGCAAGAGAGCATCCTTCAAACATGAACATATATATGACATGTTAGTCTAGTGGTTAGTGACCCTGACTGCTAAGTCGGAGGTCGTGGATTATATTCCCACCTAGGACAAATAATTTTGTGATCAGCACGATCGTTGATTCTGTGTCCGGGTGTAATTTATCTATAATATGTATGTATTTAGAAATATATAAGTATGTTTATCAGCAGCCTGGTTACCTTAGTATAGGCTCTGCCTAGTTTGGGATCAGACGGGCGTGTGTGACGTGAGGTTATTATTATTATATTAGAGGCAGTGATAATTTGCAACTTTTTTAGTGTCGCTATGTTTATTTTGGTTACTTTGTTTTAGCGTAATATTAATGAGTCTCACTGTGCATCTTTTATCCCTCTTAAAATATTTTTAGGATATGGCTTAGTCATAAGGTCACGGATATATTTAGAGTAATGGAGAAATAGAATGGATAGAATCCATTATTCCATTGAACATTTAATTTTTTATTATTGAAAATACTACTAAAATAGCTAGTCTGGAAGTACTCGAAGATTTTTACTGTGCTGTACCGTTGTGTTGTCTGTAAAAACTCATTCAGAGTTTGTTTCATAGAAAGAAGTCCATGTACCTTATAAAAGTTCAGTGTAATTTAATACTTTGTGATAATGTTTATGTTCTGGCCAGATTATTGTCAACTGCATGATGTGGTGGACCATATAATAAAATGATAGTATTTCACAACAGGTCAGCTAGAACTGTCCATATTGTTTAAACATTAACGTTTGATGATATGCCACTTCACGTTTAGCTATAACGTTTATATAGGATATTAACGATATATAGAGTTAAATAAATATTATAAAGAAACAACTTAGTTACACCTTTTTCACATTACAAGTTTTTTTTTCAAATACTACCCATTATTCTCTTAAAACTTTACCTAGCAAAACATTAGAAATTTAGCGGTATACTGTAAGGCCAATGTAGCACTCCGGTCGGGCTGACCCAAGTATGCCGAAGCAAGACTCTTCCACGGCTGATAGCTCATTGATCTGGCTAGACCATATCGTAAAGTTATGCACGTAAATTCTATATTTTGGTCACGACATCTAGATATTAATATTACAGTTATATTTAAGACATTTTAAAGTATTTTTGAAAATGGTCTATAGCAATACATAAACCATTATTAGGATGACTTTTCATTCGCAACATGTTGTAGTTCATCTCAGTACTATTTGTAACGAATCAAACATTAATTATATACTTTTTATAATTAATAGTAGCCAAAAGAGAGTATGTACCTATTGTAAGTTAGATGTAAGTTTGTGTTAAGTTCAGTCAATGTTTTAGATAGACTAATATAGGTTATTATAGTGATTATTCCAATTTATTATATAAAGAAGTTTCTATTATTTGTGGTTAATTTTTTTAGGATTTTTTAATTATGTCGGAATCTTGGCATATTATTTCTGTCTTCTCCTATGTGTAGATTGTTGATGGTGACGAAATAAATGATCATTGAAATTTTAATAATGGTTTTATTTAGTCAACATAGTTTTGGAATTACTAATTGACGAACACATTGGTTCCATACAAACTTATCGTCAGCAACAAATGTCTCGAACTTTAAAATGTACATTACTGCATCTTACACCTACAATAGTTGCGGATTATGTTGTGTAACATTTAAATCTACAGTATAACTAGTAGTCCATTCTAATATTCAAAACAAAAGCGACGAACGACGAGTTCGCTAGCACAATAACACTCACAGACCACTTTTAGTAGAGTAGAAACAGTGACAATAAACTATCCCGCTTCACAATTTGTATAACAAACATAAATATGAAACTAAATATTCACCGTCAACGGTGCGTGTCTTAAATTATCACTAAATACTCCACGTTTTTCAAGAATGGTAAAATTAATTACTATATCTTGTTCAGAATTTTAAAATAAAACAATGTCAATTAAAATAAACTAACAAGGTTTATGCTTCACTTTACTGAACAAAAAAGTAATCTTACGACGTCATTATAGGTATCTTATGATCATGAATAATTTCATTATCCCAATGCGCTTTCTCATAACGTATGTCAGTCAATCAGCAATTCAAAAAGCCTTCAAATGTTACAGGTACGTTACATACATTATAAACATTAATAATTATAAAAATATCTATCGTTATTTGCAATAAGATGCATATAATGACAACCCTTATTCTAATATTATAACTTTTTTAGACAATGAACTCGAATAAACGTGATCTATATGGGAGAACGGAATTAAAGAGGTTTTTAATCCTAAGTATACATCAGAACCGGTTGAGAGCCATCGACAACAAAGGGTACTTCAATATGACGCGTTCCTGTTCGCCTTTAAATTGAAATAAGACAAGGAATCAGTGGGTACCAGTTACTAAATTGAATAAGAAGAAAGTTGTAGTTTTAAATTAATCACCTCAAGCGGTTATTTATTTCTCAGCCTTCCAGCTTGTAGAATTATCAAGACGAAGTTGGCTGGTGTAAAAAATATTACGTGTTGTTGTCGATGGCTGTCATCGCGTAGTTACATCAAGTAAATATGAATAATATTAATATTACAAAATGTTAAATAGGGTGAGCAGAAATTACTTATTTCAAGTGTTATTTACTTTATATATGAATCACTTCAATATAATAATGTATTTTGTGTATTGTCGTCAGTGGCACTCACAATCACGTTATGTCAGATTCCAAATCTGTGTCATTGTTCCATTTAACAAGTAGATATTAATGTTCAATCCATAACCTGATTCTATCATTATAACATGTCTAACATAAATAAATTAAAATAAAACCCCTGTTACTTCCATTATGTTAAGCAATTGACGACAATGCACCGATATATTACAAAAAAAAATACATTAAAGAACCACAGGATTCGTTAAAATAAAACGTGTACCAAGGATTATTAAAAAACACCATTTACATTCTGACAGTGACAGCAAATATACAGAAAACAGTTTAAAAAAAAAACAATTTTTTAATCGGCGAATAGACTACGAGTAATTTTAGTCTATCTAAACATTATCTATAATGTTTCTAGAGAATACTCTAGATTTGGATCCGTGCTGTGAAATGCTACATACATTGCTCACGATACAATAAATAGATATAAATTATTTTCTCACGTTATAAAGTCCCTCTATTGAGATTGATTGGGCTATGGAGCTGGTGATGATATTGGTATATTCTACTATTAACCTATGTAATCTTTTTGGATTCTAGTCATTTTGATTGAGTGATTCTAGTCATTTCAAGATGACTAAAATAAAAAAAAAAGTTTTCAGTGTGATCCATAATATTTTTTTATTGTTCCAAAATAGTTCATATCAAAGTAAAATATTTCAAAGTGCGCAAAATAACAGATCTCTTTGCTCAGATAATGACATAAAAGAAAATTGACAAATCAAAAATTGTCAAATTTATCATTTCAGAGGTTTAAATATAAAATGAATTTGGGAGACCCGGAGGCAGCTTTCTCAGCACGGAGCCTGCTGACATAGAATTTATCTTAGAATCACCGCGTGTTCCTTTCAGTCATATTACAGCACATTGTTTAGTTTTACAAATAACTACATTATTATATACACAATTTACATACATACTTATTTCTTATCGAGACGTCAGACTTTAGCTCCGAAACGATTCCGAGGTGCACAAAACAAAGTGATTTACAGACAAATTAATAATACAAATCAATTGATATATTTAAATACACAAATTTGTCTTAAAGTTTTATAAATAGCACTCTATGTATGAGATGCCTCTAGATAAAATATTAATAAATAACACATCAAATTAATTAATATAGACTTTGTCAATAAGTATATACACATAAACTATATTTAACGTTGCTTAAGCCGAAATAGTGAGCTTTGTTATATCCGATTTAAATATCTCGAAGCAAATGCCACTGCCTCGAGTTAAGCAATAGAAAACTGTTACGTAACAGTACATCGTCTTTATTATTTCAATACGCGCCATAAAACAAATATAATATAACCGCCAATTCCATATCAGCTATGTTGAATGTAATTACACGAATCAAACTCATTTTTATAACAATACTGAGCACTATGACTGGTGTTATTTTCATCGGTTTAGACTCAAAAGCCGATATCTTAGACCAACGATATTCTTGTCTTCTTGTTTCGAAACTTTGAGTCACATCACGTTCTATAGAATGCGCGCCCTTATGTGTATGTAAACTTACACCACATACCTATATTAATAAATCTAATAAAATTATTATGTCGCATAATTCATAGCAGCAACTGGCACATGTACGATAATATTTGAAACTACCTACTTAAATGAAAATATAATTTTTCATAGTTCCCTAATATTGAAGCTTACGCTACTCATTATACATATATAAGACACTTGAAATATGTGTTACAACATTCTTTGAGTTGCGTTTAATTGTTACTCTCTTTCTCTGCTCAGGCGCATCATACTTCACCTAGTGTAGAACTGATATTTCCACACATGTTTTTATTAATAGAAAGAAGTAGAAAAGAATAATAAGAAGGACATAATTTTAAAGATATTATTAAAGTAACATTAACCTTTAAAAATAATTTCCAATCCATTCTATTTACACAGGGGCAGGTTTAGAATGTTTTCCAGACTTCGGATACCTTGAAAACTAAGAGTGCCAGCATATTCGCGTCAAATAAAAAAATCCTTTAGATTTTGAGAATTTACAAGATTGCCCAGCTCTGAAACTATTGTTTATTTTAAAACAACGTTTTTTTTATACTAGATGCGTAGATATTAATTTTTTAAATATAATACCAAAATATTTAACTATGACTATTAATATAGATATGTGAAGCTCAGTAGGTAAGACTGTTTTAGCAAGAAAAAATAAAATAATACCTTACAATAGGTCAGAGACGATTCTAACTATTTCTGACCTTATTCCAGACTTTCCACTAGAGGTAGTCAGTCTAGACCGGTAACGGGAGAGGCACGTTACTATATGACAAAATATTTTTACACGACGTCATATTCGCTTGACTAGGATCAACTATAAGGTTACCTGTTAAAAAAATTAAAAGCAAATTATACTAACTACGTTAATCGTTCAAATATTTATTATTCTCTCGACCGCCAGTGATTATATAGATATTTACTCAGTACAAGCTTTCTAAATGTAAAATAAAGATGCACAAATTTAATGAAACGATATACCTACTTAAAATTGTTTTCTCGGAAACCTTTCAAACCAAATCTTCAGAATGATTTTCACGTATAAAACGAGCGTTTATGCGATCTTGACTCACTTGACTTGACTTGACTCAGGACAAACGGGTGGTGTAGAGCGGCGGGTGAGCTCAGTCGTCCCACTCGCCGTCGCTGGTGGTGGCGTCGGACATGTCGTCGTCGGAGTCGGAGTGGATGGCGCGCGAGCGCTCCTCCAGCGCGCGCTGCAGCGCCTCGGCCAGCCCCGACCCGCCCCCGCCCCCGCCCCCGCCTCCGCTCCCGCCGCGACCTCCGCTACTACTGTCCGAGCGGGACACCTGCCGGAAACGACACACATACATTATTAATCATTCATTGGATGGAATTCTAATAACTCGTTCATAATTAGGTATCGGTGGTATTCTGTGAAATATGACGTGGTAAGCCTTTAAATACACTGACCGGCCGTAACTCGATGCCTTGTCTGATCTCGCTGAGCAGATTACTTCTGCCGTCCTCCACTGCCGCCGGCTTAGGCGCGGCTTCGACTCGCTGTAACAGATATAAGTTTTAAAACATGGAAGACTTCGATTTTCCATTTCTATGTTAAAGTAAACCGTATGAAATCTATCTTACTGAGTTTGGCATTTGAGTAAGTACTTCAATATAATTTCTTGGTATTCATAATTGGAAGAATTAAATCGATTTATTTGGGAGGATATTACTTTGTGTACGACTGATCGGCACAGTAAATTCGATTTCTCTCAAGAAAATTATCATCGGTAATTAACGAAGTTTGAGTAATTATTAGGAAAAATATTTGAACACGGCTTAACATACCCGCAACGTCTTGCTGCCGCTTCGTATACTCTCCATGAGCGCGGATCTGGGATCCGGCCCGGCGTCCATCGGGGGCGGAGCGGGAGGCGCGGGAGGGGCCAGCGGCGCGGGCGGAGGAGCGGGCGGCGCGGGAGGGGGCGGCGGAGGTGGAGCTCCCGTCGAAGCCGGCGCGGGAGGCGGCGGGGGCGGTGGGGCCGCTCCCGGCGGGGGCGGCGGAGGCACGGACGGGGGCCCCGACGATGCGGCTGTGTAGAATATTAGATTAGAAATGTGAAATATTAATAACGACTACAGTCCATTCGCGTTAAGAAAATAGTGACGTATTAGGTTTCAAGGAATGATCGTTTCGTACAAGTTTGGTATCTGATCGGTCAGGATGCGGGGCTCGATCGATGTGTCACTGTTTTCCTAAAGCGTTAATATGAAAAAAAAGTATATAAAGAGCTGATACGTACGTTGAGCAGGACGAGGGGGCGCGGCGCGGTGTGCGGGGGGCGCGCGCGCGGGGGGCGGCGGCGGCGCGCGGGACGCTGCGGGCACACAACACGAGCTCAGTATAAGCGTAACTACGGGCTCGCACGCTCAACCATCGGTTATAAAAATAATAATATCGGTCACTATAGCGATACACTTCTATCTGGCTGGCATATCGATTGTCTTGTTACAACTACTAGAAACGCTCTGAAAGACGTTTGTAGCGCAAGTTGCAGAAAGAAGTCAATCGAGCGATCGACTATAAAAGAATAAGGGCAGTTTATAAAAAAAAATGTTTAAGTCATTTTAATAAGGTAGATGACTATCAAATCAAATCGATAACTTATTTTAAAAGTCAAACGCTAGACGCGATACATTTTTGTTCAAAATACTATTTCATGACGTCATACCTAGCCATCGTCGAATCATTAATATTTAATGTTGATCTCAAGATATAAAATCACTGAATCGATAATGGAAGACAATTCAAATTCTAAGATGTTACATTTAATGACGCAGGCAAGCAGGCAGGAAATAATTTATTTTAACCGAAAAATCTACCCTATTCTGTCACTTATTTTTTAGCAAAAATGGTTCTGACATCAAACCTGAATCAATTCTCACTACAAAAAAGTGCCGAGTGACCATTAGTACAATCGCATATGATGTGTAACGTCTGACATTCCATACCATCTATCGGCCAACTCTAGCACAGAGCGAGCAAACTGCTCAAATCAAATAGCGTACACTTTCCCAGCTTTCTGTTACATACTTCCGTCCCTTTTCACTATATCAGTCTAGGAAAGATGTTACACATCAAAAATGTGAACATTGAGAGTTTTTTATGTAAGCAATAAACTCACGTGGCGCTGGGGGGTGCGGCGGGTGGGGCGGGGCCGCTCCACGCGAAGGCACAGGCGGCGCCGCAGCCGCGGGCGGCGGGGGCAGGCCCACTACAATACAAAATTACTCATTAATACAATATCCTAATACTTTTATTTAATTTGTTTTGTTTAAATCGAGCAAGTGTCCTAATGACAAACATTTAATTACAGTCAGTTTATTGGAGTTTACTCCTTAAGAATCGATTTTTATATGCGCCCGGTATGCAAAAATATGACGAGTAAAATTTAGTGATCGAATGACCTCGTTACGTATTTTAGGTCTAAATGTAATTTAAAGATGGCGGTTCAAATATTTACTTTTACTTGGTTGTAATAATATTTTTTGTGAGTTTCTTATTAATTCTATGATTGAAATTTGTTTCAGTTTAGTAAGTAGTAAACTACTAGATTAAAATTGATTGGGAAATACGTGCCTTCCAATTATTTTACTAACATTTACATAGATGGCGCTGATTACTAAATTAGTGTGCAGCAGTGTGTGTACGTCACGGTATGCGTTTTTAAACTCCTGTCTTGCGTCGGCGCTGACACATACACTTTCCTTTAAGAGATGTTTCTTTTTAAATTACCCACCTACTGGTCATTTTACAACAGTGTATTAATGTGTGTACTCTTACTCGAGTTCTATTTTTGATTATGACAAATTTTCGCCTTAATTAGCCTTCACTGCTATTAAGTGCAATTTAATATAATATTTAGGCAATTGCTCTCATCTCAATAACGAAACGTGCATTTGCTAGTGACAGAGGACTAAAGAAAGAAAACTTACGCTTAACATTATGCAAATCTTCCTTCACCGCGTCAAGTCCCCCATGGCTCTCGATGAAGTCGTAAATAAACTCTCTCGTCTCCTGGTCCTGTAGCTGTATCTCAGACACTCCTGCTTTAGAGAAGAAAGACCGGAGTTCGTCCGCATTTGGTGCTTTGTCGAGGTCGAAACCTATAATTGATTAAAAATGAAATAATTATGAATACAGAGTTACGTGCGCGCTTCTAATAGCAACTGTTCCCTATGTATAAGGCTTTACATATAGAACTTTTACTTTCTTTATTACATTTGCGAATTCCTAGCAATATCAGAAATTAAAGGTAAAGGGGTCCTGTCTTTATCTCTCAATTAAACGCTGATTAATTGGATTTAATCGGATTTATTCTTGTCACAACTGTATGGTTCTACCGTCGAAAAATGAATGCTCACTTTTATCTCGTTTCGAACATTAAATACATTATCCGAGTGTTGCCATCAAAGTAATTGACATCGATTCGATAGATTGGATTAGTCGTTTGAATATTTAGCCATAATATTATTAATAACTAGTGTTTTGATATTTACTCATTTAAATGTCACCAAATTAAAATGAGTAAATATCATAATGTTAAGTTTGGTTGTAAATATTAGTGCTAGACAGTATTTTACAAAGATCTTAACTTATTAACCTTACAAAGGGTAGGTATATATTACAATATGACTCTTGCATGAAGTGTGGGCAGGAACTGTCGTTATGTCACTCACAGTCTCTACAATTCTTCTTTGAACAGCAAGGGGCTGACAGTTACAGGGGCCCAAAAAGTCTTGTTGAAAATTGGTATACAACAGCGACTTCTAAACACGAAAACTTTCTTTGGATATGTGAGGATACGTTATTACTACATAGGTCGGTTTGTCTCTGCTAGTTGGCGTTATTGGCGAATATTTTACAACCTACACAAGAAAATACATTCACAAATGCCAAAAAATAAAAATAAATGTCATTTTATACCTTTGTTTGCGTCCCATCCGACGTGAGATACGTGTTTGAAGTCCAAGGGCATACCAATATCTTCCTTTGTTAGTTTGCCTCTTTTTAGTTTTTTGTTATTCTTCAGAGTGTAGGCTGGAAACAATACGGATTATGACAATAATGTAAAATTGAAGTTAACTTGACAATTGATATAAATACATATTATATACTTTTTTTTGTAAATACACACATATTATACAAAGAAACACCCACACCAAAGCAAAAATTAAATGATCATGCACATAAATGTTTGACTTGAGCGGGAATCGAACCCGCGACCTTTGGCGTAGCACTACGCCACCCGGCCGTCTAACGTAACGCAACATTATATTAGCCCACGGATAATCTAGTAGTTTTAATGATACAGGGGGGCCAACAAGCAAACAATTTGACTGATGGTAAGTGACCACCGCCGCCCATGGACACCTGCAGCTTGAGTCACAAGAGGTGGGATTATGATTTATTTTGGTTTATTATTTTTATGAAGACACCTTGCGGTGTCTTTATAAAAATTTAGGAATATATATTCTGTGTCGCGGGGGACTTTACAAACATATATGAAACGGACACAAAGAACAAGCTCACTCAGAACGACAATTTGTGGATCATACAAAGTAGGCAGTAGGAAGCGGCTGGCATGCAATGCGTGCAGTCAATTTAATAGGTTTGATTGTTGTGTCGGTCCAAAAATATTGCAGGCGACAATTTGGTCCACAGGTTTGTTGTGCGATGCGAATTATTTTTTGAAAAGCGTACTTTGGTGGAGTGCCAATAATAATAATGATTCAACTCAACTCAAAATATCCTTAGTTCATAAAAAAAAAAAAGTTTGAAATCGATAGTTGTGTAAATATTGTTGAGTTGAACGGTAGCAGAAAGCTGCGGCCTAGTCAAAATCCTTAACAATTCTTTGCAGCATGACTTGCATTATACGCAACAAGGTTAAGTAAGAAGTCGACTTGACGATTTTAAAAATAAATAAATTCCTAGACATAACTTCGACACCTTGTCTAATCTTGCAGTCGGGGTAAATGTGGTTAATGGGTAATATAAACTTACTTCCGAGCGCGTTGTTGGTTTTGGGTGGGAACATCTGCGGGGACGGCGAGGGACGCGGCTGGGCCTGCGGCGGCGGCTGCTGGGGCGGCAGCGGTGGCGGTTCCAGCTCTTGCACAGCGCCATTGTGCCGAGCGACCCCGTTCCCAGACCCGCTGCTGCGTGCCACGCCCGCGCCTATCGATTGGCGTTGCCTCCGCTCTATAGATACGGTTATATTTTAATGAATAATGCTTCCTGATGCTTGATTAATGTTTTAATCCAAATTTGAAAAAAAAAAGATGACAAATAGGAGTACCCTTGTGCGCCTTCAAGGCGAGCGCAGAGTTCGTAGAAGGTCAGATTGACTTTGCTCGCTTTGCTAATCGCAAAAATATTTGTCTTATGGAAGAATACGAGAAATTTAAAAAGGCAATACTATATACGCTTATAATAGACAATGCTATATATTTATACCAATAACTTGGCCATCCGTAGACCCCTCATATATAAAATTCATATCAATATCCTCATATTAAGTATAGCTTGTTGCCAAGTGATAACCGAGTACGTTAACACATTACAGTTAAGCAAAGTTAAGCCATCCTAGCCAGGTCTGTCTGTGGATGGGTGATCATTCTTAACACATCGAGAACGGTGAGCACGTTAAGCCGTCGGTCCCGGTTGCCATACGAACATTGGTGGCAATCGTTACGGGTAGTCGCGAGCCCTAAAAAGTCCGAAAACAGTCTTTCTACATAACTCGCCTAGTATTTTGGTTGTGGAGGTCTGATAGCTGTCGCTCCGCGTTATAAAATCTGAAACTCATAAGTATTTAATTACATAATCAGAAAAAAAGACTGAAAAAGACGTATTGTCGTCTGTCTTGTCTTCCTATGATTAAAAAAGTCAATGATACAGAATTGACTTGTTTCTAGTTTTTCTAATTAACATACGATAACGAGTTTTTTTTAAAGACATCTTCCGCATTATGAATATATATTCTGTGTCGCGGGGGACTTTATTTATTTATTTAATACTACCTGCAAATACATTGCATAAGGCGAATTTAATGCCATAGGCATTTTCTTCCAGTCAACCTTTGGGTGATGCAGAGCTGTGTGTGGCGGGTGTATAGTTGAAGCTATTGAATGTATTACCAGTTGATATCTATCACAAAAAAATATAATACGTAGATATATTAAGTGTACATAAATATATTTTTTACGTGCTATATAATAGTGTGGTAAAGGATTAAGAATACGGAGTGTCACCACCCCTATTCATCCCGTGGGGGTCGTAAGAGCCGATTAAGGGAGCAAACTACGCAGGACAACAGCACTGCAAAGAGAAGGAAAACTTGACACAAACCCTATACCAACTCGTCTGGCCAGCGTGGTATAGTAGGCCCAAACCCCCTTTCTAAAGAGAGGCCTATTACCAGCAGTGGACTATTTAAGGCTGTTTATGATTATTATGATATAATAATTAAATTATATATTTATATATATACTGTGTGTACTTTACAAACATGAAACGGACTCAAAAAACACCCAGATTCAGAACACTAATTTGTGGATCACAAAAAGGGGTGTCCCATGTGGGGAATCGAACCCACAACACTCAGTAAGAAGCGACGGACAATAATTAATAATTGGTCTCCGGTGTAAAATTGGATATTTCGAGATACGACAAATTCGCTTTATGCTTTCAATGGTGAATTTATTAAATCAAAGCACTTCACGTTATTTCTGATGTCTAAACTTTGTGTACAGGTCTGCATTCTCTTTAAAAAGGTAAATAATTATATATATGACGAAGGAAAACAAAAGAACATTCTTAGTATTGTTAGTTGCATTGATATAATACTTACATAGATGAGTAATTACCGCCTAAAATCGTTGCTACTGCACATATGTCCACAGGCATATGCGTAGCAAACGTCAATTCATTATTCAATGTGGCGTCAACCGAGTTGAACATAGCGACACATGACAGTAACAATCGCCAAAATGGCTAAATGCGTAGTGAAAGAATGCGATTCAAGGTCACAAAACATTAATAAATCATGCGGAATTACTTTTCACGTGTAAGTTTATGGTTTTTGTATTGATAATATCGTAAATAAGGCTATAATTGAAATAAAACACTGATAATTGTAATTTAGAATCAGTGTTACCATTAAAAAATCATTTTGGTTTTCCCACATTAGTGGGAGAATTTATAATTTATGAAATAATATGCTTTATACTGTTTTTAAACATTTTGTCAATAATAATAAAATATAGGAAGAACGGTAGTTGTTAGGGCTGGACCGATCCCTTTTTTTAGGGACCCGTTGAACGTTCACTGCTGGAGACTTTTGTACAAAAAAATTAATTCATTGTTTTTCTTAATTTATTATCAATTTTAAAAAAATAATTGTACAAAATAATAATAATAATAAGATACAGAAGGCAGTCCTCCTTGACACGGCTCGTATAGTGAGGAGGTTCCTATCTTTGCAGTCCTAACCACTGGTGTCCTGGTACCTGTACCCGATGTCGGTGGTCTACTATTTTTTATATTTTTAAATGTATTTTATTTCTTTTGTAATATATTTAAAAATGTAATTAATATGTATATATAAAATTTAATAAAGAGAATAATAATAAATGTTTATCATAAAAATAAAAATATAAAATAAAAAAGTAAATAAACATAAATATTTTTTTTTATAAAATAAAAATATTTTTTTTTTATTTGTTTTTTAAATTATAATAGAATTTGCAATACACCCTGGGGATTATTTATTATCAGTACGAGTTGATCATTCACTTTTATTATTAAATGCTATTATTTTTACATACGTAAAAATAAGATTGTATCATGAAAGTAAAATATCCACACAAACTTATAAAAAAGAGTCTAAAAGACAATTGTATACAAAACTGATGCTTCACAGCGCAGTTTGATATTACACTGAATATAAACCCTTTTAACCAAATATTTCCAGTTATTTTATTATTTATACCTATTCTATTCAATTCGAAATATATTATTTAGAATATTTAAATTAATTTATTTTATTACAAAATTGTTTAAAAAAAAAATTGTTTCTTAGTTGTTATGGGTAAAATTTCATACGGTAGTCAACACTGGCCCGCCATCGTAAAGTTATATCTTTGTCTTTGTCTAATCCGAGCGATGGTATTGTTCTTGTCTCGCGTGTAAATGAGACATAAATATGTTTACCTTCAAATGTTTAGTGGTATCAAAGCTACGTCGTCAAAGTTCAAAAGTGGTTACACTTTTTTCGACGTGTGATAATGAGGTTTGCTTCTCTAGTGTTGTTTTAACTCAATGGTTAGTTGTCACATATTTGTCATATTAGACATATTTTATCATTACACAAGAATTGTTTATCAACGGTTTTCTGTGAGCCCATGACTCTCCTACGGATCCCCGGAGGGATCCGGAAGCAATCCCTACTGTTAGGAATCCTTGGAATTTTATTTCATACTAATATGTAATATGTTATGATAAACCTCCTATCTATTGAGAGGCTTATGTCCAGCAGTGGACTATTATAGGCTGTTGATGTTTGATGTGTGATGTGAATATGTAATATTAGAAAGGTATTTCTTTCAGTAGTGTGAATATAGATAGTTTAAAGGAAAGACTTTAATTAATATACTTTCATAACGCAAACAAAACTGTAACTACTAATAAAAAACCCAAGTCCATTTTACACAACATTGTGACATTAATTTGACTCTCAAACTAACAATAGAATGCGTTTTAGTTATATTCAGATAAAATGTATGTACGTAGAATGATTTTAATATTATGGATTTCGATAAAAGCTGAAACATAACATTCCCATAAGCTTCCAGAAGCTTGATAATGGTGCTAATTCTGTTTTTCGAAAACTCTCTAAACTAAACTAAAAATCACTAAAAATTTGTTTAGTTCTGTCAAACAACGTTTCCTATTCTGGAAACGTAATATTTGACAGGACATTTTTTTGTGATTTTTAGTTTAGTTTAGAAAGTTTTCGAACAGCGGAATTAGCTCCAATGTACCTATAGTAGGAGTGGAGGATAGGATCCTGGAGATTGCAAGTCACAATACGTGTTTGTGAGGTGATAATGTTTTGTAAACATCTACAGCGAATAGTGCGTAACGCTCCGTTTTACTTTCAATAAAACAAACATTGAGCTCATCTTAGCTTTAACAGTACTTATGAGAATTACTACACCGTATAAAACATTATTCAAATTTAATATAAATATTGTGATACGATTTCCTATTTATCATTTATTTCTATAAAGATTGTTGACAACCACGCGACTTGTAAGAACACACACATCTCTTAATTCTTTTTTTTTTATGGAAGAGGGGGCAAACGAGCAGACGATCACTTGATGGAAAGCGACTACCGCCGCCCATGAACGCGTTGCCAGCTTTTGAAGAAGGAGTATGCTCTTATCTTGAAGGTTTGGAGGTCGTATCGGTCCGGAAATACCGCAGACGATAACTTGTTTCACGGATTGGTTGTGCGAGGCAAAAAGTGTCTTGAAAAGCGCACAGTAGTGAAGCGACAGTTATCAAGTGGTGGGGATGAAAGTCCTGCCGTGTGGAACGATAGTGGAAAGTTGCGGCCGGTATTAGTCCGAACCATTCCTTTGAGCACTCTCCATGATATATACGATAGAGAATGCAGAGTGAAACTACATCTCTACATAATGCCAAGGGATCGAGCCGGTCGGAGATCTTTTGGCTTCGACAATTCGGGTCGCTCTTTGTTGGATGCGGTCCAGAGGGTACTGAGGTGCCCTTGCATAGAGATGAGAACAGTATTCCATATGCGGCCGGACTTGCGCCTTATAGAGCTGAAGGCGGTGGGCCGGCGTGAAATACTGCCTCGATCTGTTCAGCACACCGGGCTTCTTCGAGGCCGATTTGACCCTCCCCGCTAAGTGACCCCGAAACTGGACTTCGCTCGATATGTCGATGCCTAGGATTCCGATACTAGCTGAGGCAGTTAGGGAGGTGCTCTCAAACCGAGGCGATTAGATTCCGATCAGGCAAAAGATTCCGACCTGGCTTATCTAGACCGGCAATAGTTATTGCCATAGATAAAGAGCTCTTTAAATTTGCCAATACCTGATGACGATCTGGAGATTTCTCAATTTATATATTTTTATTAGGGTTTGTATTACAACAACAGTCCTTACTTTTTATAAAGTAACTGAAAACCTATAGAATAATATTAGATAAGTTAGCCGTGTTTATTTCTTATCATTACATTCTAAGAAATTTAAGTATTATAATAATATATTGACATAGCTAACCTTCTCGTCTGATCTTCCTGAGTTCGATTTTCTCAAGGAGTATGTTCCTAAGGATGTCAGCTTCATTTTCGTTGGCGAAATTGAACGCCGCCATGTATTCCTGGAAAACAAACGTTATCGGTGTATTTAATGTATTAAAGTTGCCGATAAGGTAGATCTGGTGATTTTAAAAGCAGTACATTACATTGTTTACCTATTAGAAATAGTGTTACAAATTATCTATGTGATAATAACATATTAAGTCATTTTATACACTAATATATCTAAATTTAAACTAAATTGCTGCAACTAACAGTTTATTGAGCTATTAATTTAATATATTTTAGATAATATTGGGTAGATTAAACATAGTAAAAAAAAACAGATTAATTTCTCTAAATCTTATTCTTAAACGACGATTAGACCAGGAAACCTTAAAAAAAATAAACAAGTCATTTATCCTGTGATAAAACACAACACAGAGAACTTGAACGTCGATGGATTAGAGTGCTGAAAGCGGGAAGCGTTTTTGCTGAGGACCAAGTATGCGTGTGTTAGTTTTGAATCGTTTGTTGTGGCTTACGATTTGTGTAGCGTTAGTTGTACGTACTACCTATTATACATTTCGTAGTAATTACGTCATTAAATTGTCTACAGTGTGTAAATGTGAACGCGGCACCTGTGCTGGAATAAGTATGTCATGCTGAGGTCAATGACTCATACCCAAGATAATGTAAAACAAATACACATTCATATTTGTCATCAAATTTGTCCATTTACGGAAGTGTTTATTGATCTAAGCTGCTGTCATCAATTTTAAAGGGAAAAGAAATTGGAATTATAACTTGCGGACATTTAACTGCTTACAGGTACTTTTCAAGCTTCTGCAATCTTAGTCTTATTTTCTATTCCAGACTTGCGGTATGCTTTACCTACGGTCTCTCATCCCTTTAAACGAATTGACCTTCTTCCTTTGCGGGAATTGCCGCGTCAGGAAGGTGGCTGGCAAATAAAAAAATAGCCACAATGTTGGACAAATATCAACAAATAATATGATGAATATTTTTTTTATCTAGATTAGATGAGTTAATTGACCACTAAGAAATATTAGAGTTATTGTAACAATTTTCTACTACATGTGAGGTATTTACTATTTCGACAGTACGAAAACATAACATCTCTGTTTCAATTGATATTATATTATTGATATACACCTAAAAAAGTGAACAATCATATCAACCCATGACAAATCAGTTTAAATCCGAGGGAGGAAATTAATTAAATAAAACCAATGTTAATATATAGATTATACTAACGCAGTAACATTTTATATTAGTGTAGTTTCATTACCTGTTTTGTTTCAAATTTATGAGTAAAAAACCAGCTGCCTGGTAAACTATTTTTTTCTGCCGTGAAATTGAAAATTAAGTATACTAGGCATACTTTTAAGTTCTGTCGTTTCCACATTTCCCGGCAATTTTGAATTTGGAACTGTTCTATATTCGAATGTGTTTAAATTTTGAATCTCAAAACAGTTGAAAGGATTAATGCTATTATTTAGTCACAGCGTCGATTGGAATCTGTCAGGTTACGTACGAAAATGAATCTTTCTAAGGAAAATGTTCGTGCAATAATTTTCTACAACTTTAGAGGCCTGACACGGCTTTAGTATTTTGAAGAGCTAACATCTGTGTTCAGTGATGGAGCCCCATGTCTGCGGACTGTCGAACGCTGGTATTTAGAATTCCAGCGTGGACATACTAGAGTTAGTGACAAATTTCGCGAAGTACGCCCAAAATCCGCCTTCACTGAAGATAACATCATTGCTGTGAGAAAACTAATTCTCGAAGATCGTCCTGTGACGTATCGAGAGATAGAGGCTCTATTAGGCATTTCAGGGACAACCATTCAGAAGATCTTGCATGAAGCGCTTGGTGTGAGAAAGTTAGTTTGCCGTTGGATACCGCATCTGCTTTCCGAAGATCACAAGGCGGCCCGCGTCAGATGGGGTAAGAAAACTCTGCAAAGGTTCAACCGAGGAGAGTCAAAACACGTCTACGACATCATCAGTGGTGACGAATCTTGGATCTATGCCTACGATCCTGATTTCAAACAACAATCTACAATCTGGGTCTTTCAAGACAAGCCAAAGCCGACTAAAGTTGTTCGTTCTCGAAGCACTTCAAAGAAGATGGTGGCCACGTTCGTTGGAAAAACCGGCCATGTTGCGACTATTGCACTTGAAGATCGTAGAACGGTTAACGCAGAGTGGTAGACCACAATTTGTTTACCACAAGTCATCGCCGAACTTCGAAAATCTAACTCAAACCGACGCATTATCCAGCACCACGACAACGCAAGCTCCTGACCTTCATACAGTCCTGACCTAAGCCCTAACGATTTCTTTACATTTCCTAAAATTAAGAATAGTCTTCGTGGTCAAATGTTCCAGTCCGGTGAAGAAGCAGTCGACGCTTTCAAGTCAGCCATTTTGAACACCCCCACTTTAGAGTGGAATAAATGTTATAATAACTGGTTTGAGCGAATAGAAAACTGTATTAAGCTACGTGGTGAATACTTTGAAAAACAATAAAAAGTACTATAAGGTTCTAGTTGTGTTTTTTTTCTCCAAACGACAAAACTTAAAAGGCATGCCTCGTAGTTCATTATGTTTTATACTTATGATTATGAGAGAACTTATTTAACTTTTTGTATAATGTTGTAATGCCACCGATGTTTGACTAATGATGTGGGCCTATATTAAGTAACTATTGCTATTATTTCGCAGCTCTTTATCATTTCTTATTTGTGATCAAATGTATTAATTGCCGTCATTACAAATTGAGGTTGGAAGCTTGCTATTTCATGCTTCCAAAATCGTTTCTTTTTTGTCATTTTGCCATTGTTTGCAATATTTTTAATAAATACAATGCTATCTTCTTTCAGTGCGTTTACTCCATTCATTAGACAACAAAACAAGGTTTTATTTTATTTGTTAATTAAGAACTGAATTTAACCTTCACGTAGGTAAGTAAATGTTTTTTTTTTTATCAGTTTATCTTTTGTTTGAAACGAAAACAGATTTTGAGAGAAACGAGAAAAGATGTTACCCGGGAGCTTCTCTGCCTACGGATTAATTCAAAAGACACAGTTCTAAACATTTAAAATGAAGGACTGCGAGAACTTTTATATCTGCTCAAAACATTAATAAAATTACATCTTCCGTGTATGTTGTAACCACTAAATGTTTTTTTTGAAGGTCGAAGCGGTAGGGCATTTTGAACTTTGTTAAATAACAGCCCGCAACTAGTCAAAGCTTATTGCAACCACAACAATGAGTTAGTAAAACCGAATGCCTTGTATGTATTTTTAATAAATAATTAAGAATTATTTACCTCAGCTTCGAATGTGTGCAAAAACGGCCTCGGGTTTTTGTATTCGATCTGAAGATATACTTCTTGTTCCCATATCATAGCCCTTCGGTACAGGCAGTAAATTCGAAAGAAGTACGATCTCTTGGCATTGTCCTTGATCAGGCAAAGGACGCCTGTGTCCTTCTTCTTCCATTTCGAGTGGGAAGGATCCTCTGTAGTGAACAACTGGACTACAGCAGTTGCCAGACTCTGTAAAAAAACAGTGACTGTTAGCCTCGTTAATACCAAACTATGCAACCTACATGGCTAGAGGTAGTTTACAAAATAACTGATGTTATTTAATTATTTTTTTCTTATGGGCTACATTATCCCATATTAAAAATAAATGATGTTATAAACCACAGGACCCGAAGGGTACATTAACCATTCTTCGGTTGATTTATTATAACAGATATTTTTAATAATTTCTTTGATGTAATGTTAATTCAACCGCATGGCGGCTTTTATAATGAGAAACAGACGCAACTGTCCATAAACACAATTAATGGGCGGCCGAATGCACTCTGCAAATAGCCTATAGGTATTTACGCAAAATGGTCATCAATGATCAATGAGGTGAATAAACTAAATTATGTATTTTATGCAGTTGAATGAAAATAATCGTCCTCCAAAAAACAATTGAATTAAATTATAGCAGACTACAGAATATTGCAGTGTTTTTCGGCTTCTCAATTATAAATCATTTAGTGGTATAGTAGGAAAATATACATATGGCCGCCTCTCAGCAGCTCCTTAAAAAGAAAGCACGAGGGTACTATCTCCGTTCTTTAGCTTTCCAAGTCGTTTTTGGAAAACAAAAGTCCTAGTGGATTTTTTATAATTCCTTAAAAAAATGACCATTTTCAAATACTTCTAGCTAATTTTTTCCCCTTATGTCAGTAGTACCATTGACTGGTACCATTGATGGTACTAGTGACACCACTTTGTATCATTATCATTAGTATCATTAATGAAACTAGTGATACTAGTTTAATAATTGATGTATCCCTTTTACAGGTATTTGACATATCTAAGTTAATATTTTAATATAAATACCATATCAATCATACCATTATCAATAGGGTTAATTTATTGCAGTTTCCTCGTTCTCCTTTTTTTATAAGTTTAACGAACGAAAGTGTGACGCCTTAGCTTTTCTATAAATAGAAAAAAAAAACTCGAACTAAATAATTTAATGAGGACACTGAGCCACGATTTTGAAATTACTAGTGTAATGTCCACCGTAAACCATATCAGCAGTAATAAGCCTAGAAACTTACTCTGTGATCCATACTTTCCTTTTATCTTTATATGGTGTCTTAATAGACTTTCGCTCTATAAACTTCTTATAGAGTGAAATTATATGGTCTAGGCTAAGTCGCTTTCCATGAACACCTTAGTATCTACTTTAGAAACGTTCGAATTTATTTGCCACCGCCGTAGCGAATGTGTTTGCACCTGTATGCAACTGACAATTTGACGTTATTTGATTTACATAATTTTCATCATATGGCGAAACGTATAATATTAGTTACTCATTATAAAATAAATCAGAAGGCCAATTCTCGTAATAAAAGTTCGGTCAGTACTTAGTTCTGATCAACTCTCGATCTCACAACTGTCATAAAAGGTATTTTCGCAGTAAAATTTTAAACATCCAACGTTGATTGTAATGTGATTATATCGTAATGTAAATGAAAATTGAATCGGTAATCTGCTGGTCTTAGGCCCGTATTTTAAAAGACGTCTCAAGTATCGGTTAAACTCTGATTGCCTGAAACTAGTTTTAAGTGCAGATCAAAACTTAAGTATCGATCTTACTATAGAACGCGTTTTAAGTTTTACTCAGTTGCAACTACTTTCAAGTATTGATCTGAACTTACAGTCTGTTCTCAATTACTTTTCCGCATGATCGACATTATTATTAAGTATTACGCAGCTAATTATTAAAAAAAAACTGTAATAACATAATTTCTGTGAATTTATATATATTATACTATTTTCTAGTGTTGGTACACTAGAAAATAGTATAATATACTAATAATACTAATAACATAATAAACATATTAACAAGCTTATTGATCGTCCAAAATTAAATAAATTAAAAATAAAATAAAAATAACTAGTTATCAGCTATAACGGAACGTCCAATTTTTTTATCAACACTTGTCATGTTGAATTGTCAAACAACGTTTTCATTTTTTGTATTTCCAAAATTTATATTACTAGAGTAATATTATACTCTTAACATGAACCAAAAGGTTGTGGTAATTTTAATTTAAACATTATTGTATGTGTAAAATGTGAATTTCAGTGCATTTAATATCAATTCAGGTAAATTAAAGTGAGTTAATTATGTATGACAAGTAATTTATTCGTAAATAAAGTATAAAGTAAATCTTTCGTAATTAATTAGAAACAAATCATCGTAAAACACATTCATCTCCCCTAAAATGCCGTAGAAATCACCGCTTGAGACTAGTTTCAGCTTATCTCACGTAAACAACAAAGATCTCATCTATCAAGATCTAAACCTGACTAAAGATTTCGGCATAAACATCGTTCTAAAATAAGTTATCACTCACTTGAGTATGGAGCGGTGAATCCCGTTGTAAGTGACGTTCAATAATAAAATCTTTACTCAAAATTATTTTTAAGACTAGATTCACGACTGAGACCCCTTTTAAAATGCGGGCCTAGTAATACTTTACTTTTTTACTACGAAAATACCTTGCATTTAGACCGAATTTTTATTACGAGAATTGGCCTTCAGATTACAACAGTTTTTTTTTTTTAGTATAACATTTTTTTCTCTTGTTTCTGTGCAATCTGTAGTATGTACTATTTTGTGAGACGGAAAGTTTATAACAGAAAGCAGCAAAAGCGCTATTTCACTTGAGAAATGAGCGCGCGCATCGACTGTCCGACTTAAATAAAAAATGGATTAGGTACTCCTAGTGTTAATTAAATAAAATACAATTTTAATTGAATTTTTTTTTTGTTACAAATATCGTTTTAAATAATACCCGAATAATTTTATTACAGGATATAATGTTACTCATTACTAAGATGAAATGTCAGATCATCATATTATATTGTAAGGCTCGCTTGTTTTATGTTGGTGCATATCAAGGCAAGCTCTTTAAGTGTATCCAGAGTCACAATGAAAGCAGCGCTTCAGTTTGTATCTTGCAGCATATGCTGCTTAAAGGACTATGAAGTGAAATTTAAAATAGTTTTTGTTTGTTGCAATTTTAAAGATCACCAAGATTAGATTTTAGATACCACATTGTTAGTAAAACTAATTCTGCAAAAGTTTTTCACATGGCAATGACAGTTCCTTTAAGAATTCTTTTAGTAAACAAACTTTTTACTTAGTATAAGTCGTCAATGAAAAATAGTATTTATTTGCATTTGTACCTAAAGGGAAATTGCAAATGGCAAGATTTTGTCACATCGAAAGCAGTTTATTTTAAGTGGCATTTTGAGGAAAATAGTCTGAAATGCACATAAGGAAAAATATAATAAATACTTGCGACTATGATTTCCAATTTAAATAACTGATTCACATCAAAGGCTTTTAGTATTTTTATCTTTTAACACAAAGATTACGATTAAAAAATGCCGTAGGTAATATAAATCGTTATGTTTACATAAATGTATGTAACATAACGTTTTATTTATTAGTGTCGAATGAAACATAGTGTGAATCATCAGCTATTTGGCATTCGTATCATAAAACATAAAAAGTACTTAATGTATTATTAGTAATTAATCACCAATAATGATTTATTTTATAACTAGTGGTGCCAGGCAGTTTCATCCAAAGTCACAGATTGATGCTTTATAATAATTTTGACTGCACAGATGGCGTAGTGGTTTAAGCGGTCGCCACGCCGCTTCCTACTACGCCGAGTGTTGTGGGTTCAAACCCCACATGGGACGACACTTTGTGTGATCCACAAATTGTTGTTCTCAGAACAGCAATTTGTGGATCTGTTCTTTGTGGCTCTGGGTGTTCTTTGTGGCTCTGGGTGTTCTTTGTGTCCGTTTCATGTATGTTTGTAAAGTCCCCCGCGACACAGGAAATATTCCTGATGCGGGAGTTATCTTTTTAAGAAAAAAAAAAACATGCTAGTTATAGACACACTCCCTAGTGGTCTTTTAAAAAAAAAACCATGCATTCATTTAATTTTAGTTTGACATTTCTAATGATATACATTTAGAACATACAACAGAATAATACTTTAGTTCTGTCAAACTTAAATAAGTTTACCTCTAAAACTTGCAGAAAATAAAACTTCACTCAGGGGCAGACGAGCATCCCACACGGGGGGGGGGGGGTCGTCTACTCGTCTGTAGATGACCCGAGGTATGTCGGGGCACTAGGGACTTCCTTTCTAGGGTATACCTGGTTCCCCGGCTATTAGTACCCGAGACGGCGTGCGGTTTTAGTCGGTTCGAGTCCGACATGCCACCGACAGGTGGTATCCGAGGGGATTTCCGCACGGAAAAAAAAAAAAGGGGCAGACGAGCAGACGGGTCACCTGATGGAAAATGACCATCGCCGCCCATGAACGTCTGCAACTCTAGGAGTCACAAACGCGTTGCTGGCCTTTTAGGAAGGAGTACGCTTTTTTCTTGAAAGTGTGCAGGTCGTATCGGTCCGGAAATACCGCAGACGATAACCCGTTTCACAGATTGGTTGTGCGGGGCAAAAAGTGTCTCGAAAAGCGCACAGTAGTGGAGCGCCAACTATACAGGTGAGGAGGACGAAAATTTTACCGTGTGGAACAATGGCCGAAATTTGCGGAAGCCGAGGCTATCGAAGATTCGAGTCGCTCTTCGTTGGATGCGGTCCAGAGAGAGAAGCTGGTATTGAGGTGCCCCTGCATAGAGATGAGAACAGTATTCCATATGCGGCCGGACTTGCGCCTTGTAGAGCTGAAGGCGGTGGGCCCGAGTGAAATTCTGCCTCGATCTGTTCAGCACACCGAGCTTCTTGAGTTTAGTGATCTTAGTCTAGTTTAGAGAGTTTTATTACAACAGAGTTGACATAAATATTTTTGTATAATAATTGATGAGGAAACTTAAAACACAACACAATATATGGTAAACACACTATTGTAAAATAAACTAGTTTTCCTTCTAATAGAATTGTAGACAAACAGTATTAAACGATTTTAAATCAGTACTCATCTCATAAATTA